ATTGAACAAGGACTCATGAAAAAGCCACCTCCAAGTCCAGTTCCAAGCTCCGTCGTCGTTCTGACTATCCAAATAGGTACTAGTACTTAGTTCGGCCTTACTTTTTTCTATGTACAAGCACTCGAGGTCAAGATATCGCCGGTTTTCGCCAATTCGCAAAAAACCCTGACTCCGCTTAGATGGAGACTTGGATGTCCAAACCCGCCGCTAGTAGAACTAGTCTTGACTAGTTGCTGCGAGATGTCGGGACCGACCAGCAAACGAACGATTCGAACGGTCATCAGGTGGTCCTGATCCTCAACTCCTCAGGGAAATTGCCAAGTTGCTAGACCCGAGTACGATCGGACTCGGATAATCGGGTTTTCGGACATTTCCTTGGCTGTTCTTGTTCCCTGCCAGGGATTTTCGAGGAATTTGGGCGTTGTCTCTTGTGCTGCCCTGAGAAGGATGAAATTCCAAGGAAAAGGAAGCATAACAGGGCTCAGGTCAGTCAGCCGACCGTTGGAACTGATGTTGCTACTGTACTCCGTAGGGAAGCTGTGGCTGTGGAGGTCGGCGAATTTTGCTTTGGTTTTTTTTTTTTTTTTTTTTTTTTTCTCTGGGGGCGTCTCGACTCGGTCGGGTTGTGCTCCGGAGCGGGCTTTGCTGACGGAGACGGAGATAAAGTCATCAACAAGTCAGTCAAGTCAGCGTGACTCGTGACGTGCTCCAGCCTCCGGTTACTCGTTCTCAACGCCACGGCCATGGACGGTGTACGTAGCTTATTCTTCTACGGAATATCATTATGGAGAAAATCTAACAGGGATCCCCATGCGAGTTTCTAAGGACCTTTATGGTCGAGTGCCAAGATCAGGAACCTCAGGTGGTAGGGTGAAATTAATATAGGTATTCATTTCGCGGATAAATTGTTCGTCCTCTATGGTGTAAGTAGTTGGAATCAAAGGATGAGTAGAGATAAGAATAGAAAGAGAGATGTTAAAGAATGCGTCGTTGCCGAAGCCCCAGAGTTATTGGCCTCGAACTCCGTATATTTTAGCCAACTCCAAAACACCACAATATAAAGATCTCCGTCCGATCCCAAGCTGTGACCCTTAAAACAATTACCCAAAATCCAATAATGCGAGATAATCATACAGCATATTTGTAACCAAATGCTCGGCCTCACGACGTGATCTCCAATGGGTTATTCAGAAATTGGCTAACATCTTCGAAGTCATTCTTATTGTCCATATATGAACCTGGGATCAGGCCCATTGGCATCTGGCGGCTGAACATTGGCGACGTGATAGAGTCATCGTACGGAAGGCCGCTATACTGCGCGGGCATGATATCAATGTCGTCAAAGTTTCCGAAGGCAGGGCTAGGCCATTGGGTGTTCTGTAGCTGGACGCTTTGCAGGTCTGACGGGTCCACCACACGCGGCATGGACATGGTTTGCATCGGCGTAACATACGCAGGCTTGTTTGGCGTCATATGCGGTTCACTCTTAATCGTGGACTGAGGGACATCTATTCGTAATGTCGTTGGCGTCTGCGGGAGAGTCCGCGTAGCGAAGGAATCTGAGAACTGAGGCGGCATGACGGGTGAGTGTGCGCTTTCGGAGCTGGTATCTGAAGAATCCTGGCGCTGCATATGTCCGGCGCTATTCTTCCATAATTCCTGCTGCATGTAATCGGTGCTTTCTTCGAATCGCTCATGTTTGCTCTGATCTAGGGCGCCCAGCTGGGTGAGTAGGTCGTGCGTTAACGGCTGCCCGTTGGGTTCGCATTTCAGTGGCTCGCCCTGCCATCCATCACCTTCGAGGAGGCGTCGATATAATTCTTGAAGACCGTTGACTAGCCATGTTTGTTGTTGCTCCAGCATCTCAACGTAACTGTGCAGAAGAGCAGTTAGCTTTTGTCTGTTTCGCAAATAGCAAGTCAAGCCAGGTGCATGCTCACCCCTTGGGGTACACTTTGTCATGGGCCTTCTTTCTCTCGCCGAAAACACAGAGCGTGTTGTCTGCTCGACAGCGACCGCACGGTTTGGCACCGTCACACTACACCGGGTCAGCGCATCAGTGGGTGCTGATGCTGGACCTAAGCCTGTTTGCTTACCTTGGACTTTTTAAGTCTACAGCGATCGCAAGCTTTGCATACTCGCTTGCGAACGCCGCTATCTGAGTGGGAGTGCTCAGACGCTGGTGTTGATTGGCGCGCCGTCATTGCGTGGTCGGTATGAGGAATGTATAATATGTGTATAGTAGAAGTCGGAGCCAAAGGTGTGAAGAGGAAACGATGGGAGATAAAAAAGAGCCAGTTCCCAAAATTGAGTTTCACGAGACTCGCTCCAAGGTTTTTCTTTTCTCTTTTAATTTTCTCCCCCAGCTGCAGGTTAATTCTGCGACTGTTTCCCCAGAAGCTGTCGCTGGTGCAATAGTTTGGAAATGATGGGATCGACAATCAATACGTCAAGTGCGGCAAGTCGATGATACAAAGAGCGCAAAGAAGGTTCAAGCGCTGAGGACCAATGCTCTGCTTGAGTCGCACCCCAGAACCAAAGGTGGAATGGCTATATGGCCGGATTGGGAGAGAGGTTGCACCTGATGGCTAGCGACTGTATGTCGTAGTAGGTTGTGTGGTCGGGCGGAGTTGGTTGGTCACCCAAAAGTCAAAAGTCCGGTTCTGAAGCCAGGAAATCTTCGAGGCTTGCCAGGAGGAGGAGGGCTGGTTCTTTTATCATAAATCAATCCAGGTAACTACTAACTAGCTGACCTTCCAAGTACGTCGTTGAAAAGGCCAAGGGGGGGTTCCATCATATTACGGAGATTGTTACCCGTTCTCTGTCAGAATTGACTTTACCGTATTTTCGGTAACGTATAATTTGCAGAGCGCAGAACACTGGATTTTGCAGAAGGCACCCTTGCCTTCATTGGCCTGTCCGCTTATATTTTCCCATGGCTTGCCTGAGCAGTGAGCACATGTTTAAATAGGCTATCCGGATCGATTCCTCGTATCGTACCCTTGCGATCGTGGCACTTCAACGGCCTGACACAGCATTAGAAAATCAATTCGAGGCAAGGCAAATTAACAGCTGCTCTTTGAGAAATTGTAATACCAGAGACCGGATCGCGGAAACATCTGTCAAACGAACCTATGCTGGCCTCGGCCTAGTCTCGGAGCTCGGAGACATTTGCATTTCCAGATGGAGCAACTTGGTCGCCTTGGTTGTTAATGTTCGGCCCTGATTATCTGTCATCCGTTCTTTGCTTTCGATCTTCCATGGGGCACATCCGCGGGCCCAAACAGTCGCTCAAAACAGGCCGTATTTCCGATCGACCTGGGGGCTGGAAATCGGATGTTTTACTTCGATGCTGGGTCGTTGGCACTGGGCAGGCTGGTGGGAGTAGTATCCTTTCGCTATGCAGCTCCCGCCATACTCTTCCTGCTCAACCGGCCAAGCAAAACTAGCAAAGGCCGACCCGGCGATCACTATGCATTCATAAAAACCAGTTCGCCGAATAGTGCTGGACAACCATGACTCCGTCTGACCCTCTTCCAGATTACTGCATCTGGCAACCTTGCTCGCATGACTGTGCGCCAGTGCATAAGCGGATTAACGGCACAACGATCGGGTTCTCCATCGGCACGTCGGTGCCGGGCACTACGCTGTTTGTAAATTCCTCTACCTTTATCCACTTTATTCATTCATCGACGTAGATCCATACTGGTACATACTACTGATCCGGCCGAAGCATTCTGCAAGGCTGGCCCTATGGGCATATCGCGCGGATAACAGCAGGGTTTCCTCGATACATAGTCGATACGGGTGATCCAACAGGCGGAGCAAGCCCGTGTCGTGTAGCGGGTTTACTACGACAATCCTGGATAAGCCGGATGATTCTCCTGAAAGCTTGACCCTGTCATCTTCCGCACTCGGTTATCGGGCCTGGCGGTGGACTGCCCGCTTGCACAAGGCTCAATCATGGCGTCCGCCACCTGAGGAATTTAACTACCGCACTGTTAACTGGCGTTTGTCGATCTAGAACTGGATCTCGTCATTATGGCTCATGGAGTGCGCATATCTATGATTGGGAAAGCAACTGATAGCGGCGAGATCTGATCAACTTTGACTTCATGCTTGCGCCACTCAGTCATCGACAAGTTACTCCCGATACTCATCAGTAAATGGCAAACTTGGTTCTTGTCTATGTAATGTCAAATCACCGGCGATTCTCCTCGTGAGGTCAGTGCAGTTGATATCAGTTGGTACATCTGCATGGCTCTACAAACTGGAGTTCATTTATCTGAAAAGTTCTTTTCTCTGGACGGTTCTAGATTTTGGTCACTACGTAGGTAGGATACGTGCTTTTTACGGGGATGTGTCGGGTCTGGATGTCAACCACGTCATAACGATGCGAAATTCCAATAGTGACAAATTTTCGCCGAAATTTAGTCCAACGTGCTACTTGCTAGCGTTACCTCAGGGCAATTCAATGGCGGCTAAGATATCGGCATGCGGAAACCTTCGCGGCATAGGCTTAGCTTAGGTACCAATGACTTCATCGTTCACTCAATCCACCTCAAAGGGCTATTCAAGCTTGAATTTTGAGTATCTGAAAACTATTATACAGAAAGAGTAGTAAGACAATTTCGCACAAGATCGGTAATATAATGCATACATGTCCGCTGAACGGGTCAATAAGTACAAATGGGTATAGGGGGATTGTCGAAATCTCCAAATGATATGCTCAAGACGATATTCAACAACACATACGCTTCCATCGACTTGGAGTTTCGCCATCTGAAGACAACTCCTCTGATGTTTTTTCCAGATTCTTTTCAATTTTTTCCTGAGCATTATTTGTGCGCCGGCCCCCTTTTAGCAGGCCGTGGAATATGCTTTGGCGTTTGTTTTCGTCCTTGGAAAGGGCTGCCTCCGACTCTTTCTTTGATAGCGCGCCAATAGGAGGTTTCTTCAAAGAAAATCCCACATGACGAGTTGGCTTTGTTAGTTCCTGGTTATATTGATGGTGCTCCCGGCGGGCTTCCACGACACGACGAACCAAAACTAGAGAATGTTAGAATGCCCAAGGTACGGAGACGTGGGTTTCATACGAGCAAACGTTTCTTCAATATTGACCATTTCCCGTGCACTTGTCTCCATGAATCCGCTGTTATGTTTTCGAGCATACTCTAGGCCATCCTTGGCGCTGATGACCCGGTTGTCCTTGAGATCACATTTGTTACCCGCGACAAGCCTGACTGGTGCTGCCATTCCAACTTCCAAGCCTCGAGCACTATTTCCAAGCTCTTTTAATAATCGCAGGTTGTCTTCCGCACGTTGATCGGTCTCCATCTCGATCATATCCATGAAATAATCTAGTGCGCTTAAACTGGACTCGCTGGTGATGTCGTAGACGAGGAGGAACGCGTCGGACTTTAGATTGGACGTTGCCCATAGACCTCGATACTCTTCCTGACCCGCAGTATCAGTGATAGACAAGAAATATTGTTCGCCATCAATGGTGCGCGTGACCGAATACGAGTCCTCTAACGAAGCGCGATGTGTATGAGAATCTGGTATCGAAAATTTTGGGTGGGTGTTTGTTACCTATGGTAGGATCGTATCTAAACATGAATGGAATACGTTAGAATAGTCGGTTAACCATATGGAATGGAATTGGCTTACTCGTGGACCCATTCACTGCGGACCAGTCTCAGGGTGATGGAAGATTTTCCTATCGTCGGTTAATGACATGCACTCACTGCCATCGAGAAACTGCATAGCCCGAAAAGGCACGCGCAGATCGGATTGGAGATATATGATATAAGAATGTTGTACAACATACCGCATCCACCGTCCCCGCAAATAGTGATCGAGATTTTGTTTGGGGCGTCTCCCATAATGTTTTTATGGGTCGACAGATATGTATACAGCGAATTGTTTTATCTCGTCGAGATGGAGATGATTACAAATGAAATATTAGAGCAAAAAAAAACGATGATAAGGTTGTGATGGAGCTGCCACGGGTTCGTTGGAAGAAATCGCAGTACGATGGAATATTTGGACGCCTGACTTGAAGAGAAAAAAAAACAAATAGGGCGCGTGCCAAAAAAAAAAAAAAGGAAGATAGCTCGACCAGCCAGTATATTATCAACCCTGACAGCAAGGAGCGTAGCTGTAGGAAGATAGCATGATAAATAACGAAAGGGGAGAAGAGGCTGAGGGGGAGGTTGTGGAACAAAGAAAGCTGTGCCCCCTTGGCCGTTTTGCAGCGATTATCGGGGAATAATAATTTGTGGTGGTGATAACGGCTGAGGATCGTCACCCTTCATAAATTAGGAAGATTGCAATCAGCACCGTTGCATACTCAGTGTAGAACATGTATAGAAAACGAGCTAATTTTGGAGGCAAGCCGCAGCCATGCTATCCAGACAGGTAAGGCACAATGAAGCTGCGCTCCATGTTTCTCTGTGAGTTTGCGTGATCATCCCTCGCCCACAGCGCGAGGTATTTGGCTGCCGCTTCAGGCTCCAAGGCACTGACTTTAATACGAGCTCTTTGGCATTGGCCAATAACCTCGATTCTTGGTTAAGAAGCTCGCTCCAGATCTTCCTGGAGTCTGGACTCTGCTGGGTTCCACGCCGATTTAAATTCAAAAATCTGGAGATTTGGTCTCAGCCACGTGATTCCCCAGGAATTGAGCGTTGGCTTTCTGCAAATTGCAACCCGGCCATCTTCACCCTCGAATCTGCAGCCAATCCTTCGCCTTCCCCTTCCTTCATCGGGCATTCGATTCTGGATTGATCACAATTGCTCTCTTTGCCGCTTGATACATCGCCCGCCTCTTCTCGCTCTCATTGGCAGAACCCAATTGTCCCACCTGCCATGGAGGCGGCGTTGATCGCTACCTGCTCCGTCATTGAACGACAGGACATGGATGACTTGAATTTCCTACCTCCAGCTCCCGGCTGAAGCTCCCACGTTGATCGTGGACAGATTGAGCCAGTCGTTGACGGGTTTACTTGCATGCATGACTACCCTGCTCGCCTATTTCTGCATATTGGACTCTTGAGTTTGTCGGAATTTAGTGTGGGATACGCCCCCTCTCAATCTCCCCCAGGTGTGATTCTTTCTATGTTGACAATTGCAAACCTTCATACCGCTGTTTTCCATCACATTTGGTGAATCTGGGAAAGCTTTGTTGTACCAAACTCTTGTTATTTGGGGTTCTGCGCTCTTCCATTGGCCCAGACAATTGGATCCGATCGATCGATCGATCGGATTCCCACCATGGCCAATCGAGCTATCGATGACTTTGATGATGTCTACTATGAAGGACAGTACTCTGCACCCCGGCCTGAAGATCGTGAAATAAGCAAGGACGAGGCTGTTCATGCAAAAATGGCGCCCTTTGCTTCCTCGATCCCGGTAGAAAATTATGTTTATCCACCGCATAATCCCATGCTTGGGTATGACCCCGCAACAAATACCTCGATGCCAATGGGTTTAGACCCTGGGGGTAGTTTCCCTTACGATCTCTCTACGCACCCGTCATCTACATTACCTTTGGGCTATGGACTAGATAAAATTGCTTCCTTGCAACCACAAGCTTCCAGACCGGGGAATATTTCCGCATACTCCACCACGCAATCTGGAGAATACATCCCGAGCATGTGCTGGGACCAGCCTCATATTCCTGGGGTTGTTACTTCTTCAGCTCAAGGTGCGCCTTCTCAACCTCTGGCCGCCAATCGCAACGTTGGGCCCTCAACAGCCCAAGCTTCCCAAACCCAGCAGCACCAACATGTCCCCCGGGCCTCGGTATCAGCGTCCCATCGGTTAATTCAACCAAAAAAACTACCAGGAAAGAGTAGGTAGCTATTCAGTACGAAAAACCCTTCATTGGCTGATAGTAGTTACTCAAAAGGCTATACTTCGGCTATCGCAAAATCAGAAACTACCCGAAAAAACACGCCATATCCTAATATCTATTCAGGAAGTGGATTTGATATGATGAGTATCTTGGTAAGACATTTTCCTTCCATGCGTGTTTCATCCATCATCAGGGCGTTTTGTTACACATCTATCTTGCCGACTCCTCTGAAAGTGTTGCCTGACTTAGCGTATAGGCCCGAGTGGTATCACGACACGATCCTAAAATTGACCTTGGTCCGGTCGACCTCTCATGCGCCTTCGTACTTTGTGACCTTACTCTAGAAGACCACCCGATTGTCTATGTTTCCAACGCGTTTGAACGGCTAACAGGATATACCGAAAGAGAGATTGTCGGGAAAAATTGCCGTTTTCTGCAAAGTCCAAATGCTCAGGTTAAAAGAGGCGACCCTCGAAAATTTGTCGACTCATATACGGTTTTACGTTTACGCTACGCAATCGAGCAACTGTCGGAGCTTCAAGTAAGCATCATAAATTACAGGAAAGGAGGACAGCCATTTATGAACCTGGTGACGATGATTCCAGTACACTGGGATTCCAGGGACTACTTTGTGGGGTTTCAGGTCGATTTGGTTGAGCGGCCGGATGCTGTCACTAAGAGGAATGCCGGTTTGTTTGGCCTTCATTTTAAGCCTTGAGCTAAACTAACCGGACTAGATGGCACTTACATGATCGATTATCACCGGAGCCAACTACCGAATTGTGCCATGCCTTCGCTAGACATGTACTCGGATTACCGTGATCCAGCCACTAAGTTTAGCCCAAGTCAAGTGTCAGTTGTACTTGACAGCGTTGTTAGAGGTCGACCGGTAGCCAGGAGTCATCTGCATCACATATTGGTGGAGAACACTGGCGATGTGATCTTTGTCCTATCCTACGAAGGGGAATTCCTCTATCTGTCTCCCTCTTGCCGAACAATGCTAGAATACAAGCCAAGCGACCTCCTCGGCAAGACCCTATCCACAGTCTGCCACCCGAGCGATATTGGGCCTGTCACTCGGGACTTGCGAGCCTGCACATCCGATGACCCTATTAGCGTAATATATCGTATCCGGAGAAAGTATAGCGGGTTCACCTGGTTTGAAAATCATGGAGGATGGCATATTACCGAAAAAGGCCGACAATTTATGGTCCTAGTCGGCAGAATCATCCCCGTATACTCGTCTATTCAACTCGTGGACCTTGAGCGCGGCGGCCTAACGGAGAATGACCTCTGGGCCAAACTATCCTTGTCAGGGATCATCCTGTTCATGTCCTCGAAATCCCGCGCAGTCCTTGGACGTTCACCCGACGATCTCATGGGTAAATGCATACAAGGCATCCTCGGAAGCGACAACTTGCCGCAAGATTCTGGAATCCAGCAAGCGCTAGAATTCTCCCGTAACAACCAACAAACTACCTTCACACATCAAATCCGCCACCGGAAGGGCCATGCCTTGACCACCCATATAACCCTATACCCAGGAGACATTCCAGAAGATGACTCAAAACCCAACTTCCTCATCGCCCACTTTCGCTTCCCAAAACCTGTCCAACCATCATTAAGGACAACGGCCAACCAGTCACGGGACCAAAGCAGAAGCCAAACCCCAGGTGATACTGGGTCTGGAGATGCACGCCAGCTGCAAGTGGCCGAATCAACGCTTCACCTGAAACATCACCCCAACTTTCCGCACCTATTCACCAAGTCCTCTGCAACACTGGTCGCGCCCTCATCTCTTGTCAGTGAACCCAGCTCCACCCCGGCCGCTGCCACCCATCTTTTTGGAGAACTGAACCCTACCAGAGGCTCAAGCTGGTATTTTGAGCTCCGCGAGTTGGAAAAGCAGAATCGTGGATTAGCAGAGGAAGCGCAGCGCCTTCTTTCAAGGAGAAGGAAATGGAAGAGAAAACAGAGCGCTGCTGCCGTTGAGAAGAGTTGTGTTATGTGTCAGACTAAGACGACGCCGGAGTGGCGACGGGGGCCGAGTGGGAATAGGGATTTGTGCAATAGTTGTGGATTAAGGTGGGCGAAGCAGGTGAGGAATGCAGCACAGCTGGAGAAACCAGTTGCTGTGGCATAGTCGATACTAGACATGCAATAATTGTTGGTGGATGGTGTACACTACAGCTTGTAATTTTAGGTATAGCCATCATGGTCATCATATCAAGCCTTCATTATGATTGACCATCCGTTAAGACACATCAGCGTCACAGCATCAACTTTAACGATAAAGAAAGCCAGGGTATATAGGTCAGGTGTACACAAAAAGGATAGAAGTTTAAAAGAAAAAAGAAAAAGGCTCAACACCAGAGGTCCCGCTAAAATGCATAACAATAGATCAATCGATTGGAATGACAAAACTCAAACTTCAATATCAACGGTAATGCCCTCGCCCTCACTCGAACTGTGCACCTCGTCCTGATCTCTATACCCCTCGTCCCCAGTGATTAGGTCAGAGCCAGGCCCGATCGCCCCGTCATCGGTGAAAGCCTCTCTTGAGATGCCCTTACGGAGGCGTTGTCTGTCTAGCTGGGCGCGGAGCCGCTTATTCTCGGCATCACGCTCTTCAAGCCGTCTTCTAGCTCCACTGCGATCCAAAAGGCGCGCTTCGCGTTCCCCTTTGAGTCTCTTTTCTAGTTCGTGCAGGCGTTTTATCCATACTTCTTGGTTACCCGGTTCTGATGATCTGTGCCGTGGTCGCGCGACGGCGCCGGTGTTTTCAGCTAGCGTTGTTGATGTTGAAATTTGGGATGGCTGTGGGATACCAGATCGAGCAACGCTCTTGGGAGACGAATCAGCAGTTGGATTGGCGCGGACTAACGGGCCACGTTCTGTTACATCGATGGTAGACGCTCGGGGTGAGCCTCCCATGCCAGTGCCACGGCTACGCGGATGCGTCTGAAGGAGATTGAGTTCGGCTTTCAACAGTCGGTTTTCGCCACGAAGTTTGGATAACTCAGGTGAGAGTCCGGTTTGATTTCGAGTTTGCAATTGGGCGCGCATGTTCATCGTCGTCTCCTCCAACCTGTCTAGCTTTTTGATTCGCAAACCAAAGACGTGCTCAAGGGTTTGGTATTGCTTTGTGAGGTTCCGCTCAACATCCTTAACGCGGGATTTGAAGCCCGATATCACACTCTCCAGAGTCTTGACGGCGAGCAAAAGGTTTCGACTAAATCCAGGCCAAAATAGGATATTACCGATGACCTCCTGGCTTGGTAAGTTGCCGTTGATCAAGCTGTTGGAATGAGCCCAATCTGGCCCACACATGCCGGACAAGCGCTTCCAAATTGTCAGCAGCATGGAATTTCGCTCATTGAGCTGTTCCCGAAACTGTTGCTCAAGGCCGGTGAAGCGCTTGCGGTCCTGGCTTCGTGCACTTTCTAGCTCAGTGATACGAGAGTTGTTCTGTGTGATGGTCCGCGATGCTTGATGGTGGGATTTGAGTGCTTGATCAAATGATTGCTTGTCTGCACGACGAGCGTGGCGTTCACGGTCAAGGAGCTCGGATAACTTGCGAGACTCTAGTCCATGACTTTCGAGGAGTGCATCGCGGTTTTGTAGCAGCGACTCCTTCTCGTCCAGCGTAGATCGTGTGCTCTCAAGCTCTAGAGCCGTAGATTCAAGTTCCTTCTGCAACTTCGTAATGTTGGATATCAAGCTGGACCGGCTGCCGCTGATGTCGCCGAGTATTTCTCGCAGATTGTTCTCCAAATCAGTCAGGCGCTCCTTCCAGGTGGCCGTCTCAATCTCTTGCGCTGAGAGGCTCTTCTTCAGTTTGCGGGACTCTTCCTTCGCTGCAGAAGCCTCTCGGTTTAGTTCGTTCATAATCCGCTGAACCTCTTGCTTCTCCTTGCTTCCAACGACCTCACGTTGGTGCCTTTCTTCAGCCAGGCGCTCTTCTAGCTCGCTCGTCTTATCCTTCTCACTCTGAAGGCTCATCTGATATGTCTTGAGTTCGGACTCCAGGTCTCCAATCTTAATCTTGTCGCCATCTTGTTCCTCTCGGAGGAATGCGATCTCGTTGTGGCTCGACTCGATTTGGACTGAGAGGCGCTGAACCTTGGAATTTGCCTCGTACAAGCTTTTCTCTAAGGACTCCATCTCACCATTGCATTCTTCAAGCTCCTGCTGCACGGCCTTGTACCGCTGTAGGTTATTCTGTGCATCTTCCTCCAATCGAATAATGCCTTCGCTAGCGGAGCGCATTTCTGCCTGCAGTGTTCTTAGGTTCTCATCCTGCGTTCGTAGGTCTTCCGTGAGGCGTTGGCACTCCTCGACCTTTTGGTCCAACTCGTCACCGATGCCGTCCAGCTCTTCCTGGGCTTCGGCTCTCAGGTCCTGGAAGGCTGCATCCCTCTCATCAGCCATCTGCAATGCCTGATCACGTTCTTGCTGGAGGTTCTGTATTTCTTCTTCAGCTTGGTCTACATCAGCCTGGTAGGCTTTATCCAGGGCTTCAAGCTCCCTGGAGTAATCATCGACTTGTTGCCGGATAGCCTGGTTTTCCAGTTTCAGTGTCGAGACCTGGTCGCGTAGTTGCCCGTTGCGGACTTCCCAATCTTCGCGCTCTGCGTCGTCAACCGGAGACTGTCCAGTTTGGTCGCTGAAGCGTGAGGGTGGCCGTCCCTGAGCTCTAGATGCAGACCGTTCTAATATACTGTCGCCAGCAATGGATCGATCCCGACGTTGGCCGAGTTTCAACTCCTCAATCTCCTGATATAAGCGTTCCTTCTCCCGGTTCCGGGAGGTTAACATTGAAGTCTGGGCGCTGACCTCTCTCCGTAGCTCCGCATTCTCCTGCCTTAACAACTCATATTCCATTACAAGGGTTGAGCTGGAAGAGCTGCCGGTTGCAGCGTTGCGATGCATGTCCCTATCAGAAGCGGCTGAATACGATACCATAGAGCCTCCACGGTCCCGGTTCGCCGTCCTCAAAGGTGCTACTGGTGGTACGGAGAAGCTCGTCTCGTTTCTGCAGCGCATAAGTTCTTCCCGCAATCTCTTGTTCTCATCATCAGCCTGTTCACGAGCTGCGGTTTCCGCCTCAAGCATGTCTTTCCACATATCCTGTAAGCCACATCAGTACAGGTTTTCAAGGTCAGTGTGTCGTCAGCTCCATGACTTACCCTCTCCTCTCTTGCTCCGGAATCTGACCCAACGGGCCTCCCATCATTTAGAGATTTAACCATTTCTGCCAGTCTCCGTTTCTCGCCTTCCCTTGCCATACTCTCAGATCTTAGTCGCTCAATTTCAAGCTCATACGTCTCGATCCGCTCCCGCAGGTATACCAATTCCTCATCATGAGCATGATCACGGTCATCTTCGTCAAAGCCTTCCGGGTCATGATTCTTCATCGACTCTTTATCAGACTGTTGATCTTTAAGCTGCTTCTCTAGGTCCCGGATCTTCCGTTTCAATCCTTGGTTATCCTTCTGCAATTTCAACTTGTCAGATTTTAGCTCGACATTTTCGGAGATCATCTCCTTGACTCCTTCCTCCGAGCGGCGGTTCAGAGCTTCATTGAGGAAATGTATCCGCATTTTCAAGTCAAAGTTTTCTTTCGAAAGACGGTCAATCGTGCTGCTCTGCTCTTTCAGTGTCAATGATCGGCCACTGCGCGCGAACCCGGGGGTCATGCCAGGTCCTCGCTTATCGGGGGACAACCCGTGACCAAAGTCTTCGCGGTATTGCTTCACAAAAGCACTCGGGACTTGGACATCTTTAACTCGTTCCGCGATTACGGTATCAGTCGGAAACCCCTGGTCGCGAGGTTTAGCCTTGGGTGTCATTGGTCCAGAAGTTTCGTCAGCAGATTCTGATTGCGATTGTTGCTCTGATTGTTGTTGATGCGATGAGACGGGGCGTGATTGCAAGCCCTCTTCCTCATCTAAAGTGTGAAGGCCGCTATCTGTAGTTCCACTCATGTCTCGTTTATTCATAATGTTCTCATCGCTGTATCCCGATATTCCAGACGCCATGCTTCCCAAACTCACTGATCTAGCCAAATTGTTGCGACGAGACCCCACCGTCAGGTTGGGTGCGGCACCCCCGGATTGGAGCGCATAGTCTGCAGCACCTAAGGTTGCATCACTGCGAGTCCCTTCAGTAGCACCACTTGCCGCGGAGGAATATGAAAGCCGGTTTGCGGATTGACGACTGCTCAGATATTTAGGACGGCTACTCCTTCGGTTACTCGTGCGAGATGCGTTGTCCGCGTCGCTGGTGGTGGCGTCACTGAATATCCTGGAATGCGTTGCAGATGGGTCTCCAAAATCCTGCGCTGATTGTAAAGACTGATTGGCGCTCTCTAACGAGGACTGGTCGACTGAATATTCCTGAGAAAGCTGACTGGGTTCCTGTTGACTCGTTCCATCGACATTCTCATGCAGCAGGGATTGGTTCCGACTCCCCATTCGAGCTGCCGCTGCGGCAGCTGGAGACGATGGGATCGCTTCCAACATTGTTATATTATCTCCATATTGTTCCCCAGATGCTGCTGGGGTCGCATCCAGATTCAGTGTACTGTCTTCCGTGGGTCCAATGCCAGGACTAGGTGGAATGGGAACACCATTGTTTGTTGATGTTAGGTCGTGGCTAGAATCGTCTGGCGCCGCCCAGGATGGCTCTACAAAATCCAACGCATCCTCCTTATCCAACGCTCCAACCACATACGTATCGTCAGCGCCCGTAGTACGGTCCGCAGCGGTAATCTCAATAGTCGAAGGCTCTGGGAGAAAACTAGACTCCATGTCCATCAGTTTCTTCTGCATCTCTTTCTCATCCAGAAAGGTTTGGTTCTCCGCGCGGCCGTGGTCGCTGTGTTCTTCGAGACTGCTATCATCGTTATCGGGTAACGGAGGTAATGAATCGGGACTTAATTGTGTATCATAACGATCCTGTTGCTCAAAAGCGCTATTATCCATTTCATTGTCGTCGTGATTCATGCTGGGAGATGCGGCTTGCGGTGTGTTTTGACGGTGCTCGTCCCCCCGGTCTGCGGTCGCATTCATTGTTTTTGGGGATAAATCCCACCGCGTTTCCTCCACCATGTAATCCAACGGATCGCAGAATTCGTCGTCCGTATCTAATGATGCGAGGTCGCTTTCCAGGTGGTGGGTAGGAGAAAGCGAGAAAAATGACGTCCGGCGCCCTCGATTCGCGTTGTCGTCGACTGCGTTGACAGACGATGGATGAGCGGGACCGGTCGACATGGTGACGGAGCAGAAAGCGTCTGACAATCAATGCCCTATCTAAGCCCCAAACGGTTAGTCTGAGATCCCACGCTGTTTCTAATTTCTCCACATTCTTCCAGCCATTCCAAATGATGGCCGCGGAGCGAGAGAAGTCGCCTCGTCTTACCCACTTAGTGCCTCTTACCTCGCGCGCCTTTCTAAAGGCCAAAAAAGTAAACAGTAGCAAACAAGCTAATGATCGTTTTACCGATGATGAGTTGTCAAAGAATATACCGTTGGCGTGCAGTGGAGAGAATGAAAAGAGAATAAGAGGCTGGTGATTTAAGGATGTTTGTTGTTGTTGAGGAATGAAGAACCATGAAAACTGCGTGGTTGAGCCACGGTACCCGATTACTTCACCTACAGAAACAGCTCCACGGCTGCTCGCTCGGAAGACTGGTCGAGTTGACGTGGCTACTGGAAGGATTATTAGATATACGTATTACGGGATATTTATACAATAATGAATTATCTCATCTAAATCACGATCAAGCGATCATTCCTCTTATCCACATAATATCGTCAAAGCCTACAACCAGGAGGACACAAAGCAAAGACGGGGAAATCAGCTTGGGATAAAACGCCCAGGATCATAAAGTAACAGTGTCCGGATCTTTTAAATGCACAGCTGTACATGACACGGTTCTCGATACGGTTCTCGAAGGGTATAATACAAATAATCGTGCCTTAGGCGGTTCTCACGAAAAGGCGAAGAAACTTAGGAGCAAGACATACAAAGAAAAATCACGACTCGGAAGGTTTAGCTTCATCTTCACGCCCAGCAAATATTTTGTTTTTTGCGTCAATTGCGTTCTGAAGGGAATCAATATAAGTGCGGAACTTCACAATCTCCCGCAGCAAATAAGATGACTTGCGCTCCCAGTTGGACATGGCTTTTGTCGCATTCGGATGCCGTGGTGAGAAAGCAAGAACCATGGCAGGTCGAAGCTCGTTGTGTCGCTGCAGCTCGTCCTCAACGTTTTTGACGTATGTCTGCAAAGACTTCAACTGGTCTGCTTCTGTAAGATTTGATGCCACCATACTTTGTTGTGGCGGGCTCCAATCGCTGATGTTTACACGATCTGCAGGTAACTTGGGTCGGACAACCTGCTGGTCGATGGAACTCCTAATGGAGCTTTGTATGCTAGGTCTTGGTCCAGATGAAGACGGAGGCGTTCTGTTGGAATCAGAATTGATTAACGCACAGTTGATAATGGCGTCACTCCATCCATATTCGATGTTACTTATCCCACCGATGAGAGGCTCCTTTGACAGTCTCGCGCTCCAGTAATTGGCGCTAGAAACGAATTCTCGCACAATTTCCGGTGTGCCCGCTTGGAAAAGATGCACCGCTCCAGTTGGGAGACTCAAGGCCCAGACATGTGGCCGAGACTTCGAGTAACCTGGGGGGGGTAGCGCGCTGGCAATGGATTGGCGTAAGAGGAACTTCCATATTTCTTCGGCATTCTCAGTCCAGTTGCCTCCACCCACTACAACGCCACCGGGATGACGTTGCTTGGCTTTTTGCCTGAGCGACTTGGATGCATTGAAGGAGAACAGGCGCATCCAGCCTTGCTGAATAACGGCAAAACATTCATTCCAATTACGCTCCTTCGCACGCTTATCAATCGAGTCCAAATGGTGTTTGTGCTTTAAACTTCCCTCTTTAGCCCACGGGGCTCCAGCGAGCTCCAGCGTCTCATCTTCAAGAAGCTGGCCAGTTCGTTCCGGGTCCTCAGTGCTAGCAATGGAATTGGCAGAGTCCTCACGGATAATCGCCTGGCTAAGCGCATTCGCGAACCCGATAGACTGTTGGTAGTCTGCATGTGGATAGCCTGATCCAAATGAGTCAACGGACGCCGATGTCAGCTTTCCTAGAGAGTACTTGCTCCAAGTACTGGACCCAGACGGACTCCACAAGGATGATTGATCATCTAAACTTGTTCGGCTAGATCCGAGAGTAGAAGGAGGATACAACCTCGCTCGTGAACGAGGTTTGGAAGACCACCGTGCGGTACCAAAGCGTGAGTCAGCAGAACGGCCCCGCGGAAAGATATCGGAGCCACTTTTGCTGACAGTACTAGGGCTTCTGCGAAGACCTTGCGGGTTTGGACCAAGCATCGTGCTCGACGCTGTCCGTGGCACGTCCCTCTCTGGCTGAACACCAAGCAGTGGAAGTCTTTGTTTATGAATCGAGGAGTAAAAGTCTCGAAGTACTGTTTCAACTTGCTGCTCCCATGCCTTCATTGTCCCATAAAATGGGTTATTAACGAGCGGGCCGACGTCGTTCTCAGCATCATTTGCCATTTTACCGGCCAAATCCGTGCGAGACAAACGATTTACCAATTTCCCCGAAGCATTAGTGGGTTTATCGGGCTTGTCAGTACTCGCCGTGTTGGGTCCTGTCTGGTCCGTAGGAAACGCTGTAGATCGAGAAGACGGAAGGCCTGAGTCTACATTCGAAGCGCTTGCTTTGCTTCCGAACTCATCTGGAGCAGCATCAAGGGCAACCCGTTGAATTGTAGGCATCGTATTGCGCACAAATTGGGCTTTAGTCATCTTTTGTTCGATATCCGCAAGATGCAAATCGGTGTTTAGTAGCAGTAGTGAATAACAAATGGTATGAACGACGTCTGGATTACATTAGCAATTGACATTCCAAACATACGTGAAGGAGTAAAACAAAAGATCAACTCACCTGCCGCCTTGAAGCCGTGACGAGGATTACATTGGCACCATCGGATAGAAAAGGCATCCAAAACACGATCAACTTGCTGGGTCTCCCCTTTCAACATTAAGCGGAGGCACAAACCGCGAAGCGCGGCGAGGATATTCATGTTGGACCAGTCAAACAGCTCCATATAAACCGCTCTAACCTTATCACGGTCTGGGCCACCAAGCCAAGCAGCTGCTGGTTCATTTCCAACAAACTCATCCTGTCCATCGTACAGTCTCCGTGCTTGTTGTTTCTCTTCGCTGTTATCTGTTTCCAGAGATGTATTCTCCGAGGGTTCGGCGTTGCATTCAGTAGACTTCCACTCAGAACCTTGTGGGACAATAGGAGTATTTGCTGCGGTGTGGTAATTGGAAATATCGGAAACCGAAGCATGGGGAGAATCCTTGCCAATAATTGGTGTGGACAATTTGCTAGGCGTGTCAGAGTCATCGTTCCAAATGGTCACGTCAAACATGTCCTTGTCTTTCAACTCCTTAGTAGGGGTTGGAGCTGATTCATCGTCCGGGGTTTCAATAGCGGGAACCCCGGATTTAAGGGACGATCGCTCTGCGACAGGAGATAGCGAGGTGGGACGCAGATTTTCCAATGTTGTTAGTTTGTCAGCCGATATATCGGCCAACTGTCTTGTCTCCACAGTCTTCGCGTCATTGCTTTCCGACTCGTCATCCTTCACACGTCTAAGAGAGGAGCGTGGTGGGACTGGCGGTGTGGCTTCCGATTCATTTGCTTTAACGAGATGATCTTCATCACCGCTGCTAGTCCCTAGAAAAGATGTATCATGTGCGTTACCGACCGAGCTCGCAGGGTAGAGACTGTATTTAGCCTTTGGGCCATTGTGAATGCTTAGAGAGTTGCCCCTGTCCCTGCGGCTCTGCACACTCTCTTGTTTCTTATTGTCTGGGTCGTTGGCCGCAGTACTCCAATCTGAAGATTCTGTGGAGTAATCCACTGCAGGGGTGCTGTTATTAGAGGTGTTCTCGGCCAGATATGGATTCATAACCTTTCTCAAACTGCTGACAGGGCTAGGTTCGGGTTTCATTATTGTCGTCGCCTTATTGCCCAGATTCTGGGGAAGGACAATTGGAGGAGGTACATTCTCCGTCACCGACTTCTTTCGCCGGCGGAAGAAAGACGATTTCTTGTTCACCACCTGGGCTCCTTCACGCGGGGCATGAGTGCTGCTTGAACTGGTCTTCTGAACTTGTTTCCGGGGCTTTACGGTGGGGTTAACTGCATTCGTGTCCTTGAACTCGGGCTCCTTAGAAGGTGGGTAATCGGATGGACTACCTTCAGACGATATAGTACCTGGACTCTTGGAGGATCCAAAAACACGGCGAAAGAATCCGGGACGTTCCTTGGCCGGCGAAGGTTCTGGGGGAGCTGGGAATGTCGGTTTATTGAATGAGATCGTTGGACTCGGGGCCGGTGGGTCGAGAGATGCCGATATATTGGGCGGAGGCTCGAGATCAGAGCCAGCCATAAGAGCGAAATCATGGTCCTGAGATCTCATTGCTGCAGTGCCAAGATTCTCGGGTCGGTGTTTCCGGGATTGAGTGGTCCGCGAAGATTTAACGCTGTTCCTTCGCGATACTACTGGCGTACGCGAGGACTGAGTCTTTAGAGTTCCACCAAGGTCTTGAGGCGGCGGCTGGTATTTCCTTGGACCAGCCGGAACGTTGGGTGTGGGTGCTGCATCCATACCATCATACGCCATTGGATCATAGTCCGGAGATGATCCTGGAAGGGCCATGAAGGGTTTCCTTGTCCCAAGATCAAAACTGGCTGATCGTCTCTCAGAAGTTGGCTCAATTTGACGTCCCGAGAAGGTAGGGCCGAAATCTAAGTTAGAAGACGTGCTTCCCTTGCTACTTTTCCTTCCCGCGCGAGTCCCAGGTGCGGTGGCACTAGTTCGGTAGTCAAATGTCTGCCCGTGGGAGTCCCGGCTCCTAGTGCTCTCAAACCTCCTCACACCGGTGCGATAGTTTGAACTGCTATTACTCCGGCGTTCCCTCGAGTGTTGAATCGCATACCGACTAGTACCATCGTCATATCCATGATCAACATCTGAAGAGAGGGAGGACGAAAAGGTATGGCCTCGATACCGATGCTGCGCCATTGAGTCCTGGGATGCTCGAGTATACCTCGGTGATTCAAAAGCGGAATTAAATAGGCGGTAGTCATCCAACACCGAGGTCCCTGATGAGAATTGATCTAGCGAAAGAAGCATGTTGTCAACAATTGAGGTGCGGGCGGCGTGCTGCGGGGACAATGACAAGTCATGAGGATCTCGGTCATCGGCAGAGTCATAACTATCGTTCGCATTATCATTATAATCATCCAGGAAAGTCTCGCGAACGGATGGTCGCGGGTGGCGACCTTTCTTGATCTTGTGGCTAGAAGGTCCCGGGGGAGTTCGGGGAGGAGAAATGGAGTCTGAATCGGGGCGTTGAGACATCGCGCGAACACTGCCCGATCGCATTGGTCGACTCATGGCTAACAAGTGTTACGCTTCCAATGGTTTCGGCATTGAATGTAGGCCGAAAGTTGCAGTTTCTGGGGTCCTATTACCAGAATGGGGTCGTAGAAATTATGTAATATTCTGGGACTGGGCTCAATTACACCCTGCTAAAAAGCCAAGCGGGTGTTTGAAAAGCACAATCTAAGGGCGCGCTCCCTGTATCACCTAGACATGGCGTGAGGGGGTAGGAGGGGATGTCCACGATGCACTGCAGTGCAATGCGTAAGGGGTAGATTGACGCTCGAGGGCTGCGACAAAAAGCGGGAACGTGGGCGATATTGAATCAATTGAAAGGGTTTGTCGCCTTTTTTTTTTGGTATGGTCCTGTGCATTTTCAACCGTTAGTAGCTGATGAGAGGAAAGTGACGGCTGGCAGGGGAGACACGAACCAAGGGAAGGGTGCAATCAAAGTCGGCGAAGAACCAGGGACGGCAGTGGATGTACCACGGGGGGGCGTGGTTCCGTCAGGAACAGGCGCCTTTCTGTGCCTGCCAGGGCTCAGCAGGTCAAGGAGGGAGATGTGGAAATGATAAAAAGAGCGATCGGAATGACAACAGTGATGGTGGTGGAGAGCGGAGGACGATGGGGGGAGTTGGGTGGACCAAAGGAAGTACTAATATAAATTCTGGGAGAATCCAATGCAACAGACGATAGTTCCTCTTAGCGTCTTAACCAGCTGGCACGACTAGACCAACCACGGCCTAGACGCCCAACAGTCAGGGGCAAAGTCGTTGGAACAAAGCATCGTCTGGCATTCAGTGTTCGAGAATCTGCAAGGCTTTGCAGGCGGTTCGGGTTGTTTCATCAGGGAATTTGCATGGAATAAATTATGAAGCTGAATCCATAGTGTGCCTCCTCCTTAGAATGCTGCGTCTTGGAGACTCGGAGCCAAATGTTTGTAGACTTGTCTACCAACCGAATTGAACCTGACGAATTTGATTCTCGCCAGGATCACCCAGAGTTATTGAGTTATTGACGTGTCTTAGCTCTATCCACTCTTCAAACAACTCTGGACTTTCGATTATTGATGCGTCTTCTGCTCCGCCAAAATACCCTGTACTAATCTTCGCCAGCCACCACTTTCGCACGCCGATCGGCCGCAGTCAAGATCTATCAGGTCCTGGATTATTCCATCAGCATAACTAGTAGTATCTACTAGAAGAAACTTCCAACTGTAAATTAAATGAACAGGCCTTTCCGCCAAGTGCTCCATAAGACGGAGCATAATCGAACATGGGAGATCACATAGAGCTACCAGCATGCAGAAAATGAACACTTAGGTTTATCCATGAGTCAGTACTTCGGACTGGTCTTTGGAGATTTGAGACAATCCCAAAGTAATATTATTTTCGCTGCTTGATTACTCAAGCAGATTCGCATACGATGGTAAATCTTGTGTACACAAACAACCGTATTTTATGCACGCTTATGCATGGGTAAGGCGGGAATACAATAACCCGAAACCAACTGGCGGATGACATAACCCATTCTGACAACAGACAATCAACCAACTTCGCCTGTATATCGTTACTGTCCCCAATTGTTACATCTCGCTGTGTACGAAAGATTCCTCCCTACCCACATTCTAGGCAAGGCGTACACGAGATGAACCCCCACATATCCGTCCCCCGTCAGCATGGCAGCTCTCCCAACTTCGGCGGCTTACCCGCAAACCGCGGGTCAACTATACGAATGCCGCGTTTCTTCAAGAGGTACCACTAAACCCAAGACACCAGAAGATATCCAACTAAATGCTGCCTAACTTAGAATGTTTAAGTTTCCCCAGATGGATTTCGAGATGGCCATCTGGGAGATGACTTCCCTTCTAATCGCGCCAAAAAAGGTATTTAAGTCAATATACTACCATGTAGGTCCATCTTCCATGCTTTCTAATGATGCCCTGTCGAGTGCGCTGCTAACAGAGAAATTTTCATAGAAACGTACGCCTTGACTCGGTCCAAAGTCGCTTGTAAACTCCGCTAAACTCCTATTATAGAAACAAAAAACACATGGCACCGACCCGACCCGTCGTTCGCATATCTCCTATCCTTCTTCCTCCTCCTCACAGCCCTTGCCTGGGGTCTCGCATACGCCCCGTCCTTTGGGTCTATCATTCGTCTCTCTTTCCTTTTTATTTTCTTCCATTTCATAGGATCTTCCCTCCTCGTCTCAACAATTGGTTATTTCGCCATTGGCCGCCTCTTCGGTCCCAACGGCGCCGCAACATCAATAACAGGCCTACGCATTCGTGGGCGGCGGCGTGGCGCGGCGCAAGGTCTCTTCACACAACCTGGCGAAAAGGATCAGTTGGAGTTCGGGTATTGTTTTGATGTGCGTTTCCAAAACTTACCTCAACCTAGAAGCAGAACCAATATGAGAAAGCTAACGAATGTGAACAATAAACAGGTCTCGAACCGTGCATTTTTCCCGCTCTACCTACACCTCTACGTCGTGCAATTCCTCCTGCTTCCGCTCCTCACACGGAGCCCGAGTAACTTCCTCGCAACCTTTCTAGGAAACACACTCTATCTCTCTGCGCTTACGTATTATACGTATATTACCTTCCTCGGGTATAACGCGCTTCCATTCTTACATAACACAGAGCTCCTTTTGCTACCAGTCCTGGTCTTGGCAATTTTGTGGCTTGTTAGTCTTATTGCCGGGTGGGGCGTGGTGATGCAGGGACGGAGCGTGGAAGGGTTGTTCTGGGGTGTATAGCCGAAGAGGCCTCAAGTTGGTGTTTAGATACGTACATAGTTTCGTGTTGCAAAGTGGGCTGGCGCTGGTGCATGAAATGGATGTTTATATTTTGTTACGTCTTATTTGTTTCTACTTCAGCAGGTTACAGCAGGTGCATAGTATAGTTATATCTGTTTTCGATCTCAGTCGCATTCGCTATACGGTTCTTCGCCTAGTGAGTAAAAGAGGATTCGGCATCTTTCTCTGTCTTCATCAATATCTAGCCTATCATGATATCGTACTCTATTGTCCACACATAGCAACAAAAGAAAAAAAAGAAAGAAAAGAAAGAAAAGAAAAGCCAGTTGAGCCCAATCCCAGCCGATGGATATTGGACATTTCTATTTCTTTCCTCCCTTCTTCTTTGGCCCACCCCCTTTAGTTAACTTCCTCTCCCTCTCTTCCGCCCTCTGCCTCGCAATCTCTGCCTTCTCCTCCTTCTCGGCCTCCTTCCTTAGCCGCTCTGCCTCCCTCCTTTCCTTCACGATCGCTAACCGCGCTAAATCCGCCCTGGCTTCGTCTGTCTTCCCCTCCGCATGAAGCTTCATGTATCGCTCCCGCGCCTGCTGCGCTTCAATGGCTTCACGTTCCCGGCGTGAAAGTTGGCTTTCCCCACCCTCCTCATCTTCTGTTTTCACGGGTTTAGATGTATAGTTTGGATTAGCAGGGAGGCCAAGGCCATCGTCTTCGTCGCCTAGGTCTTCCGCCGCAGCCACTGCCTTGTCTTTCCCTTTGGTACCGTTACTTCTGGTATTATTGGTAGGTTGTGTCTCGGACTCGGAGTCGCTAGGCGGGAGGTCGCCGGGCTGTGCAGGGCCTTGGGCTCTGCGCGCTGCACCAGCGGCTTTCTTTGCCTTTACGAGGGCACGGCGTTCTTCGCGCGTCAGTTCGGAATGCCCCTGTGCTGGGTCGTCACTGGGTAATTTGGAAGTGCCGGTGCTTGGTCCGACTTCGTCGGAGGACTCGTCCGACTCTTCTGTGGAGGATTCTTCTTCTTCTTCTTCGGAAGAGGACTCGGGGTCATCGGCGGGGTCCTACGTTCTCTTGTTAGTCGTTATACCAAGTTGACTTGCTGTTATGTTGGCAGAAAACGAGGCATCATACGCGCCACATGCTAACGGGGTTCCCATCTTTATCGACGGTCTGGATGTCTCGGCTGAAGTGTTTTCCACCTAGATACGCGAAGTCGTTAGCTGATTCTTGTTTCACTCTCTATGTGAGTGCAAGTAGGGAAAAGAACATACCTCCCCGACTTGGCTTAGAGAACTTTCCTCCACGACCACGGGGTGCCATCTTCTATTGCCGTATTGTTACGTAGGTGCTGGCGGGTATTGAAGTGCAGAGCGATCTCGACTCGATGTAGACTAAAGCAGAAATGTCTGATGTAACTGTAGGTTTGGTTGAAACTACAGCAGCGCGAAGTTAGTTCGTTTCTTTCATGTCAGGCATGAGCGGAGTTAAGCCTGTGTCCATCTACCATCCTCGTCTTGGGCGGCTGCGTGGAGGGGCAAAGGAAGTGGGGAAATCTTGCCTATTTTTTTTTGTGGCACTTGGTCGAAGCCAACGAAGCTGAGGCTTTCGTTGGTGAGTGGTTCAAGAAGCTCTCTGTGTAAAGTAGCGCGATAAAAAGCAAAGAAAATAACTAAGACTTAGGTATGAGTCAAGAGTTGGCCTGTGAAAAGTGGTTTGGCGGTGTCAAGGTCAATGCTTGAGGCGGGGAAATCTTCCCGTTTCTTGATTCACGCCTTCTTATAGGTGAGTCTGCAATGACGAACGATGCTTTAACAGATTATATTTATGGTATATAAGAAATGAAATATTGAGGAATGATTCTTTTTATGCTCTCTCCCAGACAAACCCTCTCAACTTAGCGGTCCGAGCCGCAATTAAGTTCAGTGTCCCAGCAATAATCACACCGCCCATGAACATTTGAGCATACAAGTAATCTCCGTCTCCTCGTTGGACCAGCGCCCCGGCAATAGGAGACCCAATTAGGGCCGCAACTCCCACTACGCTCATAATCATTCCCATTCGCGCCCCCATCTTTTTGAGGTCGGTTGTAAGGGTGCTCAATGTGGCCGGGAAGAGAGACTGGATCCCAGCTGCCGCAAGGCCATAGAAGGCGGCAAAACCGTACACCCCGCTAATGTTGTGCACACCTGCCCAACAAAAGGCAATAAGGCCTGTAGCAAAGCTGAATGGGATCAACATGTTCAGCGGGCCGGTATACAGATCTGCCATGGAGTTCGGAATGACACGGCCTAAAAGGCCGATACCATTCATGAGTAAAAGGACATAGATCGATGTCTCCGTCGACACACCAATGATTTCGCGGCTGAAGCTTCCGATATAGAAAAAGCCGATGTATAGTCCCCAAAAGTTGAGAAACATGCCGATGGCGAAGAATGAGTAGGATGATTCTTTAAAAGCGGCCCATTCAACGACAGGTCCATTTTTGCGCGGCGGCAGTCGTTGTCGGAGGAAAATCAAGCAGGGTGTCAGGGTTGCTAGTGATATGAAACCCAATGTCCGCATAGTCCATCCATATCCAATCTGCGGTAATAGGCGCATAACAACAGCAGGAAAGATAAGCCCTCCAGTTGCAGATCCTGAAGCCACGATTCCAATGGCAACAGATCGCTTCTTGCTAAAGTACGTGGGTGTTAGCGCAATGGTGGGACAAAACATCAGACCGCATCCAATGCCCTGCCCTACTCCCTGCGCAAGAAACAATTGCCAGTATTTGGTGCACAGAGAAGTCATGAAAATGCAGAACAGTTCCAGCACTGCGCCCATTGTCAGAATGACCTTGAAGTAGCCAGCATCGGTTGCCCGACCAGAGAACACGCCAATGAAGAAAAGTAGGAAGATCTGGATGCTCCCAACCCAAGAAATATCTGACGGAGACCGTCCCAAGGTCTCGGTGTAATACGTCTGAAAGACACCAAAGCTGTTGATATACCCCCAGGTGTTGAAAATGACAAAATGTGCCAGTGCTACCTGTGACCAGGCAAGAAAACCACCATCTGGAGGAGGACCGAGATCTTTTCCCGATTCTCTGGTGCGGACAATTGACAGGGTTCTAGCTGCGAAAGCACCAACATGGCTCATGTTTGTCGCGGTTCTCGTCAGATCCTTGTCCTGGTTTTGATCAATACCTGGCTCCACGTCCTGCGGTGAATTCCTCAAGGACCTAACACCGTCGCTCGAACTATCCTCTACCGGCCTAGCAGCATGGGTTTTCTCGTTTATGGACGCTGAATAGCCCTGTTGGCCGACATCGGATTCCTCGAACGCCATTGTCCAATAGGTAAATAAGAGTTGGAAAGCCCCAACAACGTTTTAGGGTATTCAATCGACACGAAGTTCAGACAAAATACAACGTTGATCCAACGTTAGGGACTGGGGCAAAAAAAGACTGCCAACTTGGAACGAATGACGATGTCGATTGCAGTAGGCAACAAACGCAGGCGACAGAGACGTTGTAGAACATAAGGGCTGAGTTTGGAACGTTTGGAGAGAAACTTCCAACCGTCAGAGCTTCAATCCTAAGAGGTCAAGCAGAGACAAGGCGACGAAGTGACTCAGAAGCCCGAAAGAAGATTTTGCGGGCACTCTTCCCTTCATCCATCCAGGTTTGTCATCGATGCGAAGAGAGCCAGTGGGACTCGCGGAAAAGCTTTCTTCTCCCGAATTTTGAGGGCGGAGAGTGCGGGGCGTGGAAGACAAAAGGCTTCTCAAAGAGAAAGGACCGGCAGGCTGGCGTGGAGACTGGGGACTGAGAATCATATTGCTCGCACAGAAGACCGAAGCGAGCCCATACACCTTAGTAGTTAGTACCTGGGCTATACCTACCACTCTGCACGCCGGCACCACTGGAATGAAAATCCCGCAAATGAGCTTGAGCCAGCTCCATCCTCGCGACGATGAGTTCAGTGGTCACCAGGGGCAGTCACAAGCTCACTCTGAAAAATCTCCGATGCTCCAGATTCCAGATGGTGCTCGACGAGTATCCGGTACATTTGCCGCTCGTGGATAACTGGACTGAAAGTTGGAGCAGTTCACGAAATCCCTCCTTTCTCATTCGCGAGAGGGGAGGATTTCCGAGCCGGGGCCATGGAAGTCAATCGCTAATTTACAGGGCCGTCCCCACTTGATCAAGTGTCATCTCTTGCTTTTCCCATGGGCGAAAGCCAAGGAGGATAAACTGGCACCAAGGCTCAGTGGATAGATACTCGGTGCAGATGGTAGTCTAGAAGCAGCAATGTTGAAGATGCACAAAAATTCGACCACGTGGGAAAAATTATCCGACATAGGATGAGCATAACCACGTGCACCCAGAAGATATGCAAAGGTCAGATTAAAATTTGTCTATTTGTCTAGAATATGCAGACAATTCTATACCCTCCTGTATATGTATATATGTTTAGCCGGGGGCGGGGGGACAAGGGGGCAAAGTAAGAAAAAAAAGCAATATTTTGCTGCAACGTATTTAAAATATTCATCGTTTTAAACCTGAATCATGCCGGTCTATATGTCGTGCAGGACTCTTAATATTCCTGGCCGGAAGAGCTGCTATTGAGCATGGTAACGGTTTCAATAACATCACTGGGTTCGAGGAGATGCCAACCCGCTTCAGTCTGTTTCGAACTTGCGCCAACCGTGACAGTGTAAACATGGTGCGATGGTAGTTCAAACTTCTTCAGAGCACGGAACATGTCTGAGATGCATTAGCAACGATTAACTTTGATCCCCCTGTGAAGCGAGTAAGCAAAAGAGGACATACCTTCGTCTGTAAAATCATCACCAGAGCACAAGATAAACTCCGGTATTTTCCCATTCTCATATGCTTCTACCAACCGCGTCGCGATAAAACCCTTGTTTACAAATCTCGGTCGAACCTCGAGGTTGGCCTTTCCAGCCATTACTTCAACGTCCCAAGCTTTTGACACGTGCTCCTCCAGCTGCTTCCGACATTCTCGCGCCTGGAACGCACCATATTCAGGGTCCGCCCGTCGGTAGTGCCAGGTTAAAGCCACTTTCTTTCTCTCAATGAATGACCCCTGAGTACGCTCCGTGAAGTGTTGATATATCTCCATGACTTCCCTCTGCCAACCCATGTCAGTTGTTTCCGCCAGGTTTTGCCAAATATCTGACCGTGGCATTCGGATGAAGCAGCCATGCTCTGCACTAAGTCCCAGTTCAGGAATATGGCCCATCCATTCATCTAAAAACGCCTGGTCACGCCCGCTAATAATCCACACGGCATTTCGGGGATCCGCCGCCAGACTCTTAAGGGTCCGCAGAACACGATCTGACGGTATAGCAGATTGGGGGTCCTTCACAATTGGTGTAAGGGTACCATCATAATCAAACATGAAGAGCCTCTTTCGAGCTTTGCGATATTGCTTCAAAAGTTTAGCCTTATCGAGGGCCGGGGTTGCCACGGATTGATCGAAGGAAGAAAGATTTGTGAGTAGACGAGAGATAAATTGGTTAGACCAGGCTGAAACTGTATTTGTTGTGACGTGTTTATAGAGCTTTAGATGCTGTTCCTTCTTCTCAGCAGCAGGCACTGTCAGGGCTTTGTTTATTGCATCTGCGACCCCGATAGTGTCCCACGGGTTTATGTGAATCGCGCTAGATAATGCCCCAGCTGTTCCGGAAAATTCAGATAAAATGAGAGGGCTGTGGCCGTCCTGCTGGCAAATAATGTACTCCAAGCTCGTCGTATTCATGCCATCACGAACTGTCGTAATCAGTCCGACATCGGCCACCCGCAATAGTGCGAAGTATTCATGTGGAGACAGATATTGAGGATAGTACTTAACCGGAGAGAAGCTCAACGATCCAAAACGGCCGTTAATTGTATCGACCAAATTTGAGATTCGGCTCGCAATCTTATGCTCCTCTTTCTCTTCCTCGACACTAGTTGGACTGGTGACCTGGATGAGCACAACCTTATCACGCCATTCAGGGAAACGTTCGAGGAACGTTTCAAATGCTTGGAGTTTTTGGGCGACACCACGGGCGCTATCTAGGCGATCGCGGCCGACAATGATTTTCACACCAGCGTATAGCTTGCGTAGCCCTGACACTGCTTTTTCGGTGTCTACACTCTCAAAGGCAGCCTTTTGTATTGTCTCCGCATCGATACCGATGGGGAAGACATCCACGGCCACATGGGCACCATAAGCATCAACGCCAGCCGAGTTGGACTCAAATCCTAGGACGCGAGTACAGCAGGACGAGAAGTGTCGAGAATAGGAAAATGTTTGGAACCCAATCATGTTTGCGCCAAGTACGCCGGTGAGTATTTCTTTCCGTTTGGCTAGACACCGCATAAATTCGCTGCTCGGGAACGGGGAGTGCAAGTAGAAACCAATGTAAACGTTCGGGATGTGCTGTCGTAAAATACTTGGGAGCAGAAATAGATGATAATCGTGAATCCAAACGATATCACCCTCTTTGTATTCCCGGATTATACGATCCGCAAAGAGTCGATTCATCCTCACATAATCCGCCCACGAGTCCCGCTCGAATCTACCGTCCGTGGGACCATGCTGCTTATAGTGTAAGAGAGCATAGAGTTCTTTCTCTGCGTAGCGCCTCCATCTGCTCTGATCCTCTAGATGAACCATATCCTCCGGCACTTCAGATTCATCTGACAGCCATACTGGAGCAATCTTGCCGTGGCGGGTTGAACTCAGCTGTTTTTCTAGTTTTTCTCGATCATTTGCATTCACTGTAAAGGATTCCGCTGCGGCATTATTAAATTGCAGCCTGCTTGCATCAAGGGACATTGGGGTTGATCCCTTATTAAGAGCTCGAGAAGCATTGTCAAGTGCGGTGGACAATTGTGTACCGTTATTGGGACGGTTTGGCTGTGAAGGAGTGCTTTCCTTGTGCAAAGGCTCTACTTCTCCGGTCCATCCAACCAACGTATGCGCCCAACCCGACTTATCAGAAGCCAAGTATGCAAATGAATCAAACAAGGCAGAAGATCCAGGGCGAGGTTTCAATTCCTAAACCCATGGGTTGATTAGCATTTGTTTTCATTATTCGACGACCGGAGACAAAAGAACAAATCATACCCAGTCTTGGCCCGCTCGGAAGTAAAGTTTGTGTGGAATGCAGAAAGCAACACTAATAATCCTACCGGTAAGGCTTAAACTCGAGTATTGTTGCTGAAAGTCGGGTGCTCGCATTGTGAGTACTTCCTTTAAGCTCAATCGACGTAGCAATTCACTCCCTGATTTCGCATGATTAACTATGTCAGACGGCATGTCTAGCCCAACGGTATCCGGAGCAGAGGTAGATGCCCCAGGTATGTTCTGGGATGAGGCATCTGAAAATGAATCAAATCGAACTTCTCCTGGTCTCCCATTGGGCTTTAGGATGGTGGGATGTAACGACATCACAGGCAAACAGATTGTCACGCCTTCGATAGTGGATATGCGAGGGTGGATGGCGGCTAAGATAGGGTTGGCTCTCCTTGAGGGTGATAACGAGCATCAGCCTTCCGCTCACTTGATATCCGTGTTTGAGCGGGTCTTTGTTCGGGAGTTCTTGCTCAAGTGAGTGATGGTAGAGCTAAATAACTTCCAGGCTATGTCATTAAAGGTATGGGTGAAGGTCAATGTAAAAGAGACAAGTACTCTGTACACAAATTCGGAGGACGAGGGGCACGAAGGTTATCGGAGGGGCAACGAGGCGGTGAGAAAGATTGGTTAAACGAAGCGATTGAGAAACTCGAGAAGGTGAGGGCTGTTTCGCAGCCAGAGAGGGTGATGTTATATATGCACGAGTCCTAGGCCTGATATCCACTTCCTCGTGGTCTTCGAAACAAGCAGGAATTGACGAAGTGTCGAGGGGGTCAACGGGTGATCGACGCAAAGGAAGCGCACCGACACTGGTGAATTTGAAGTCGCCCGAGGAAGCACAGCATGCAGAGCTCTAGAATTGAAAAATCACAGAAAATCCATTATCCTGAGAGGAGTCCGGTGTGGAAAGAAGCCAAATAAGCCAAGCAATAATCAGTGCACTGATGCCGAAGCGTTATTCTGCCCCGGTGGAATTTGGGAGAGGAAGAATCCAGAACCTGGGACGCCGCGTGGAGGAAGGGCGACGTCATTCATGCTCACTTGCCCTGAACACGCTCTTCAATCGACCACGAACCATCAGCTTGCAGTACTTTGGTTTTACCTAGAGTAGGCTTCAAGCACAGAGTACATGGATATTTCTAGGCTCATTTGAAATTGTGACAAGTCACCGAGTGTCTTAGGGCTGCCACAATCATGTGCAGCACCCTTGTCACAACCCACGCCAGGTCGCATGCGGAGATACTTTAATTGGCCTCGCTTCCAAGGCACCAAGGCACCAAGTCACCTCTCTTTTGGCACACGTGATATCGCGGGCCGTTTTTTCAACTGCACCCAATCCCATACACCTCATTAAACCAAGTGCTCGATGGAGTTGACGATGTGTCGGAGTCGATGCCATATTTGACCGCGCGAAATACAATTGCTGAGAAATGCGCTTTCGCATAGCCAATCGCCTTCTATCCTCACCTACAGTTTCCCGCCGGACCTTCCACCATGTCTCCGTCCAAGCTAAAGATCCCATGATCTTCGAAAACAGTCTTGAGAAAACCCTCAAAGAGCACCGATCAGTAAACCGTGCGTGCTTGATACGCAAGGTCGTTTCTGGACCTGAGTCACACAAACGGACACGTTTCCCCCCCCGAGATAAATCGCGCAAGTCAGTGTTGTCCGAGCCACCAGTATGGCGCGAATCGCAAAGCCAACTATCGTCGACAGCTACACAATCATCTACCCTCCAAAACGATGAAAAGCCGCTTGGCCCAATTAATGGGGAGCTGATCACGGCTCTGCCCTTTCATTCGCCAATGAGATTAAAATTGAGGAAAGGGCAAGCAAAACAACGTCCATGGCTTTTTCAACTGGACCCAAATCAGCGATTTTTGAGCGGCGTCTCGCAACTTGATGCTGAGCTTCGAGCTCTGGAAAGATATTTGACCCCAACCAGGCAGGAAGTAGAAGTGGCGGATCAGGTTACATCCGATATCACCGACATCATTTCAAACCCAGCGCGCTATACGCCACCCAGCATTGTTCGCACGGGATTCGAGATGAGCCATTCTGATTTAAAACTCATGATCTCAGTTCCAGGCGCAGATCGACACGAGAGGCTTCGCGACTATGCCAGGTTCCTTAAGGTCGCCTGGCGCGCTCTTGGTGAATGTCCTAAATATGAACTACGACGCACTCTCGGGTCGCCAGCCACTCATGTGGTCGTTCACAAGCCCACCGGACTCTCGTTCCGCTTGCACTGCGCCGATGCTGAGCCCGCATACCTTGAACGCATCCGATATTTCCACTCGCAATATTCGGACCTCCGTTGCCTATACCTCGCCACACAACTGATCCTAACTACGGCGGGCGTTTTTGGTAGCCGCAGAAGCTCGATAAGCCGTGAGGGCCTACAAATGCTTATCGCGACCTTCCTCAAAATGAACGATGGTCGATTTCGCAGTAGTGCCAGTTGCGGCGAATCATTCCTCGCGTTCTTGCACCTCTTCGGTACAGAAATAGACCTTTTGACAACTGGTGTTACAGTCGAACCCCCTGGCTTCTTCAACGCCCGCTCAGTGGAAGAGGAATGGCATGCGAATGAACCTAAAAACCGCCCACCTTACCTCCTCGGGCAACGCTCACTCATCAGATCGAAGAAATACACCAAGAAGAAGCGTAGCAGATTTGTTAATACTGGCTTATTATTGCAGGATCCAACGGATTACATGCAAAACCTCGGCCACGTCCAGTCACGAACACCATATTTACAACATGTTTTTGCAACGACACATAAAAACCTGGAATTAGCCCTAAAGAACTGGAATCCGGCCCATCATCTTATACAGAAAACGAGTATTCTGGACAAGGTTTTGCACGTGAATTTTGAGGAGTTCGAATCACGGAGAGCTTCTATACTTGCCGCTAGCACGGCTTCAAACAAAACATAACTCTTAAATACGTACTATAGAATTTTCTTTGGTAGACCATGTTCTTCTAACCACGACGAGAGAGACGGTTTCGATTTGGATTCTAAAGGAAAGCGCGGCAAAGACACTGTTTTCTTTGTCAATCTATACCTGCGTGTCGGTTGCGCAGGTATGCCGGGTAGTCAGATTCAACTGACGAGGTTCTCCTAAAGCAACTCTTTTATCATACCCTACTCTATTCCCTCAATTATACAACCCATATCTAGTATAATATATAAACTGAATGGGATGTATTTGAATTATGCCTCTAAAAATCAAGTTCTTTTTCTAAACTGACTATCAGAACAGAACACCCGGTAAGGCTGAGTGCTCGCCGAGAAAACTAGTGCATGCGTCTGTATAGGAAAGAGGAAGAAGAGAACGCCCGCTTGCCATGATGGGTACAAATGCAGTCACGGCCACAGTCACGCCTGCGTATGTGGGAACAATTATACAAATAATAGTATCAACGGTGAAGAAAAGACACAGGACTGCGAGAATCGCTCCAATATTCCAACGAAATTAATAACAACATGAAAGATGCTGTGTCTAAAGAACAATGCCAGATAAGAACCAGCAAGTTATACAAGTAATGAACGGCTCCCGATGAATAAATATTATATTAGTTGCTAATTTCGACGTTAGTCAATGCATCAATGCTCTCTTGGTATTTGTTAACTTACTAAATTTCCAGAGGAGAGATTTGGTCGAGGGTGTAAAGCCAGTTCCCACCCTGTTCTTCTTTCTCAAGCCTGAGACTGTTAGTTATCTCTCTCTTTTTTTTTTTTTTTTTTTTGCCCCTTCAGATAGAAAAGTGGTAGAACATACCAATCATAAGGCCAGAGGATGAGATGCCCCTGAACCTGGTTGAGGAGATCTTCAGCTCTTTGCTTGTCTATGACTTCGTCGGTCGTGAAATCCCTCTTTGACCCCAGTGTTGTGGCCCTGCGTCTACGACGTCGTGAGTGATTTGTGGCATTCCGATTCAATGCTTCCGAATAGTCGACTTGGGGCGCCTCTGAACGTTGTCTTTCAAGATCATCTCCAGAGGAAATGTTGTCTTCCTGCCGTTCAGTGCCGGTTCCAGGCCCGTCCACCGGCTTCAAAGTAGCCTTCTCGTTCAACGGTGATGCGGCTTCATGGTTGACTAGATCAGATTGTAGTCGATCGTTTGAATTTGGTCCGTCTGACTTCTCGTCTGTCGGGGTCTGGCTCTTCTGTTCCGTAGAGTGGCTCCCCGTGCGGTGTAAAGCCAATGGGAGATTCGGCTTAAGTTGGTTTGGCCAGGTAGTACCTGTACCTGGGGGGCCTGTCTGTCGTTGATGATTCGGGTTGAAAGCCTTCGCGGTGTGGTGGCTTTGCATCTCTGCAAACCGCTCCCCATATGCAGTATACTCCTTGTATTCTTTCCAAGATCTGACTTCACTGTCAGGCATACAGCGAAAAACGTTTCGGAAAATTTTAGTATTCTTTTCCGCCACAGCTTGCCACGTATCCAAGTAGAACACGTCGACCACGGGGTCCCTCATGCAGTCTTTGTCAACGAAGATATGCTTCACATCCGGACCAAGAGGGGACAAAGCCGGCGACGAGAACTTCAATGTATCAAACTTCTCCTTAGGTATTGCCAAGGGTAAGCTCCCATCTTGCGAAGCCGCTAGGGATGGATTTTGGACCGGCATTGCTTCCACGACTGGAGCAGTACCACCATCTTCGGCCGCCAGGGTAGGTTGCGTTGCAGTTAGGTCTTGGCTGACGGGGCTATTATTTTGTTGCGAATTCTTTCGTGGAGGGTTTGGTCGCTGAACGGTGCCTTTGCCTTCACTAGCAATAGGGGAAACTAACACCTCTCGCCTGTTGTTGAAAATTTCTGAATCGCGGGAGTTTCCTAGCCCATTCTCCTCTGCAACGCGAAGATTGTCGGTACCGAGCCCCTCCACATCCTTCCTATGGTCGTTATTGGAAATTACCCTCGTGTCTGTCGTAAGCTTTCTGTTCGACTTGAGGTTCGGGTTGTTACCCTGCTCCCAGTCGACGTCATGATTAAAGCTGTGTAGGTCCTCAGAACGAGATAAGAACTCATCCTGAATACGATGGCGGCGCTCGATCATATCTCTTTCATCTTGTTTCTCTAACATAAGGGACTCTGAATCAAGTTTAGCCTTTCGAAGCGGCTTGGGCTCCTCTTCATCGATCTGGATCTTTCGCAATTCTTCCTCCGTAGCTAAGGAATGCTCCATCAACTCATCGACATCAATCCCAAGATGCTCTCTCATAAGACGCATGCGAAGTGTGTGCGGAAATCGCCCGACAAGATAAGGCCGACCATTCATGGTGGACCATATCATGTCCGTATCACGCACTACTGAAGCAACCTCTGAGTCTCGCGACCCCAGCATAGACCTCTCGTTGATATTTGCGGATCCAATGATGGCTGCTCGGTCATCCACAATCATACACTTGGCATGAATGTAAAGTTGCTCCGTGACAAGCTGTTTCTGAGGACCGATCTTACCCCAGGCTCGGAGGCTGAAGAACTGAATATAATCCTCCGGCTCAATTCCTAGGGCACGCAGCCGCCCAAAAATTGACGTTTCTCCGCGGCAGATACTGCGGTACTGGCACATCATGATCAAACGAACACTTGTTCCGCCCTCACTGTCCACCGTGTTCTGGAAACCTGGTATCAGTGGAATGACAATGACTGCACGCCACGCCTCCTTATTCTTTGCAGCTCTGGTGATCCGCTCTACTAGTGCATCACCAATCAAGTTCTCAATCTTCCTGCCATCAATCTCGCAAGTACTGACGAAAAACTGGTTTTCAATATAAACGAAATGCTCCGATTCTTCGATCAGCTTCACATAAGCGTTCATGATACTGTGCTCCGTAACCTCTGGAGTTCCCGTAGACCATACACTACTGGAGCGCAAGATCTGGACCTCGCAGGTTCCGTCAAGACCAAGTGCTTCCAGATCCGCAGCCTCAAAATCTGGCGGAGGCAATAGAAATGGGGTCGGACGTGTTGGTTTCCGTTGCCGCAGTATATAATTCCATCGTTGGACGAAGTGTCGGGTAAGGTCCCTCGCTGGCTGGCCAACGACATGCATAGAAATATCATGCCACGGCATCCTTGGTATAACATTGCGATCATACATTTCCTCGTAAGGCTTGTCCAAGTCATAGAAGTCCTGTATCCGAGGGTTCGAGTAGTCCTTGCCGGGCCAGAGCTGGCTGTTGTCCGTATCTTTATGACCACCAGGAGCCTCGAAACCGGTTGGTTTATCGTCAGTCAGAAGATGTTGCGGGGTGTCCCATCGTCCAAAACACAAATCAATTCCTCCAACGAAAGCCAGGGTGTGGTCAATAAGGCAAAGTTTTTCGTGGTGCGCCCAGAAAAATGTATTCTGTCGGAATTGGTTGGGTGAGCGTTGAACAAAAATGTTCGGATGCAGATCAAGCAGGGAGAATTTAGAGTATTCCGAGTCGATTGGAATGGCGGAGTTTATATTGCGATACATGATGACAAAAATCTTCACGCCCTCGCGGGCCTTCCGCTGAAGAAGACGATCAAGACGCCATTTCTGGCTAATCGCAGCTGGTCGCCGCATATACAATTCGGGACTGAGCCACCAGTCATGAATATAAATGACATCCTTGGCCTGGTTGATCGCTCTGGATACAACCCACATATGGTCACGCCCGTCAACCAGCCATTGAGCGAAACAGCGTTGACGGACTGGAGCAAAGCTATCAAAACGGTTCGGCTTTCCCCATGGAGTACTGTCGACCATAAATTTGATAGAATCCTCGAACTGGTGAAGCTGACGCTCGTTCCTCGCCAGCAGTCTAAGTTTGCGCTCAGAATTCTCAAGCCTCAGGGTGTGGTGTTGTGGGTGTCTTGCTGATTCTGTCGCAGATTTCGCAAGTTCTTTTGCTTTCTGATGCCGCAGGCCGACCTTCTGGGATTGAAGCTTGAAGAAGGGATCGACCAAGAACACATCGTAGATATTCATCTCTTCAGGTGAGTCAACGCAGACAACATAACTGTGTCGGACGAGGAACCATTTAGGAGAATGTCGCCTCTTCATCATCCCCGGGGTAAAGGCTCGTCGAAAATCGAGGCCCTTGGAGGATTGGATCATGAGGTAACCTTCTTTGCCGTGGTAACTGCCCTCGGCTGCAAGACGGACCCCCAAGGCAGAAAGTTCTAGAAATTTGCACAAACGGTTGCTATCAGGCTTGAAAATCAAGAATCGAATCAGCTTCTGAAGGTAGCCTTCCAACTTCTTCCGCTGTCTCTCCGGGTAGGTGTCCCTCTTGGTCGATGACGGTCCGCCCTCCCCGGCAGCTCCAGCTCCAGCATCTCCCTCGGCTCCCGTTAAGCTTGACATTCTTCGAGCTATACCAACTGAAGATCGCCGTCGCCCATGGGACTGATGTTGTTGCTTTCTTCCAGGTCTTTCATTGCCACTCGTGGCATCGGCAGCGGTTTCATAGCCACCCTCATCCTCCTCTTCTTCTCCCTCGCTCTCCAACCCGCGAACGCCTCGTAGGTATGGAAACGCACTCCGGGGAAACCGTGGCAGGCTTTGGCCACTTTCAGTGTTCCGTAGTTGGATGTACTTCTGCGTTCCAAAATGGAGCTTATATTTCAAATGTAAATTAGCAAAATCACGCAGCGTTCGATGTATAATCCATTTCATGCGTGTCATGCCGCTGCCGTATTCTAACTCAATTCGAAAGACGAGGTGACGGTCCCCTGAGTGAGAGTCGATCTTACTATCTGTAACCCGAACTTTGAGCTGTTCGAGGAGAATAGGAATACGCTTGCTTCCATGCTCGTCTCGCTGAAACATACTGGCTAAAAGTAAGGCAGCCGGAATACCGGATGCCAGCTCTGCCAGCAATTCAGCTGATTTGGCGTGGTCGACGGTGCTATCGACCCTGCGTCCGCGCTGTCCGATAAGTTTTAACCCGGCCTTAATCTGTCGCCATTTTTGGGCACTCAAACTTGAGCCACGCTCAGGCCGGTGACGTCTCCAGGACGGTGCCAGTCCTTCTCCGGCTTCTGACGGACCTCCTATGCCAGTTATACGTCGAAGGTTGCTTGGTCGTTTATCTTCCGTGTTTGTCTGGTTTTCTGGCTGCCGTCCACCATACGTTAAGCCACGCGAATTCATAAGCCAGGTGCTTCGCCGTCTCCACGCAGCATCCCTACTTAGACGGTCGCGGCCCTCGTCTTCGGAGACACCTTCGCGCTGCTGATGTAGATCGTGCGCGCTCTCTCTCCGTTGGAAGAAGCTAGGACGGTAGTTCTCAAATGGTGCAAACGATCCATGAAGATTGAACGACGGCCGGCTCGCTTTTGGCGTATTTGGCTCGGTTTGTGGTGCAGAGTCATTCTCCTGCCCTCGGCGAAATCGTCGCTTCTTTCGTGGTTCACGCGGTCGCTGCTCACCTGCGCTTTCTTCTGCATCGGCATCTATATCGCTTCCTTCTTCCTCTAATGTATTAGGAAAACGGAACTCCCCTCTCTCGGACCCTGGGGTGGAGAGGTCATGATTGGCAAAACGAGCGTCCCCAATTGTTGCATTACTGGATGAGCGGGCGTGGGATGTAAACGTCGGAGTGGCAGCAAATGCTTTGAGCTTGGTGAAAAGTGATTGTCTTCCTCGCCCTGGGTCGGCATCATCGCCTGCGACGGAAGGAGGTTGAGAATGCGAGGTCTCCACGGAAGGTTCTATTTCAGAATTCTGCCGCGAGAACTGTACGCTTGCACGGTGGGGTGATGCAATAGAAGCCGGAACCGAGTTTGGTGTCTTCTGGTTAATACCTTGTCTATTGGCACTCTCAACAGATTCGTTCGGTCGTCGAAGGCTTAACGTAGTGTGGGTTGCTGCATCCAATGGTTCTGAGACCCCGCTTACGGCACCAGCGTGGGATTTCCCCTTGCTGAAGTAAGAGTTCTCCTCATCATATATGATTCCACCGTTGCTAGCTTGCTCTTCTGTCGTATTGTGCTTGGTTTCGGTCGGGGACGGAAAGGGGGAGGATAGTTTCGGGGCGTGAGATGTCGGCATCTGCTGCGCCCGTTTCGTATAAAATCGATCAGAATTAAGCTCAGTGTCCCTCTCCTCCGGAGCATTCGTTGGAGCATCGGCCATGATAGCTCGTGCAGAGTAAGGAGGGCCGGTCCAGGTGGTTGCAGAAGGCACCTGGCAGCGGGTCAAAGTAAAGCCCGTCGAATTGAAAGTGGTCAAAGCGCGGCTCGCAGTCCACACATAGTTCTTGGTCGTGGTCGGTGTGAATTTGAGCAAACAACTTCAAAGCCAGGCTGTTCAAAAATCTGGTTGATCAATTCAGTCAGGTCGGAGGGTGGTCTGGAGGTCCGGAGGACAAACAACCATGGAGGGAACAACAATGCCGAGCCGCAGTGGAGCTGGCCCCATCAATTTCAGACCGCTGCGCTGTTGGTCCATGGTGCGTCGGCCTGGGAAAGGGGCATTCAGTCCTTCCAACATTTATGTCCAACTATTGGCGAAAACACAGGAATCTGCTACTCTAGATCTGGAAATTTGTGTCGTGACTTGCTAAATACATAGAGTTGAGTAAACTGAATATTTATGGACCATCCTCAACTAGTCTTCTTGTCTCATTCCTACTCTCGTTCCAGTAATATCTAGGAGTAGTTGCGAATCTCGCGTCAGTATATATATATATACATATATATGTACTTAACGTTATTACTATGGATTCGGCATCTCATCTAGGTACTACTTAGATTTTAGATGACCTTACGGATGCCTCTAACTCGTCTTTGCCTGAGGCAAGTGCATCGCCAATGAATCTAACGGCCTCATCAACCATCTTCGGTGTAACCTCGTGCCCCGCGTTCTGATCAATGATATCTTCAAGGGTAACGGCTCCATCGGCGAACCAGCCATGAGGCCCAGCCGCCAGTTTAAGCCAAGTCAAGAACGCTTCTCCTTTACTGTACGGCACCAGCTTGTCGACACCCCCGGAGAGATTGAGGATCTTCTTCCCCGCTAAACAGCGCGTTAAAAGCGGCCGGAGGGCTGTTCTCTGGGCCTCCGTGGGCTCTGGGATCGGAGCGCTGCGAATAGGCTCCGCTCCTAGGCTAAGGCTTAAATAGGATAGGAATAAACCGGCAGGATCCCATTTGCGGACGGCTTCTAATAGGGTGGCTGGGAAGTCTTCTGATCCTAGGAACTGTGCGCCAGGTGGGGTTGTGCTTGTGTATGACGGGAGTTTGGAAAGGCGAGCCCGATCGGCCATCACGTTTGCGTAGTCAGGGCAGCCAATGATTACAACGCCAGCGGTGATGCGAGGTTCGTGCAGGATACAGCTCCAGGCTGCATGCCCGCCGAGAGAGACGCCCAGGACAAGATTCTCGGTGATGCGGCGGTCCGATTTAGGAAAGACAAATGCCGGGAGAAAATCAATCAACAAGGAGGTATCTCGCGCGGTGCCCTCTAACTCGCTCCATTAGTTCTTGGGTGTATTGTTTAGGTTGAAGCCCAGGGCATCGGAGGACAAACTCACGGAAGACGGAAAACATATCCTGGGCATGTCGCGGGTTTCCCTGCCTCCAAGCCTCATTGCAAAGGGGATCAACCAATCTTGTGCCGTGATTTCTCTGATCAAAGGCCACTGCAATCAACCCTTTGACCGGCTTGCCAGAGCCCGCACGACCATCTTGGATCCGCTTGTTCCAGTCCTTGATGACGGCGGTGGCAATGGGGACCATGCGTTCTTGAGTTGCAAGTCGCGGGTGCAAAAGCCAGAGACATGCAATCTCCGATGCCTGGGGTGGAAGTTCATCAAGTCCGAACACAGCAGTTTGGATGCCGGCGACGGGGAAGATCCTTCGCGAGATGTTGTTCTCGCGATAGCGGGGTTCGGTTTCTAACGTTTTTAGCGGATCTGTCATTGTCCTTTACTCGGCCGTTAAGAAGGCGCAGATATCAAAGTAGACAAAAGGAATCAAATATGATTAATGGGGGGCGATTAATGTTGTAGTGAATTACAACTTACCGGCCATCTTTATAGTTGGAGACCTGGGGTCAAGATAGTGCGGATGCTGGACCGAGCTTTTTGATGTTTCTGCCGAGGATAAACCTCCGGGTCGAGGAATGGATTGGGGTACGTCAAATGCTATGATACCCTCAGTAGCAACTGCTTATTTTCCGAGAATGCTCAAATTTCGCCCCTCCCTGGATTAAAAAAGGACCTATACCTGAGGATCTATATAGACAAATATGGTCATCTCATTCGACCGGCTATGCATACTGCTAGGCTTCTTTCCGTCGAGCCCGAGCCTACGCTTATGGTCTCAGTCTGCAAAAACTGAAGATGGCGTAGACAGTCGCCAATGGGAAAAGGGATTCCTCCTTATGGTATTTTATTGTTAAATGTGATCGTTAAGGGCGTTCGGAGGCCAACTATGTTTATCACAAACACAAAGAAGAAAAACTGAACCCTTGTTGTGTAGATACACGGATCCATAAGTTCGATCCGCGGCTCCCATAGTCGAGGTCTCTTCTGACGCCCGTCTATTTACGCCGGCCCATTATCAGCACAGCACCTGCTCCAGCTTTTGCGTTGCGCCTCCAAAACAAAGAAAAACGTTCCCCTTCACCGTTCATCTAAGCAACCAGCTCAATAACACCACCAGCATCCTTGATCTTCTGCTCAGCATCACGGCTAACGTAGCGGGCACGCACAACGATAGGGACTTCAGGAAGACGGCCCTTGCCGAGGACCTTGGAGTAGCCGAGAGAAAGGAGATCGATGACGGGAGCAGTGTCGGTCTTCTTGCCGCTCACGTAGGCCTCACGCTGCTCAGCGGGGACGAGGGACCACAGCTATTGAAGCAAAAACAATCAGTACCCAAAAAAAAACCAAATTTCGTATTTGTCGGTCTTTGTCCAAGGTTCCAACACTTCAGAGGCAAATCCCGCATGCCTGTTCGAGAATGCGACGGGTCTTCTCTAATATCTTCAATCCGCTCGTGGAAATTCGCAACGTACCTTGTCGAGGTTGATTGTGGGCTTCCAGAACTGCTGCTGGGTCTTGTGGAAGTACCTCATACCGACCTTACCGAAGTAACCGGGGTGGTACTTGTCGAGGTTGGTGCGGTGGTGGTGTTGACCACCGGCCATACCACGACCACCGGGATGCTTACGGTGCTTTCCGATACGACCGTAACCGGCGGAAACATGACCGCGGCTAGAAAAACGATATATGTCAGTCTCTTGTCAATTCCGTGGTTGATGATGGTGATTTCGGCCGTGGCTCGTTGCCAGTTTTCTTCGATTCCTTCCGCAGTGCATATTTCGTCGGGAAAATTCGAACGGGAAAAAAGGGGATAGATAGTTTGCGACGCACCTCTTTCTTGTCTTAGTGAGACGGGTAGGCATCTTGTCGAGGGTGCTGTGTTCGACAAGTGTTGGCGATGGGGATGCGATCGGAGTCTTCTTCTGGCTCGGAGGTTGAATTCAAGGCTGGTCCCCGGCTAGAGTGTGCGCTAACCCGCTTGTTTGCCCTAAAAAAGGGTGAGCCCTAGAATGTCTTGGCATACCTAGACCACGTGATTTTAATTTCACCTGCAAGCTAATGATTTTTGGTTTCAATAGAGGCCGTCTGAGGAATTTCCTGAGTGCAGAAATTATAGTGAATTAATCATATCATATTGCTGTCTCTTTTTTTCATCTAATTTTGTTGTGGAAAAATCGAGCAAGGGATCCCAAGGTTACCCCTGCCGTCAAATTAGCGGAGTCCTTTTTCAAGCTTTGCTGAATCCATCCAGGTAGTTTTGACTGTATCTTGGATCTTCCATATCGTTTATCAATAAGGATGATGGCGGCATAATCATTGCGGTGCCTGATGGCCCGGCCGATGCATTGGTTCACGGCCCGCATACAAGCATTCTCATAGAAATCCCCCCCAGCGGCTTTGGCGGATGACCGCCGACTTTCTTCAGAGCCAGACGACTGATTCTGGTAAGCCTTTTGTTCAATATGTTTGATTTTAGCTTGCCAAACTGGGCTGCGTATATTAGGAAATGGGAGGCCGACGATTAGCACGCCTCTTCCTAGTTTGTCTGAGAAATTGATACCCTCCGACAACTTCCCGCCAACTACGGACAGGAGTAACGCTCCCTTGCCGTTTTCAATGGTGTTAGCGTAGTGGCGAAGGAGATCGTCCGTTGTGGTTTCCATCTCTCGTGATTCGTATATAATCGGCTTTTCTTTCTCGATTAGCTGGTAGAATGATTGACCTGTTTCACCTGGGATTGGTTTTTTCCATCTGTTTAGAACCTGGCTTAGATAGTCGTAGCTGGGAAAGAAAGCAACAACGCCATCAGGAACGACATGGCAGATTTTAGCGATTGTTAAACCGAGGTCATATATCTAGTGCAAGAATTAGGGTCCAGATATGCTTATGAGAAGGCTTGGGGAGAATACCATTTCCTCAGAATTACGACCATCATAGGTAAAATCAAATTGAGAGCCCTGAACACCCAGAGCGAGATTATGTGCAGTCAAATTTTCTGCCGGGATGACATGGCCATAGCTGAACGTATCCAGGCGGTCCCTCGGAACATAGGAGAAGAGATGGCTCAAGTAGTCAGACATCTGCAGGGAAAATTAGAAATTTTGTTACACAACAAGAGATTCAAAGCTCTTACAGGGGACATGGTCCCTCCAGCCAGGATGACCGCCCTTGCATTCTCAACAATCTCACGGAAGTGATTAGTTGGGTCAAGAAGCATGTAATCTAGCTGGATATCTCCTTGGGACTTGGTATAGAATAATCGACCCTCGGCAGAAACATTCATTAACGGCAGTAAAAAGCTTTGTATGTGAAAAAGAACAGGAACTGCAGCCTTGATCTTTATTCGTTGGTCTGCTTTATTCTGTGAGAAGTCGACGTAACCGTCAACTTTTCTCGCCAGCTTGCTCTCCTGCAAATACCTCGATAGTTTATGCGGATTAATCTGATCAACGCCTTTCCCTGACATCAAATCGGACGGGAGAACAGAGCCTTCGTTGGGCTGATTGCTATTTAAAATGGACTGAAGGTGGTCCGCAATGGAGCTGATCAAGCGGATGACCTGAGCGACATAACTGCGATTCTTTCCTTTTAGGCGAGTCTTGAATTTTCGAGCATATGTGGTTAATTGGAAGATTGATGTTTGTAGTTGAGCAAGTGTAATGGTTACCGAGTGGATGTTGGATATTGCGTCCATAAGATTATGGGCTTCGTCAATGACAATAATCTGGTCCTTGATTGATATATTAAGGGCCTCCCGAGCTGATCGTTGTAGGAGTAGAGGATACGGAAGGGTTATAATCTGCCTTAAAATTAGCCCCAGCTATCAAATGCTGCAAAGGCAAACCCACCTCACTCTGGCTGGCAACTGGGCGAGATGCGTAGTAGGGACATATATTCATTTTCTTGCCAAGTTTTCCCAAATCCTCAATGTCTTTCACGGTTGATAGCGCGTGGTCCCGAAAGGACAATGTTGCCATATCATCTTCCTTCGATGGTAGAAAGGAACATCGCTGTTGTTCTGTGGTGTTAGGTTGCTGCAATTCCAAGCAGCGTTCATTGATTGCCGTTGAATCTCCCAAAGAAGCCACTTTGGGGTTGATACAGAGGTTTTTCCGGGATCCAAGTGAGAGGTGCCTGATGCGTTCTTCTAGCTCTTCTTCAGTAAAAACCTGTTTTAATTCCTCGGGCACACTCGATGGTAATGTAACGCGCCTTAACTCATTTGCAAATTGCATAAGTTGCGAATGCGTTCTCGAGCAGTAGAAAATCTTAATATCATCTGTCCCGTCACCTTCTTCAGATTGAACTTTCGACCCACGGCCCTTAAGGCGTTCCAATAGCTCGACTGTGCTGGAAGAAAGTCCATTAGAGGCGGTAGACTCCTTTAACGAAGGGCTGGGACCATCAGTCTCGCTATCGTAATCATCGAGCGCGAATTGGCTGTCATCATCAATGCCATCGCCATTTGGCAACGCATTTCCAGTTTTCTAGACCATATATAAACTTAGTTTCCATTTGCTGCCTTGGTAAACAACACCCATACCTGTCGCTTTCTAGGAGCATCTGGGTTATTAAGGGTGGTTTTCTGTTGCTCTTCTTCTCGTCTAACTTTTGCCAATCGCCGCTCGAATTCTTTCCGTTTCTCAGCAATAGCACGAGTTGTTTCGCGCTTTGCGAATTCCATCATCCACTCGGGCTCATCGTCGTCATCTAGAGATTCCGGTCAGCGGCGTGCTAAGCGATGCAAGTAGAGTATTAATTACATGTAACGTTCTGAACGGTTTCGAGGAATGATTTGCGTTTGTGATCGCGAAGCCACGTCAAGGAGCCACATATCAGGCTCAGGGATTTTCCCTGACGAGTTAGAAGCAGGTCAACCACATGAGGTACATCTACTTACAGTCCCTGATGGAGTGTGTCAGCCATTTCTATAGAAGGTCAAATCCGAACTGTGAACTTACCAGTGGGAGACTCAAAGACAGCAACTTTACCTTCCTCAAGACATGTATACAGAGATTGCATAAATTGGAGTTGAATATCGTATGGTGAATACGGGTGATGAAACTTCTCCGCTGCTGATAGCTCCATGCCTAGGGCTTTCTTGTCGCTCATATCTGCCTATAATTGAAGACTATTTTTTAGATCAAGGCTAACTGAAATGCTAGCAATGGATGTGGCAGGGAGGGAAAACGTCAAAGACAAAAGATGGAAAACAAAAACCATGCATCTATATACATATCCTTAGAAAAACCAAAACCAAAAACAAGATCCGAACATTAGTTATTTATCAAGGCCACAACAAACTCTTTGTTGAGGAAAGATGTATGGAATGACTTCCAACTGGACCATGTGAGGCATACAACACTAACCTTGAAGTTGTGAAAATGGTCAGAAGCTGAAGTCAAGACATTAGTCAACCTGACAATTTAACTCGATCTTAGAACTTACCCACTCAGTCAAAAGCCAAGAAGGAAGTAATTCATGAATCAGGAGCTGAAACAGGACAGAATCACAGAAGGCTTGGGTACCCCGAGCAATCTGCATGGATGATGGCGTCAGTCACTCTCAGCCACACCGGAGAACGGCCAAGACAGGCTCCGTGGGATCTCTGGAAGAAGTGCAACACGACCAGCCACGCTACGGGCTGCGGCTAAACCTGATAAAAATAGCCTCTTCGAACGGCTGAAGCCAAGGAGGAAGCGGACACGAGTGGTTGTGACTTGTGAGAACTCCAGGGTCAGATTTCTATTAATAAGACGCTCTCCTCTCCCACCCCCGGTAGATGGTGGACCGACGGTGTAAGACACTTAGTAGTTGGCCTGATCTTAGCAGCCTGCCCAGCTCTGGTTTGTTATTTGATGCTGCCGACTGATATTATTATTAGGGAGAAAACCCAGCGACCCCGCCGTCTGCTTGATATTGATGATTATCACAATAACTCGGCGTCTATTAATAAATACCCGTATTGTTGTCTCGTCTTTTGCTGACCCTTTTGGCTTGTTGAGCTGTTAATTTATTATTGAATATTGATATTTGCTCTGGACTCCCCCAACACGAGCCCGTTCCACTGCTCCATCACGGTCAGCCGTCCAGTTCGGGTGTTTGTTCAGCGGGGTCTCTTCCGGGAGACGTTGGCTCCTTTCCCCTCCGTGCTGGATATTCTGCAAATCCCTTCCCTTTGCTGGCAAACTTCAGATAGCTTTCCCTTTTCTGTCTTTTTCTCTTGAGCCTTACGAGATCCGCTTCTCCAAGCCGTCCACGGTCATTTTTTCCCGCCTCATCCCTTTCTTTCTGTTCGGGAATGCGATGAACCCGCCAATTCCAAGACCCTAAACAATAGCTCTCGTTTGACCCCGGCGACCCAGCACCATTATTGGCAGGGGTGGAATCTGCGGTCGCGAAAAAAAAAGGAGAAGAAAAGCAAAGAAAGCGCCATAGTCCCGACGCGGCTTATTCTCGCGAACAATGAATCGACCACCACAAGGCCACGGCCAGGGAGGCCTCTCTGCGACCTGGTATCCGGGAGGCAGTGATGATTGGTACATGCCAGCCACGAACCCCGAGGTCATATCTCCTTCTCCCCAAAGGTGCGACCGCGTTCTCCTTGATTCCCAAGTTCTGCCCCTCAGCAGCGCAAACACACCGCACAACCACATATATTAAATCCCACTAGCGCTCCTTTTGGGATGTATTGCTGATTGGAGAAAAAAAATTAATTTATCAACCAGCAGAGTCATGCCAGAAGTCCCGGAGAATATGCAGGACAATATTGCCCAGCTAGAGCACCAGGCCCGCAGCCCCCAGGGACGCATGCAGTACGGACAAGCCCAGTATGAGCGTTCACGTCTCCCAGAGCGATCCTCCTCCGCCGCCGTTGTCCAGGGACAGCCCCTTCACTCAGGCTACGAGGCGACTCACTACGAGCAGTCCGCAGCCGTATATGACGCGATGGACTCGCCAAATTTCTCACCCTTTCCAGTTTTGCGGAATCCACCGCCGAATGTGCCCCCCACCGATGAACAACGAGAAGCGAACTTGGAAAAGGCTCGAGTACCCGTGCTGTCATCCAATGACCCGGAAATGCAACTGGCTTGGGCCCAAGATGTGCTCGCCCACGTCGAGGTCGCAGTACAGAACGAGGCTCGTTTATCCGTGATCCAACCTCCGCGCCCCCAGACCCCCTCGGTTGAGCGTCAGCTACGGAATGACGCATTGAATATAGTTAACTTTTTGGCTGAGCAATACCATCCGAAGGCGGAGTTTATTAAGGGCATGTGGTTGGAATTCGGCAAGTTTGGATTCCGTGTAGATAAGAAGGAGGCCTTCCGCTGCTATTCGAGAGCTGCAGAAAAGGGATATGCGAGGGCGGAATATCGCATCGGAATGCAGTTTGAAAGCTCTGGAGAGCCCGAAAAGGCCATTAGGCACTACGAGAAAGGTGTCGCTTTTGCCGATTCCGCTTCTTACTATGTAAACTCTCCCGCCCCAGAATCTTGACGCACGCTAATATACCCATTCTAGCGCCTGGGTATGATGATACTGCTTGGGCAGCATGGCCAACGTCAGGATTACCGAATGGGCCTCGAATACATCAGCCTCGCTGCACAGTCGTGTGATGAGAATGCCCCACAAGGTGCCTATGTGCGTTATCTTCACCTCGTGTCCACGCCTCTTGAACTAACGACTCATGATCCAGGTATACGGCATGCTTTTAGCCCGTGAACTGCCACAGGTAAATGTACCAGAGACATATCTGCCTCTCGATCTCAACTCCGCCCGCGTAAATATAGAAAAGGCTGCATACCACGGGTTCGCCAAGGCCCAAGTCAAAATGGGAGCCGCATATGAATTGGGCCAACTTGGCTGCGATTTCAACCCCGCATTGTCCTTGCACTACAACGCCCTTGCTGCACGCCAGGGCGAACCCGAGGCTGAAATGGCTATCAGTAAATGGTTCCTCTGTGGTCACGAAGGTGTTTTCGAAAAGAATGACGAATTGGCATTCTCGTACGCTCAACGGGCAGCTCAAAGTGGCCTTCCAACCGCGGAGTTCGCGCTTGGTTATTTTTATGAAGTTGGAATATTTGTTCCAGTCGATATCAAAGAAGCCAAGAGTTGGTATGCTAAAGCTGCAGCTAGCGGAAATAAAGATGCCACAGGCCGAATCGATAGCATCTCGCGCTCGAAGACCTTGTCACGCCGAGACCATGAAAATGTTGCGATTGCTCGAATCAAGTCCACACGTTATGGTAATCATCAGCGAGGGGCGTCAAATGCAAACGCAATGCAGCCAGTTTCCGAGAATCTAGAGATGCCGGACCCGTCCAGAATGAGTCTTAACGATTCCAACCCATCATCCGCAGCGCCCTATCCAGACCGCGTGGGGCCCCAGGGCCGTCCAGGTTATCCACCTGATAACCGGCCTAGTTCTGCATTCGGTATTAATCCAAACATTCGGCCTAACGTTGCTCAGTACAACCGTGCTGCCTCATATGGACCGGGGCCAATGGGCTACCGACCTCCAGGCTCTGCAACACCACCGACAGGCCAAGTGCATCCTGTGTCGGCAGGACCTAAACTGGATATTGGCTATTCGGCGCCTATGGATCCCCCGAGACAGGATATGCGGAGACGTCCCCAACGTTTGGACAATGTGCCAGATCGGAAGCCCGCGCGAACGCCTGTTTCCGGCCATCCTGGTGTGATGCCTTCCCCGCGGCCTTCACCCTCCTCTGCAAACTTTCCCCCGCGCGCCGAGTCAATGCAATCACCCTCGGGGACACCGAAACCCGGGGCGACACCTTCGTCGGCCCCTGCCGCCCAGAAACCCTCGAAACCAGGAGCTCAACCCGGCAAAGGCCCGAAGACTTTCGAGGAGATGGGTGTCCCCCAAGCCCCGAAAGAAAACGATTGCGTAAGTTCCCGCCTTCTACGCCCGTTAACTTCTACTGATGCCTTTGTAGATTGTCATGTGATACCCGAAAGTTATCTGCATTTACATTCATATTTATTCATTTCTTGTAAAAATTGGGAATTAATGGACCTGGCCGCATCGTGTCTCGTAATACAGTTATCATCAATGGATGCTTTTTCTGACAGGTGAAAAGAATAGCTATAACACACTTTCCCTGTCTGCAGATTTCTTTCCTTTTTTTTTTTTTTTTTTTTTTTTTTGAGCCTTTTCTTTAATTTTTGGTTGCATCAATTTTACATAGATCCAGCATAATCTTTCGAACAGCCTAAGCTTTAATGGCCCCCCTCCACGTGATGAGTTCTAAGTGAACTCTTTGCAGTAGGTACCTAGGTCGGGTACCATCGGCTCCCTCCTGTTCGATTTTCCTCGTCTTTTTCTAGCCATTCTTTGTAATCCCTTCTTAAACTCCCTCTCTGATTCTTCACTATACACCCGATCATCTACCATGGCACAAAAGAAAGGAAGATCAGATAAATCAACAAAAGATGGTGAGGCCTCGTGGAATGTGGTATATAGTAGATGGCTTGTGGGAAGGCTGATATCCATTGAGCTTCCTCCGAGGGGTCCGCATTGATTCTTGACTATCTCCGTAAGTTTTCGATTCCATCCCTAGGCCTGAAGCCCACCATAGGTTACTAGGAAGTTAACCAAGCCTCAACACCGCAGGAAAGCAGAAGTATGTACCACCATGACTTTGTGTTCATGACCAAGGAATCATTTATCGATAGTCGTCCTTATTCGGCTATCGATATCTCGACCAATCTGCATAATAAGGTCTCCAAAAGCAAGTTTCTCTTATGTTTTTATGGAGTGGATATTGACATAGACAAACCACAGCTTATGTGGTGAGAGCTTTACGAGAACTACACCAAAAAAAGGAAATTGCGTGTCGAGTAGCTGGTGGGTTTATTTCCCATGACCTTACCAGCGTGAATGGGGGGTGACACCGCCTGTCAATTAGGAAAACAAATGGTTTATCATGCGTTGCAAGAAGAGCTAAACAAGGTCGGACCTGAAGTTATAGCGGCCATGGACGAAGAGATCCAAAGCCTCCAGGAGCAACTTCACGGTCTCAAGGAGAACGACAAAAAGATGCAAGGCGAATTGAACTCCATCAACACAGTACCCTTGCCCTCCGAGCTCCGTACAGAGATTGAGAAGCTCGAGAAAGAGAAGGGCTCACTCGCTGCTCATGTGGCTAAGATGGATGGTGATGGATCGGCGCATGTGTCTCCTCTGGAGAAGGAAAATGTGAGGAGGGACTGGAAGATTTGGCAGAACCAAGCAAGACTCCGAGCTCAGATATGCCATGATATATGGCGCAAATGCTCTGAAACACTGCCCGAGAATATGACTCGGGATGAGCTTTGGGTATGGATCTCTTTCCTTCAGTTGACGCGTTTCCTATGCTGACAGTTATGGACAGGAAGGCTTGGGCCTTGAAGGGACCCCGATGTAATCACAAACTAGGGCGAACCGAGTTTGATGTCTGCTTTTCTTAGGGAAGTGCTCCTATGATACATTCATATCGAATTTGTTCACATCGCAGATCTAGAAGAGACGCGTAATCGAAATATCACCGTCATTAATATTAAGTTGTGGCTCCTTAGAAACAGATTCCTGAATTGTGACCGTGTCTGTCCGTTGCACAAAATAGAGTGTGGGGAGCCAGTTGCACTGAGCAAGAACAGATATCTATCCGTGTGATCGGCGGGCTCCCCGCCAAGTTTGAGCATGGCCTTGTGATTTGACGGCTGCGTTGGACACTTGACGCAGTGACGATAGTCTGGACCCAACAGGTAAAGCAACAAAAACAGGTACCTGCGCTTCGCTCGGGACGAGGTTTGAATCTAAGGCGCATGATGTCGCCAGATGGACAACCGGGTGGCGTCATGTTGGGCAAGGTGTACTAACTTAGGCATCTCCTGGTGATTGTCATCCCCTACGTTCATCTGATGACTCCCATTTTGGATATAACCCAGCTTGACCTCGACCTAGCATAGGTATGAAGCCCTTGCTGTGTAGATAGCTTCCAGGGGCCTCTGATCGCATGACTACGGAGTACTCTATTGTTGACGGCTCCGGTTTCAAGCTCTGGTTGAATTTCTGTGGTTGCGGCTGTTTGAAGGCTGCGGCGAGTTCGAGTAAATGTCAGGCAAAACAGCAGTGAAAACGGGTCTCGCCCAACAGCAGTAAATGGATTCATTGACACGCTTACCAGACGGTTTCTATTATACTTATATTCCCGTGGGTTGACAACAGAGTCAAATACTCAACCGCCTTAACGCGCACACCGCCAACGGTCCCCCCACTCTCCCAAGTCGCCTCCGTCCGATAAACCCCTCCAGATTTTTGCTCCAACCGCCGGATCTCCCGTTTGCTTTCGCCTTGAGGATGCAGATATCGGCTTCTCGCAACCCTCCGTCGCAAACCTCCTCTGGCCATCCTTCTCGCTCGCAGAATCGGCTCTCGAGTGACATGAAAGGTCGCGCCCCTCTCCCGGTTCCGTCCGGGCCACAGCATCTCCAGCAGAACGGCCATTCTCGCAATCCCTCGGGCTACGACATGGCTGCCCGCAGCCCACCAAACCAAAGCAGTAAGCCCCCAGTTCGTTGCTTGTTCATGATCTAGACTCCTACAACCTCATTACGTCCTCATCACCCCCTTTTTTGTTTTCTGTGACAAGAGCTGATCGGGCTGTTGCTTGTGGTAGACACGAAACATGTGCCCTGCAAATTCTTCCGTCAAGGAGCCTGCCAGGCTGGACCTGCTTGTCCATTCCTCCATTCTACTGATTCTGCGATCGAATATGCGCCCTGCAAATACTTCACAAAGGTACCTGGACCCGCCTTCGCTGCGGGCTCCCTCTTCGCTCTATGTTGTAGTGCTGACCGTTTCTTTTTTCGCGAGGATAGGGTAACTGCAAGTTCGGAGCAAAGTGTGCACTTGCACACATACTGCCTGACGGGAGACGGGTGAATAGGCCAGGCGCCGGGGGTATGGGAATGGGCAGCAGTCACCTCAACCTCGGAGGTCGGGTCAATCCTCAGGCATATGTTAACCAAGACTCGGCGCTGACCAATTCTGTACTCTCGCAACAACGGATGAATGGGAACGATCCTCGATACATCTCCCAGCTCCCTTCACAAGAAGAATTCGCCGCAATCCATCCCCAACAACAGCCGCAGTACGATACGATCCCTTCGATCGACACCGGACTGGCGTCCGATGCCGGGTCTCCAGCTGAGGAGCTACGATTTCCCATGTCTCCGAACCACAATCAATATCTGAGCGCCCTTGATGCACCGCTCCCTGCGTCTTTTGACAGCCAGGGGATTTCTCATGCTGCTCGTTATGGACCCGTTGCTGCCTCCATGCCGTCGAGATTTGGGATTGAACTGTCTCCACCCGCACAGCGAGCGAATCCGCCTCGGAATCTCCGCGATGCATCTTACGGTGCTGATGTAAAGAAACCATCGTCTTCTTTTATTGGCTCATCGCCGCCTGGTATGCTTGAAGACGGACTCGGATCACGATTTCTACACTCTCAACGACCAGTGAAGCCACGAATGCTTTCCGCTAGTGTCCCTCGACCTAACGCTCTTGATGACTGGGAGGATAGCAATTTCTCAATGGAAGAGGATTATTTACCGATGAATCTTCACGACGATGTCCTCACGCCCCAGGAAAAACTCCGCCGTCTCTCCCGCACAGATAATGAGCTAAGTTCCAGCCACCGCGACCTCAGCGGCCTGGGAATGAGCGGCACCAGCTTCTCAAAGGTTAATTCGCCCCTGGCATCTAGTCCATCCCGGTTCGGTGCATTATTCGCCAAGCAGCGCCAGCAGAAGAAGGAGGAAGAGGCTCACGGATCTCTTACACACCTTGGATCTCCTCTACGGGAGTCTTCGTTGAACTTTGGGAGCCCCAGCCTCGGCCCAATCGGCAGCCCGCCACGAAATTCCTCTGCGTCGATGATATCCCAGCAACTTAGCGGTTTATCCCTTCATCCATCCTCAGCACGTCATGCTCCATCGGCCCCTCCCAGTAGCCGCCTAGATCGCGCGGTGTCGTCACCGGTGAATGCTAGTAAAATCGAAGAGGAACAGGAACAGGGAGAGGGTGATCTCGTCTTCTCAATGGAAGAAGAGGAAAACAGTAAGCGGAATGGCAACGAAGAGACCACGCCGACAGGGAAGACGTCTAGCTTGCAGGCGTGATCGAAGCAGACTGTCCTCGTTTCTGAACAAAAATGAAGTCTCAACACGAATACACGAATAAAAGAAGAACAGCCATGATTCGGTACCAACCCTTGGCGCTAGTCATAATACTCATGCTCAATAAAAGAACCATCATCCGCTTTATTCGCAATCGGAAGTCAGGTTTTGCATAGAACGGTTTAAGCGATTTTTGGGAGTTCAGACTTCGGTACAGCTGATTCTCCATCACACACAACCTTCATTTTTTCCATCGTCCTTATGGCCTTGCATTTCATCGCCGATTAGACAAATCTTGGTGTTTTTGGGGGAGAGGCGTTCCAGAATGGATGAAGAGAGATGCTATGCTTGGTTTCTAAAATCGGTTGTCTCTGCATTTAGCCGGGCATATTCCCCTCTATTCATGTCAATGATCTCATTTCTGGTTTGTTAAAAAATGTTTATTCTTCTTTTTTTTATCTACTTGACACCCCTGGACTGACCCCGACCCTACCTCATCTACATATCCCTGTCTTACTCATCGTCCTTCTGTACATTCTATGCGATTCTCTCTCTCTATTTGGGTTTCACTTTTTATGTATGCAGCTCACGACTCAACGATTGGTATTCCTACTTTTGTCCATTAAGTTTATCTCCCTGTATGGGCTCTTCCTCAATACGTTCCAAGTCAAGCAGTAACCCTAAGGCACATCATATCGCATAGGAGGCCACAATCTCTGGTTTAACACCATGCAGCTCGATATTAATTGAATAAAGTTAGGGTTAAGGTAGGTTAGGTGGCGACATGTCCAACTTACTGGCCATTCATTGTTTTTTGTACCTTTAAAGAACTCAAAAAATTTATCAAGAGGAAGCTTCCAATCCCCAGGCACCTTCTCCGGGAATACCCTATTTGGATCATACTTTTTCGACGTACGGACTAGATGCTTCAAACACTTTCTCCCATTACCAGGATCCTGATAACTAAGCGGCATTAGCATAGTTGATACATCGATATGAATAAGAAGGGCCGTTCGTTGCTACGACAGCGTCTATGTTGTGCAGAGGGTCCATGTAGCGCGCGCGCTCCATCACGGGGGAGTATTCATCGCTTAACCAGTAAATTGAAAATCAGGCAAAGGGCGAGTTCTCTGTCCGGCTCACTATCTCGGGGAAATCCGAGACTGTTGTGAGATGCTGGTAATAACGCCGGTCCATCGAGGATAGTCAACGCAAGCATAATGTTTGAAATGTGGGCCTTTTGCATTTCGTTGCGGTAGCCTATCCAAACCTTTTCAGATCTGAGGGAGGATCGTTGGGCCGAAGCGGAAGATCGTGCAAGACCTACTTCGAGTAAAACATGTGGTTCATGCAAAATGGGTTACCGCTGGTGTCATCTGAGGATAAGTAGGCGAAACTCTGTTCAACTTCAGCACGAGCATCATGGATTGCCCGCTCCCTGAAATCTGTGTAGAGGCCCACCTGAGTCTGCTCAGTTGATGAGGGATAAGGAGGAGAGGGGTGAAAAGCGAGAGTCGCTTTGGAGCAAATGCTCCATGGTGGGCAGCCAGCGCATAGTTGCAAGCGTCGGGACTGGCGCAAAGTACCCGGTAGCTTTGAAGGAATAGCAAGTCTACCAAAAGCCAATACATGGTGGACATATCCCCTATATATTAGTGGGCCTAGCTGCGCGGTTAAGATGCTAGAGCGAGTCCACGGGGCCCCCGGGGACAACCTCAATATAGTTTATTCCCTGCCGGCCGTACATTATCATCACACAGCAATCCCCCTTGATACCAAGAATGTATAACATTCAGTAGAGCAGGTTAGAAATTTTGATCTACAGGATCGGATGGCACAGCTATACAGTCTTCCAGTATGCGAAAACCTCACTCAATTTGCTAGACTAAACGCTAATATAGTACAGGAAGCATGGGTCTCATGAATAACTCTGGTAGGTTTAAACCATGAACACCTCTTCCACAATGCGCCATGCCCGGGTAAAAAGCAAGAAAAACAAGTACTTCTACATATTCTCTTAGGCAGTTCAACAAGAGATAACCCAGCATCCGTGAACTAAATGGGGTGCCGTCAGGTGGCAGGGTCTATTTCGTCCAAGTACATCCCACTCCCTTTGAGGTTAACAAAAGTTGCCTTTGTTGAGTTCCCTTGGATCCGTGCCGTCTTCGCTTGAGTGGCACGATCTGTTTGGGCACGTTGCTCACGGGCTTTTGTATCCGCCTCTTGAGCAGCCTCGGCCTGGTCCTGATACAAGGCTTTGTAAATCCGATCTGTGCCATTCATAATTTCCTTTGCCATGAATTTGATAGCCTTTTCTGCCGCAGCTTCGGTTTTCACTGCGAGTGCTGTTTCCTCTTCCGCTCGCTGCCGCTTTATAGCACGGTCACGCTCCTGTTGCTCAGAGCCCTCTTTCCGTTTTTTGGCCTCGACAAGTCTCTGACGCTCTTCTTTAGCTGCGAGGTACTTCAGTGAGTGGCCCAGTTTTTGGTGAACTGTTGAACTGATGTCCAATGGTGGGCAGGAAAAGAAAAGCACACGACCTTGATCGTCACAATGAAACTGTTGGCGGACATCCTCAGGAATGGCGACATTTGCCGTGTCACTTAAATGAAACACTTCGACAGGCCGAGGAGCGTTGGAGTTGTACATAGCGGGAGGTCCTTGTACGCGGCCCACTTGATATGAAGTATATTGCGGGGCCTGAGGGGCAGCATATGAATGAGTTACCGCTCCTTGGTAGGCACCCAGCATAGGGCTTTGGGATACAAATCCACTAGACCGTCTCTGTTGTAGTGCTGGTTGGTAAACCTGAGAGGGCGTAGCCTGAGGTTGGTGATAGGGAACGGGAGGAACAGGAACAGGTGAGTGTTGCGCAATAGGCGCAACGGGAGACCGCACTGGAACAGGGCTTGCTGTGGCTATGAGAGCGGCTGGGCTGTTCACAACAGGTTGTGTGGGCGCTTGGCTCATCGAGGCTTGTCGAGAAACCGAGGGGATAGAGGCTTGAGGCATCGTGGGAGGCGGCGGTGATGGCGTTGGCTCCGGAGGAGGTGATTCCTAGAAGAAATTGTCAGATCAGAGTTTATTGGATGATTTGGCGAGGTGTAAGGCTCAAATTCACTTACATTTTCATCTCGCGGACGACAGTGAACTGCGCCTACCACCGGCGGCGCATTTTCTGCTCCCCAAGTTGGTTTTGGTAAATCGTCTGTTTCTTTGGCATCGCTCTTCAGCAAATGCTTTATTGGGCTAGGGATTTTCTTGATCTTGCGAGGCAAATCAAACAGATCCATCTCATAATCCTTTTCCCGCACTTCATCAGGGAGGCAGCTGGCCCAGGTTTTAATCTTGTTAAGCTTATGCTTCTCTTCGTTATATCGAGCCTCGCATACATAAACCTCTTTATCAGGGGGGAAGTCTCTGGGTCTTCCACGATTGTACCGCGTGAAGAACATGACGAAGCATCGGTCAACAATCTCTTCAACTCGATGATCTCGGTATTGTCCAGTTTTGACCACCTCATTAGGATAGAAGTGTTTCTCAAAATGGTGAATTGTCTGTTCCGGGCGGTAGTACCAGCACGCGTTTATCCATTTGGCGCCATCGGAATCCTGCCAGGTCCGGTAGATTTGCGCCACAACGGGCTTTGTCACATCGTTGGGGTTTTGGATGTGTACCCAATCGCCAACCTTCCACAGTTCGCCCTTGTGTAGAATCCCTTCTGGAAGAGGTAAGCGCCCGTCCTCCATTAGATATTCACTATCGGGTTTCTTCTTTTCAACATCTGCAAGCCTTTTTGCTTCCATTTGGAGGTCCACCGCATCCTTGTAGATCTGACTCTCCGACTGATTATAGGCCTTCGCGTTATTAAACATAACGTCCATATCCTTCATAAAATGGTCCACGGAATTGTACTTCTTCCTTTTCGACTTCCGCTTGATGATATCGATAGCAATTGGGTCTTTGATCTCGACATAGTAGTCCGGGTACACGCCTTTGTCAGGCAGACGCTCGAAGTGCCGAACTTTAATTTGATTTCCTGGCCCCTTAAGTTTCCGGATTCCCTTTAGGATAGCCTTGATCCTCGCTTCCATTGGAGTATCAACACGTGGAGGACGGCCTCGCTTTTTCCTCTGCTCGGGATCCGCAGACTTATTCCCGTCATCCTTTGTACTGTCTCGCTTGGACCCAGGACGAGGACCACGCTTCCTCCTCCTACGGCCTTCGTCGTCAGAGTCATCCTCATCCTCGTCATCTTCATCGTCCTCGTCCTCGTCTTCGTCTTCCTCGGGTAGCGGATCCGGTTCCGGAATTTCACCCAAGTCCGGGAATTCGGCCTCCTCAGCGGTAATTATACCTTCTTTGACTAATTTCTGAAATTCGGCAATGAAGGCATCCTTGACCACGAGTGAATCTTCGTATGCTTGGGAGTTGGGGCGGTTATAAGTTTGCGCATTATGCGAGATCTATACACGCAGATCGCGTCAGACGAATAGCGAAAATGGTGAAAAAAGGTGCTAGGCTGATTTCTTACCAGGGCACAATCTCGCACGAACTCAGAGATGCTCTTGTACTCCCGCTTGTTGATCTTCTGCTTTAGGATACTAAGAGCCATTGGCTCCTTGATAATATCGTAATAATCGGGGACATTGCGCTTGTTGACACTGCGATGGAAAAGTCTCGAGGGATCGTGGCCACTGCAATGCAAAAGACGCGCGTGAGCGTACGTCTTTATTTATCTGCGACGGGCTCAACACTGGAGAGCCGGCCTTGCCTGGTCTGTCGCGCAAGTTGTCTTGCAGGGAACTTACTCTTCTTCTCGGATGTCATAGATCGCGAGGACCACATCCATCACGTACTTCCATTGCTCGTCTGTGATGGTGCTGGGGACGCCATTGCCCTTGCCATCGCCCTCGATCGACTGGACAGGCTCCTCAGGAGTTGGTTGCGCTTGCGACGGTTCGGGGTTCTTCTGCATCGTGTTTGACCACCACGAGCATGTGGACAGCACCGCGGCTCAGAACAGATCCTTTAAAGATGCGGGGAATGTCTTGTCAATTGATCTCTTTCACTGGAGAGTATCTGAGCACCTCGAGGCGCGCAAAAGCAGCAGGTGAGAGGTTCTCTCAGCGAGTATGCTGACTAACATATACCAGCAGTCACAATTGATACCGTAACATAAGGTATTAAAGTAACATATGTCTTGGCGCTGTATGTGACTATACCCGTATTATTACATGCGCAATGTGCTGTTGATTAATAATCAAAGCCAGAAATTGACTGACTCGAGGTTTCAGTTAGTTAGTCAGTTGACTGCCTTTGGTACACCATAACTATTAATTAAGTAATGATCACTTACGGTGTATCATGGTACTTTAGAATTAAAAATATAGGGCACGGAGGAAACAATTAAATGCTCTGGAAGAAGATGTTTCTACTAAGTGGGGCTTGAACTCTGCGGACCATCAACTCTCAACACCAGTGTCTACGTAGTACTGATACATAGTGACACTGCGCACTCCATAAGTATCTACGACTCCTACAGTTTTTAGCAAAATTTACGCTTTAATTCTTCTTAGACCGTGCTCTCTGGGGTATACTACTCCATGTATGGCTGTTTAAATCATTATGTAGGATTATTGCGTTCAAAGCTCGCCAATTCTGCCCCCTTCCTTGGTATTGGGAACCGGAAGCCAGGCTAAGATATCGACGAAAGCGCCTATTTAAGCCTAGGAAAAAGCCCTGCCTGTGCTGGCCTTAAAGTGTGCTCTCTTAGATAGCCTTTACCAGTGATACTCGGTATGGTGTGTCGGAATGTGCTGTTTTTCCATTTCCTGGATGCTGGAATACATCAGAATAGGGGGCGAGCTCTAGCGGAAGGTGAAGGCGTGAGAGGAGTAGCTGGGGTATAATCTCCCTATGTACTAGAGACTATATGTATTGTGAAAACCCTATGTATATACTCCACAAAGCTTAGTGGGGTCAGTATGTGCTGAATGAATAGGCCGCCTGTTCTAATTTCTAAAGGAACATGCCAGAGTAATATCTATGAGCCATATTTTGCGCCGCTGTATTCCAGGGCAAAATCCTGTGGACGTTATATTAGCCCTAATTAGTATGAAGACATCTCTGCTTTAAAAGTGACATAAGGTACTTCATACACTTTCAATTTTTATGATTCTGTGAATATCCCTTCTACTATGGAACCACTGAGAAAATTCCTGCCAAATAAATTTCTCAACAGTGTCTTTAACCTATATTGTATTTATGATTTTTGTATTATACCGGCAGTAAATGCCTCTGGGTAGTGGGTGCATGGCCGTGCACCTAACTACCGAAATCAAGATTACTGTCCACGACCCAGCCCTAATTTGGTAGTTCATAGGCAGGCGACACTCGGAGGAAGTACCAACATGAGGTGATGGCGGCCGAACTGGAATTGTAGACGCGGCAGGAGGGTTAATCTATGATTTGGGCATTCCCCGCACTTCGGCATCGCCCATTGTCCACAACGTGGACCTTCCAAAGCTCGCCTTTGCATTTGTTTAGACGCCCATTAAACCCGATAAACCAGGGAGTGTCTAAGGGTCGACTAACTACCACAAGGATCAGAGCTAGGACTCTTTCGTTGTCGTCCTGGAATCTCGTACGTTCCTCCTTGCACCTTCTGCCCCACAAACTGACTCGCTCTGCGTCACTGGCATTCAGTGGGTCCGATAAGTATCGCTCGTCCTTCTTCCCTCCAGCGTTTTCCTGTCAGAATCGAAATATCTTCGAGAATGAGACTTCGGATACGTGGGCCATCCGGCCAATTCACTGTCACTTTATCAGAAGATGCAACTTTTGGGGACCTTCGGAACGAAATTGTTGACAAAACGGGATTGGTCACGTACGATGTGAAATATGGCTATCCGCCGAAGCCGTTGTCGCTCGACCGCACAGAAACATATCAGAAGCTTACCGAGCTTGGTGTTCAACTCGACCGGGAACAACTTATCATTGCTGCCAAAGATAGTTTTGAGACTGAGCCGCCCGCTGAAAAGCAGGATGTTTCCACTACTACTAGTAGTACTAGTACAGTTCGACCACCCTCTCCGAAATCCTCTTTATCACGCAAGCAAAACCCTGTTGCGGAAGATACACCTAAAGTCCCCTCGCTAGAGCATGACGGTATATTTGTTTTACGAGTGATGCCCGATGACAACTCGTGTCTATTCCGCGCAATAAGCACTGCGCTCCTACCAGGTGCGGACACTATGGTTGAACTCCGATCAACTGTGGCCGAAACAATTCAGAGTAACCCTGATGTATACTCGTCCGCGATCCTGGAACAACCGCGAGATGACTACTGTCGCTGGATTAAAGATGAGACTTCGTGGGGTGGGGCAATTGAAATGAGTATCTTGAGCAAGCATTTTGACATTGAGATCTGCTCGATCGACCTGGGGAATCTCCGTATAGACCGCTTCAATGAGGGCCAGAGCAGACGGTGTTTTCTGGTGTACTCGGGAATTCACTACGACACCATTGCACTGTCTCCTGGTGATAATGCCTCACCGGAGTTTGACACAACAGTGTTTGATGCATCAGATTCTGTGGTGCTGGAAAAAGCATTGGTTCTTTGTAGGATTCTGCAGGAAAGGAATTATTATACTGATGTGGCTGCATTCCGTCTCCATTGTAACACCTGCAGTGCTATACTGACAGGCGAAAAGGGTGCGAAAGAGCATACTTCACGAACTGGACACACGGATTTTAGCCAGGTGGCTTAAATGCAACCACCTAAAGCAATCCACTCTTTCATTGCCATCAGACCCAATGGGAATTCATCATAGAAATAAAGACCTTGTTTTCAAGCGTTGAGTACAGTTACCCTTGACCAGATGTCGAGGAAAGCTGATTATTATATGTAACTCAATAACAGTAAAGCATTTTCAGCTATCTGAAAATGGTCACGGCTGAACTAAAAACAAGTTCATATGAGGTATCTTTAATTTACATTATAGTTGCGTGATTCATACCATGTCCACCTCATCATCTTCTTCGTCATCGCCAGCTTTATCCCCGCCCTCTCTCCCACTATCTGCGCTGTCCTCCGGCCCTCCCCATTCAACATCGTGATCAATCGGATTAGTGAAAAACTCGTGTTGCATAGCTTCTTTAGCACCCAGTCGTTTGGACGGATCTAATTCCATCAATCCCGCTAAGAGGCGGGTAGCTTGCTTCTCACTCTCGGTTAGTTCCTCTACACAACTAGACCACTTCACAAGCTTCTCCCAACTGTATCCCTTTTCCCCAATGGTAGGAATGTTAGTCTCGAAGATCTGCCCGTGCATTGCTGCGGCAGTTTTCATGCGCCGGGTACCGAATATGCTTGCCATCTCTATCAATGCGTCGACATCGTCAGCTGAGTTGAAAAAAGGGAATCGGCGACCAAGTAAAGTTAGCAGAATGACACCAGCGGACCACATGTCGATTTTAGTTGTCTGCGACATGCACTTGAAGAGGACCTCAGGTGCACGAAACCCGCGAGTTCCCGCGCGATTCGCGCGTCTTGACGGCCGTGAGTCGCTTTTTGGATATCCTACGGCGAGGCCAGATGGTGAACAGTGGGAGTAGTGGTAGCTTTGCACGTATTTAGTGCGGCGCATGTAGCTCGCGCTCGTACATAGACAAGTGCCGGTGTATTCAGAGCCTTCGCGCTCAGCCAGACCAAAGTCGACTAAAACGCCTTCTCGCAGGTCCGGGTTGTACAGGAAGTTTGTTGGCTTGATGTCACGATGTAGTATATCGTGTTTATGGACCGAGTGCAATGCAGTGAATAATGATCGAAAGTAATGGCGCATATCCGCTACCATGAACGTCCTATATTGGAGCCGAAAGTCCGTGTGTGGGAAGAACGGTAAAACTGCAACAACTTGATCATGATGACGAAAAGCGGTTATCAAAGGGCAAACTGATCGGCACCCTCGGAGGTCATGTAGTAGTTCAAGTTCATTTTGAATACGAAGCGGGCTGCTCGTGACGTATATCTTCTTCAGCGCAACATATCGGGATTTCCGTCGCTGAACGCGCATCGAATTACAGTTTTCTCCTTCGACCCGTCGCCTTTTTGACGGGGGATCCATCAATTCATTGTTCTGTTCGTCTCGAAAAATATCCCAATCGTTTCTATAGTGGTCATACAATAGATCCTCGGCCTTGTATACGGTAGAGAAAGTACCTATCCAGTGGATCGCCGGGTTAGTTTAGAAATCAAGGTGTCCTGGGCATGCTGTATGGGAACTAAGATCAGCTGAAATCGTACCTTCACCGATTCTATTTACCAATCGAAAACGATCCGAAATTCCTGGAAAAGTATCTTCAAGCTTTTTCATGTCTTCCTTGACCACCTCATCGACCTCCTCCATATGCTCCTCCGCTTCTGGGTCAGGTTCCTGGGAAAGTTGCTCGACGCGGCGGTCGCTCCCAGTAGTGGCGACATTTTCCAGCGCGTGTTTTGATGGCTGTAACATAGACCCAGGGCGTTGGGAATCAGAAATACTCGCGGAGGCCGTCGCGTGGTGCATAGACATCGCCCGCCGAGGAGTGTAGCGAAGGGGGAAATAACAGGATTGGCACGGTGACACTCAATTATAATCAGCATGCACGGGAAAGGAGAGGGAACCAGCACGCCTTATGGATGGCAATTTGTAACGAGGGTATCTTGTGTGGCGCGTATACCCCGGCTTCGTCGTGCCGCACGGAAGACCTTGATAATAATTCCTCAAAGCAGCGTGCAAGATATCCAGATGTAGTATAGTGTTGTTTATTTTTTCCATGATGGGTACAGCCGTCAGCCAGCGAAAGCCGAAATTCTATCACGAATCTGTGAAATACGCAGTATTGGCCAATAGAACTCCCGACCTATACGAAGCATCGACCGAGTAATTGCCCTGTTATTGTGGTTTAATACGGTACGGTTGAAATATTCCGTATTGATATTACATCACCGCCCTCTCATGGTTGCTGGGAAAATCATGCTAGTACTGACTGGAAGGGGAAAAATACAAACAAAACAGGTTATCCGCCCGCAACAAGTTCGCATTTGATTTTCCGCTCTGCTACCCCGCGAACTGCGACTTACCTCGCAGCAAAACAACATACCCCTTCGTGGATAAACCCTCAACGCTCCCGTTGCTGTCTCCATCATGGAGGACAGGATCCAATTCGACATCAACGAGTCTCTCAAATATTACTTGAGCGACCCGGCCTCCGTGCCGACCCCCGACGCCCACTCCGAGCTGCTGGATTTTGAAACGGAACCAGAACAGTTATCCAGCACCATCGTCGACAATGTATTGAATCAGATCGTCGATGCAGTGGCTGAAAACCCTGAAAGCCTGGCCAGAGTATCGTCATTTGACTCGTTGCAGTTTCTTCTAAAGTGCGCCTTCACCCTTAACCCCGAGCCTTTTGCTGGCCCTTTTGGTCCCAATTCTGAACTTTTGAATGTTTACAGATATTCCACATTTATTCCGACAAAGTCCCTGAGCAAACTTCTCGACTTGATAGTATCCGGCCTATCAGTTGAGGCTGATATTATCCATGGCGATCTCGAATCTGATGAGCAGGACAGTATTCATCACCACAAAGAACTTCTGGAAATGTATGGCTTTATACTTCAATGGGCACTATCTGCGGTTGAGTTAAAAGCAGCCGAAAAGCCAGCAGAGCCCGTACCCGCGCGTCGGGGCCCCGGTAAGTCAGGGAGATCTAAAACCACGAAGGATAGCAACTGGGATGGTACTGCTCAAATTCAAGTGTCAATGGAAACCATGTGCAAAGTCATGAAGCTTAAGCTCAGCAAAATATTTTTAACAACTTCAGATCGCGACACGTTCATCAACCTCTTCACTCGCTCGATATATCTCATCTTAGAGAGCGAGCAGCGGGTGAAGAGTATGGCGATCCGGATGCACGCCTTTAAGGTCCTGTGCATCGCAGTAAAACACCATGGCCACGGATTCGGTACGCCCCTAGAGAAAGTTGGAAAATACTGCGAACTCTAAACCTGACTCTTGAACCAGGTGCCCAAACCTCCATCGTACAGAGTTTGACATACTTTGAGCATCTGTCAGAACCAATGGCAGAATTTTTACACATCCTTGCAGAGCAATACGACTACCCACAGCTCTCAGATGAGATTTTAAAGTATTCAGTTGTTGCACAGTTTTCACTATTCTATATGAGCTAATTGGTTGCCAGGGAACTCGGAAACAAGGAATTCAATTCAAATGATACCAGAGGACCGAAGTCGGTTTCTGCGTTCATCGTCAAACTTTCGGAGCTAGCCCCAAGGCTGATTATAAAACAAATGACCCTATTAGCGAAACAACTTGATAGCGAGGTAATATACGTTCTGGGCCTCCCAGTGAAGGAGCGGTCTAACCATTTTACAGTCATATACCCTGCGGTGCGCGGTCGTTGAGGTGTGCGGAAACCTCATAGCCGACCTCAGCAAACAGGAAGAGCGGACCAACAATTCCAAAACCCAAATTAACGCTTTCTTCGATGTTCTGGAAGAGCGTTTTCTAGACATAAACCCCTACTGCCGTTGCCGAGCCATCCAGGTTTATATGAGAATCTGCGATTTGGAACAGAAGTTCCCGAAACGTCGACAGGCAGCAGCAGAGCTTGCAGCCAGGAGCCTTGAGGACAAAAGTAGCAATGTGCGACGAAATGCGATCAAACTGCTCGCAAAGTTGGTCTCGTCTCATCCTTTCAGTGTTATGCACGGCGGGCAGCTCTCGTTGAAGGAATGGGCGGAGCGCCTCGACACTGTAGATGCTGAACTCAATGCATTGAGGCCCCCAGAGACACCAGGATTCGACGCCGAAGATGTCTCCCATATCGATAGTGAACTATTAGACGATGCAACGCAATTACCCGACGATTCACCGTCGAAGGCACCGCGTATGACAGAAGAGGAAAGGGTTGCAGCGATGAAGAAAGCCGCCGAACAAGCAGCCACTTCAGAATTGCTTGCGCGGCTGCAGCTAACCAGGAAATACTACAACGAAGCAATCCGCTTTATCGAAGTCCTCCACACGGGTTCTAGCGTCGTGTCTCAGCTTTTATCATCGAGAAACAAGAGCGAGGCAATAGAGGCCATGGATTTTTTTGTGATGCTGGATGCATACAAAGTTGAGACTGCTCGCTCTGGAATTCGACGAATGCTGAGACTTATTTGGACCAAAGGCAACAGTGATGAGGGTAAAGGAGTCCAAACCCACCTGATTGACTGTTACAAAGGTCTCTTCTTTGAGGCGCCGGACTCATTTGGTCCGAACGATGCAGCAAACTATATCGCTCGGAACATGATCAGTCTGACATTTGGTGCCACACCTGCTGAACTTACATGCCTCGAACAACTTCTGAGCACTATGATGAAGGCCGATCATATACCTGAAGCCGTCATCGCTAAACTTTGGCAAGTTTATGGCGTTCAGAAGAAGGAAATTTCAAGAACACAGCGTCGTGGAGCCATCATTGTTTTAGGCATGATTGCCCTGGCTGATCCTGAGGTTGTTATCAAAGAGATTGAGATAATGCTCCGAATCGGTCTTGGAAGCTTTGGAAGATCCGACCTCATTCTTGCCAAGTATACGTGCATTGCGCTCAGGCGAATGGTACCAGGCCGCCAAGCCAAATCTAAAGAATCCAGCATCTCTAAGCTTACAAACGACCATGCTGTGTTGGTCAAACTCGCGGCCATAGTTGAGACCGTCTCGGACAGTAAAGAGTGGTACGGTGTCGCTGAGCAAGCTATCAGTGCCATATACGCTTTATCCAAACATCCGGACGTTCTTTGTTCTGATATTGTTAAACGAAAGACAAAATCTGTTTTCCAGCCACAGATCCAATGCCCGTATTCAAATGGCTCCGGGAATGAAGAAGAACAACGCCCTGGGACAGCCTCAACCGAGAAGTCTGTTTCAGGACAGAAGACCTCTTCGGCCGCCTTGTCTCAACTTCTCTTTGTCGTCGGCCATATTGCAATCAAGCAGATTGTTCATCTGGAGCTATGTGAACTGGACTTCAAGCGTCGGAAGGCTGAACAGGAGAAAAATAAGCCTCTCACTGCGAATCAGAACAACGACGAAGCCATCGAAAATGACGAGCTAGACCTTATCGGTGGTACGACTGAGGACGACTTCACAGAAGCAATGGCCCACGTCCGTGAACGGGAATTGTTGTATGGCGAGAACTCACTACTGTCGAACTTCGGGCCTTTGGTTGCAGAGATCTGTGCAAACAACAACACCTACTCTGATCGCAACCTTCAAGCCGCAGCAACCATATGCATGGCCAAATTAATGTGTGTATCCGCTGAATACTGTGAGAAGAACCTTCCCCTTCTTATCACCATTATGGAACGCTCTGAGGACCCCATTGTACGAAGTAATGCAGTAATTGCCCTTGGTGACATGGCTGTGTGCTTCAATCATCTGATTGACGAGAATACGGACTTCTTATACCGTCGACTCAACGATGATGATGCTTCTGTCAAACGCACTTGTTTGATGACCCTCACTTTCCTGATCCTAGCTGGTCAGGTTAAGGTTAAGGGTCAGTTGGGCGAGATGGCGAAATGCTTGGAAGATGATGACAAGAGGATCGCCGATTTATCCCGCATGTTCTTCACTGAGCTTGCAGGAAAGGACAATGCTGTCTACAACCACTTTGTTGATATGTTCAGTCTCCTCAGCGCAGAGCGCAATCTAGAAGAAGGGTCTCTTAGGCGTATCGTCAAGTTCTTGATTGGCTTTATCGAGAAGGTGAGTTTATCCCGAACGCGGGTAAATTATTCAAACCTTCAGCGGTTTGTACTAACAGGGTTTGATATACAGGAGAAACATGCCCGCCAATTAGCGGAAAAGCTCGCCGCTCGACTACCAAGATGTGAGACCGAGCGGCAGTGGAACGATGTCGCCTACGCACTATCCCTTCTTCCTCACAAGAACGAAGATATCGCTAAGACGGTGGCCGGGGGATTCAATAAGATTGTCAACACGGCCCCGGCCCCGGCCATTGCAACTGCGTAGACCACCCGTCTTGATGATATGTTCGCACAATTTGTAAATGATTGAATGGTTTGCCTCCCCTAGAATTTGGGGCCTATATAGGGGTTAACATGGATGGCGTAGTACTGGGTTGGTTTCACGATCGGATATACGGCTTAGTTATGTACTTTTTGATTCTTCTACCAAGGTGTCTTGGTGCGCTCTTGTTATTATAACATATGTGGAGGGTGAACAGAGAAATCTTAATTCTTTATCGCAGCTCCGGTGGCGTGTTTTGCGCACGAGGCTCAGGTTCAACAGTATCGACAAAAACGTAATTCAGGTTATATTTGAAGTTTAAAAGAGACAGCACCACTTGTGCAGAGAGCACGAAATCTAAAATATTAGGAAATGAAAGGTCTCAGGTCAATGCATAGGGCACGCCTATGAATTTACTGGGTGATGCTCGAAGAGAAACGGTAAGAAATGAAAGTGGTCAAGAAACGCCCACTCCCTTCCCACCACATAGCATTTGTTATGTACGCAAAAATCAGGTCCACATAAGCAAACTGAAGATCTGCTTCGATTACAAGTCAACGCTAGGCGCCCTTGACATAGCTTTCCTTTAACTGGTAGTGTTGGTTACGAAGACCCTTGAGTGCCTCTGCACCTTCCTCACTCAACTCTGGTCTTCCCAAAGGCGTGACGGTACCAGTGAAGAAGCGAGGTTTCCATTCTTCATTCTTTTCTTGTCGTTCAGTGGCTTTCTGCCGTTGTCGGTCTTCGATCTCAACTTTGAGCTTCGTGGCTTGGCTATATCTTTTGTCCAGTATTGCCTCAGTCACATCAGACCAGAATTTTCGGGACTCATTGGATAGCTGGCTTTCTTCAGGAGGCAGAGTCTTCGCAACAGGGAAAAGGGGTCCGATGTCAATCAGTAGCTGGGGCTCATTTGTGCCAGCCATGGTGTAATACATTTGATTCTGCCATGAACCCGAGATTTTGGCAAGAACATCGGCTTCCGGAACGTCCTTTACCCTGGTAATGGTATCTTTGTCCGGGTCATATCGGAAGATAACACCTTCAACCTTATTTTGAGCCCGGCTGATCCAGCCATCCTCCAAATATTGCAAAATAACCTTCATCCTCGTTTTCGGACAGACAATATAGCATGTGTCAGCCACACTGATGGATAGAGCGCCACGCAGCAGGCCACCTAGGTGGGCAGCGGGGTGTTTCAGTTGGTATTCCTCATCGTCCCTTTTACTGATATTGATGAAGATGCCAAGATTATGCTGCCCGGGGGCAACGCGGATGCTTGTTCCGGTGAATTTGGCACTGATCTGATCAAACCCGCGAGCGGATACTCCTGTTTCTGAACAGTCAATGTAGAATGCGGACACTGGCGGATGATGAGACGTTTGTTCGGTCAAGTAACACACTCTAGCTGGTTTTCCGTCGTAATCGTTCACGGTTGACGCGCCCTTGACTGGGATCCCTTTGGACGACACGTGCAACTCAGGAAGGGTAGAATCTACTTCCCAGCTACACTGAACGATGAAAAAAGGAGGTAAGCAACCATAAAAATATGTACAGTATGTGAAGATCCAAGCTCACCCTGAAAAATTCACCAAGGGTGGAGTTGTAGGGTTTGCATGGCTTCCCCTTAATGTATTTCTAAGTGACAGTCAGCGCAGTGGCGCGTTTCCTATAACTGATGAGCACGACAAACCAAGTCTTTAGTAAACCAAAACCTCAAAACCTCCAGCATGCGCCCAAGTGGTTCATCTGATGTACCAATGCTGTAGATTTCCCAGTCAGAAAACAAGCCACCATGGTTAATAGGCAGGCATTATTGCTGACCTTGCGAAGGTCTCCGGTCTATCCAAATAATTCCAGTATTCTAGTGAATCGGCAGGGCTGGTCAGTGATCAGGACTGGAGAATTTGTTTCGCTATTATCAGGTAACGCACCGAGGTTGGGAGTCGGTTCTAGAAGCTGGGCGGGTAGCGAAAACCTAACGGATGCGATATCACTCACGCCAACGAATCTATAGAAATTAACAAGATGCGATTAGCGCAAAAGAATCTTATCAACAAGGAATGTGATGGCACACACTTTCGAAGAATAGACAAGAATGTCTTGAGCTTCGAGGATTCGTCGGGTGCGTTCTCAGGCACATCAGGTGTTGATGTGGAAGACATGGCAACTCCGAGATCTTAAAGGAAGTAGGCGGCAAACGGGACCGAAGAATGCAAGAAGTGAACCAGTTGGTGCAAGCTCAAGCGCGCGGGAAGAGAAAGAGTCCAACAGGCCCAACTTTGGCGTCCCGCCGCAAAAGTTATAGATCAAAGTCACGGCGGGTGAGGAGCGACGCAGCGGTATTTTGACGATATAATGGCAGGACAGCGGTCAAGGATAGAACAATGATAACAGTCTCCTGCAATATCAAGGCAAGAGACAAGAAAGGAAATAAAAAAGAGCAAGCCCAACGTGGAGAGGGATGTTGGGACAAAGCGGTCGGTTTGGAGAGCAGGCGGTGACGTCTTGAGTCGGTCAACCCTCCGGTTCTTCGCTGTAGGTAATCTTGAACGCCACCGGGCCTGATCACAGGAGACGTGAGGCGATCATTATTAATGAAGATATGAGACTTTAGGAGGGGCAGGAAAGACAAGAGGAGGGGAAAGTGCACAGGCTACTACTTTTCGATTCCATTGATCCTCTCCAACCACTCCCGTTGGAGGGTGCAGAAGCCCTCGTCCAATCGGCGCATCACGAGGTCTCCCCGGCCCTCTTCCCTGGTCAAAGCAAGCTTTGTATGATAGTCTTTACTACCCAGTACGCTGTTTTGCCGAATGTATAGGCCCATTCATTCCGATCTTCTATGCTGGTCGCCGCTAGTATCAATATAGTTCCTACTACTCCTTCAATCTTGGAATTAGGTCTTCGATGAATCGCTTGCGCGCCAAGAAGCGTAGCCATGATCTTATTGCTGGCTCATAATCATATCTCCTCCCCGCAGCATAATCATCATCTGCCCGTTGCAATTGCTGCTCCTCTCGTATGGTAGCCCGAAGCCCCAGCTGCAATCTGCTCAGATCTCTGCAGTGTTGCTCTAGTTCGTCCGTTGAATATTCTGAATACTCTTTCCCTGCAGGCACGGCTGCTTCATTAAGAGATTTCTCAGTCACTTCGTAGGACACGTCTGGCTCTAAAAGCGTATTTTCAGCCATGACCGCGGGTCTGGCGCCGGTGTTTTCCCGTTCGTGTGATGCTATAGCCCTTTCAATCCTTTGCAACTGTTTGATATTTACAGCCAGTTCATTGACAAGGCCAGGAAGAGGATCACGAGCAAGGCTTAGAATTGAGAATTCGATCTGATCCTCTTCATACCCTTCCATCCTGGCGCGTATGTTCGGCTTTACTAAGTCTAACCAGTCACTGTCTGGGTCAAACATTCCTGTATTTTGTCAGTAACATCATCACTAGTTAAAAATAGTATGCACTATTCACCGAGAACCTGAGGTTGGCGTTCCAAACCATCAAACTTCCACACCTTTCCTAATACGGGAACAAAGGCAATGAAATGAAACCCTGCATCAGCCTCATGCTCTTCACGGCCGCGTTTAGTTGACCTATTACGCCTAAATCCGGCTTCGTATTTGAGTTGTAAATCAGAATTCAGTATATCCATTCTCCTGCACGTAGACTTAGCACCAATAAGAGTAAAGGACAATGGCAACTTTTCTTGGCGCACCTAGCAAAAGAGTTATGTACCTCTTTCACAAATTGGAAATTGTTGATTGCATCTCCCCTTAATGCGGGTGTAAACGGCATCGTAAAGTTCTTGAAGCTTCGAAGATTCTCCCCAAGATCAATACCCTCGATATTGTTGACGATGTTCAAGAGAGCAACGCTTGCACATGCATTGTTCGCGGTCTTGCAGGAAGCGAATTAATAACCATATAGCAGAATTAAGCCATGGATGAACAAACCTGATTCGCAAACCAAAGTCCTTCAGGGCAACTAGCCTCCTGCTTATTCGGATCATCCTCTCGCCAGCGGAACAGGAATATAAAGCCGTAAACAGGTTTACTGTCCATAATTCCATTAGATGCGGGGACCATTCAGCGACCAGAGGGCCTTACTTTAGGCAGGCCAGAAGCTCATCATCTAACGAGACAACTTCCTGAACTTTGACACCCCTGACACCAAAATTGCGGAGCATTACATTGAAAAGAGCCTTTAAAATATGAGCAAGGCTGGAAGCCATAAAATTCATAGATGGACAAACTGGTTCGGATTCCAACTCGCAGAAACCATTCCAGGTCTCCTTTTCTTCTTTTAAAGCTGTATCATTCAGCCTCCTTCGTTTCATACGCTGACTCATAGTTTGCGCCATGGGTAAGATGTTCAACGAGTTAGAAAGAAAGAAAAAAAAAAAAAAAAAAAAAAAAAAAAAAAGAAGAAGAAGAAGAAGAAGGAACGAAAGAAAAAACTGCCAAAATCAATCAAGACCTTTCAGATTGTTCAGGAGAAAGTATGAGGCACTAGGTTGATAAAATTGAATAGACTTCCCCCAATATGAAGGTAAGACGGGGTGCACCAGAGGGTTCTCACACATTAGTGTGTTGTGAAGAAGCAAATACCAGAATCATCCCAGGTTTAGACAGTTATACATGTAAGCAAAAAGTTGAAATTATTCATTGTCCAAGATACAGCGAACTTTAATAAGAGAGTCGGTCTTAAAAGTTGAAGCTGGCAGCGAGCTCTCCCCACACTAGTCCCGATTTGGAATGCGCGCGTCAAACCGTGGACCCGACTGGAGAAAAATATCGGCCGGCTATCAGAGAGCTGCAAGCTTCTTCATGGCTCAACAACTACCAACCCGCCAGCTGCACCGAAATTTAACCCAACCCACCAACTTCCCCGAAAGCGAGCTGCTCATAGACTTACTCACGTTTTCTGTGCAACTATATTGCATATCATTGGCAGGAACCACTCGGGATTCGCGATTTATAGCACTACATCATCGCTCGTGGAAAGCCCGCGACCACAGCATGCCATGAGTGACACACCCCGGCTTCGCTCCGCGTTTCCCCAAACGCCCCGAACAACTCAGAGAGCAAGAGACCACAACCGGTCACCATCAAGATCTATCCCACGGAATGTCCCCCCTCCGAAAACTCTTTCAGAGGCACCACCGGCTGGTCAGGATGGGAGCTCGTCGCTTATTCCATCCCGCATAGTTGACCCTCCGACGCAACGACTATATGTGGCGGCCATCTATATCGCTCTAAATTCGTGGCGGTCCTACGAGGCTTGGTCGGCTTCTGATGATTTGGATTCTACTTGGCTGTTTTTGAAATGGGCTTCCATAGATGGCGTGTTTCTCTTCGGTCTACAGGCTTTGCGCATCCCCTGGTTGGAATGGGCTTTTCCGACAACGCTTGCGCTCTTCTTGGTTCACGTTGCGTTCAACATATTTTTGATGTTTCGCATCCCGGTATGTGGTATACTCGAACGGTTTATGCCAACATTGGCTAACTTTCATCAGATTCCTATTGGTGTATGGTTATCTGGAATGGTGAAGCTCGCTTATGATCGAGAACTTTCAATTTCAGGACAGAGCATTAAACCTGGCGATATCATTAACAATGCTTCCCTTATTCTCGGAAAGCAAATCGTCAACATCCTCCCCGAAGGGTAGGTTCCGTCATTCGCTAGCTCCTGTCTCTTGGACGCTAATTTCTTTCATTTGAAAAACAAACAGGTCTGCTGTCTTGAATCCGGAGCTAGTACCCCTTTGTCTAGATTCTCAAAAGACTACTGTCGACCTGCCCATCCGAGTCAATCAAACCGATCCTATCTTGATTGAGCTACTACGACTCGACTTCAACAACGGCGACAGTGAAGTCATTTCGATCCCAGTCAAACAACTGAAGCAATTGAAACGAAGAGCAGACAAGAAACATTCTCAGTCAAGCTCTCTTCACCGTGATCTCCTTTTACCAATTCGTAAAACCGGGGTATACCGTCTACAGCGAGTTGTGGATGAGTCTAAGCTTGATGTTCGTGTGCGAGCCTCGGATTCCATCGTCACTTCTTGTCCTCGCGCGTTAATAAAGAATTCGTACACCAATAAGTGCCGCGGCGAGTTATCAAACTTAGTGCTAGCCGTTGAGGGTACCCCGCCACTAAAAATAAAATACAGCAGACAGGTGAACGACCATGACCGCGGTTTCTCGTTTCAAAATATTCAACCAGATCATTTACGCACTCCTCTCCTGGGCCACAGGTCACTTGGTCGGTTATTTGATTCTCGCGAAGCGGAGATCGCGTGGGCCCAAAGCCAATATATCGAAATCCCACTAAATGAATCTTTGAATATCGGGGGTGACTGGCTCTACATGATCGAGGAGGTACATGATGGGTCTGGAAATGTTGCGAATTACTCAATGGTCTTAGAAGACGCTGATCGGCAGTCGGCAAAGTCCTTGGCTCAGTGGCATCAATTCTCTGTTCATGAAATCCCTAGGCTATCTCTTTCTGGATGCAATGACCAGCACTTCCTTGAGGTCGCACGTGGCGAAAGCCTCCCGCTACCAGTTAAATTTCACAATTCAGACCACGGGTATGAGAGCGATGGACCATTTTCTCTAACCTACTCTTTTGCCATCGACGGTCAGGAGAGTATGGAGGATACAGCTCGTACAGTTCGCCAGCTCTCACTCAAAACAGTCGATCAGAAACCTCTCATCAAGGAACCAGGATGGTATAATTTGAAGCACGTTTCTAGTCAGTTCTGTTCGGGAGAGATCTTCGAACCTTCGTCCTGCTATTTGCGTAACCCACCAGAGCCTGAAATGTTGGTCCGCTCCGAGAAGATATACGATAAATGCGCGAATAGCCCAGTTGGACTACTTGTCGATTTAGATCTAACAGGCTCACCACCGTTCCATCTCAGATATGCTATTGAGACATCCAAAGGCATTGAGACCAAACATCAAGTCATCGATGGGTTACGCTCGCAATTGGACTTGACGCCCTTGGAAGCAGGTCGCTATCGGTATCGCTTTTTGGATATCGCTGATAGCGTCTACGCCCCCAGACCTTTGGATAATAAGGTATCTATTTTGGAGCAAGACGTTAAACCTCCCGCTTCTGCACATTTCGTTGGTACCAAGGAGACTCGCAAGGCTTGCTTTGGAGAACCGATATCCGTGGATGTTGCTTTCCTGGGAGAAGCACCTTGGGCACTGCAGTACGAACTCGTCCATAATGGCAAAAAGACAAGACATGTTCTCGAATCTGAGACTGCAAGGTCCACCATTGTGACGGACAAGCTTGTTAGCGGTGGTGGGTATAATCTCGTGCTAACGAGTGTAAAAGATCACTCCAAATGCAAGCGAAACCTCAATGAAATCCTCAAAATTGATGCCCGGTCTAAGCCACCCCAAGTTTCCTTCGGTCTCATTGAGAAAAGCAGGAAATACTCCGCGCTCCAAGATTCCAAAGTCGATATACCAATCAGACTTAGTGGCGAACGTCCCTGGACTCTGCAGTACAAAAATTTGGATACAGGCGCTTCGATAGCCACGAAGACTTTCTGGCAGGAAAATAGCTTTTTGACCGTTAGTCAAGAAGGGCGGTACGAGCTCGTGGGAGTGACAGATGCCTCATGCCCAGGCTCCGTGGATGAGGTAGCGAAGGTCTTTGAAATCTCTTGGATTCCCAGGCCCCAGATCACTGCTATAGATGATACCCCAGTGGGGCCAGATGGTCTAGTTGCGAAAAGTGATATTTGTCAAGGACAAGGTGACAGTCTCGAGCTTCGGCTAACAGGCAATCCTCCTTTCGCAATTCAGTGCGAACAGCAAAGGAAATTGTCTCGTGGCTCTAGTGCCGTTCGAATACGAAATCTCAAAACGGCTCTACATACTCTTTCAATGGAACTTGAAACATCCGAGCCAGGTGATTACATATACCGATTCAAAGAAGTGGGCGATAACCTTTACAACTCCCAGCCGGCAAGCAATCAAGTTGCGGTCACACAACGAGTTAACCCCCTTCCGTCCGCACGTTTTGACGCCCCAGGCCGCATTTACGGCTTCTGCAAGGAAGACGACAGTGGTGAGGAACTAATCCCTCTCACTATGGAAGGCGCGCCACCATTCTCCCTCGAAATCTCCATCAAACACTATGCGAAAGCGAAGCCAGAAATAGTGTCGATTCCAAACATTAAATCTAATCGGCACAGTCTTCCAATTCCAAGACGCCACCTTGACTTAGGGCAGCATGTCGTTAGCATCCATAAAGTTCGGGACGCACGAGGGTGCGAAAAGTCCTACCACACAGACCTGTCTTCGGTGAGAGTGGCCGTTTCGGATGTACCTACGATAATCCCACTTGAATCAAAATCGGATTACTGTGTGGGCGAACGCCTCTCATTCTCGCTCTCAGGGCATGCTCCGTTTGAGATTTTCTACACTTTCAATGACGTTGCCAGAAAGGCGTCTTCTCAATCCAACCATTTCCGCCGCATTGCGGAGAGACCCGGCATCTTCACAATCACTGCCGTTAGTGATGGCGCAAGTGGGAAATGCAAAGCCCACAAAGACATAGTCAAGACCATCCACCAGATGCCTAGTGTGAGAATCAGCAACGGCCAAGTCTCCATCGTAGACATTCATGAAGGTGGTGAAGCAGAGCTCGAGTTCGAGTTTTGGGGAACGCCACCATTTGAATTTACGTATGCTACCTTTTCGACCTCCTTTTTCACAGTTTTAGTCGATCTAACACAAGTTTATTTAGATATATTCGAAGCACAAATACCCGGAAAGGGAAGAAGGCTGAAATACTTGACATCAAGCATGATATCTCTTATGAACATAAGAAAATCATCAAGACTTCTGACGAAGGTACTTACGAGGTTGTAGCGATCAAGGACAAATTCTGTTCGTTTTCTGCTCAGCCGTCGGTGGAAAGGAATGAGAAACTACTAACAGACTGATGGACGTTGCCGGCCTGGATAGGCGTCTGGGTTTTAATTTATGATGTGTACTTTTTGTCTTCGATTTTGTATTCCTACATTTCCAGTAATGTCTTGTTTGGAGTCCAGTATATAGCATTGCAACGGCGCTTCAAGGTATATGGCACATGACAATCAATACACAATTATTTACATATCTAGGAAACTTCACTTTTCGAGAGTGTCGATCCGAGTAATCACACCTGATCCTAGCCTAGAGACCTCGTTTAGAATAGCCTTGCGGTTGATCGAAACAGTGGCATCCAGTCCGGAGCCGCTCGTCCCTTCCGGTAATGTCGAGTATGCGAGACCCAAACTCCAGGATTTCGACTTTGAGGTCTGCGGGTTCCAAAGTCCAGCAATGACATCAGATTGCTCATTCCCATAAAAAAAAAGGATACTAGAGCTGAAGCAAGCCTGGAAATCACAAACTAATGCTTTGATGATATCTTGCTTGCCAGGTCGAGCTGGATACCTCGATGCGCTGAGGTTTTTGAATTTTGCTACCGAGTCTGAACGGTCCTGCAACAGCTTCGAGTCTAGATGGATAATAAAATCGTACGGTTCAAGCGCGGGGACGAAAAGTTGCGATATATCAAGTCCAGGCCCATTTTCCCGTACAAGTTTCATGGCAGCCTTTGCAAGGGTGCAAATTCGCGCAGCAATCACTTTGGGGGGCATTCCGTACTGCGTCCATGTTACACCTTCAAGATCGATATCAGAACCAATAAACATAGATACGCTATTCATCGCCGGGTCAATACTGCGCCATGCGGCAAACCGCGTCCGAATTGTTTCGATTTCTGATTGGTCTAATTCACCACCAAGACCAACGGTTATCGGCTCATGCTGCCAGTCCCATCGTGAAATGGAACTTAACGTTCTTAAAAACCCAGCCATCACACTTGAGGGTGTCTCCCAAGGGTGTGGCTGAGTGAATGTCCGCACCACAATGAGCTCGATTAGCTCCTCATTAACGTGTGCATCGAATAGATGGCAACTGAACCAATATTTTACCAGGCGTATGGTAGGAGACAGGAGTTGGAAACGGGTGCATAGCGTTTTGAGCGCTTGCGAAAGGCGCGGGCAGTGTACAAAGAACCTCTTGTATGCAGAAAGTGCATATGAGACTTCTTGCTTTGTTTGCGCACTTGCACCTTGTTCTTTGATTTTGCGTTCAAGTAACGTTTGTTCACGGTCATGATGGATTCGAAGGCGAAACACGACTCCAGACACATGAGTAATGTCCAGAAATGTGTTATTAAGTATTTTGCTTTGTTCATTTTCCAACCCTACTTGGGCTGAAGAGAAGTCACCAAGCTCGGTCAAGGCATCCCCTATTTTCACAAGGAAAGCGACCTTTGTCATCTGGACAGCTACAAGATCATCCGGCCATCGTGCGGAGCTCTCGAACTGAAGCACAACATCGACAGGATTAGCATGACGGTTTTTTGCTACACGAAGTGCCGTGTATCGAAGCAACGAACTAGCTGGCGCCAAATGCCTAACAGTCAAAGGAACACCTTCCATGGTTTGAATCGATTTTTCCAGGGTGCTGAAAGCGTTGTTGATCAGTTGGAACGCAGGGCTAGAATACAAGAGTATTCCATCGCCGTTGTTCCGGAGTTGTTTATCAAACTCGTCCCCGAAATAGCTTATACTATCTTCAGAGTAATGAAAGTGACGGTTCAGAACATGGAGCAGGATTTGATGCACTATCGAAGAGGACGAATCTTCGGACCATACCAAACTTTCGCGAATGCTGCCATCCTTGAAACGTCTAAGCTCAGCCTTTTCACCCCAGAATTCCCTGAACGATGTAGCTGCCTCCTTCTCTTCAGCAGATGGACCGTGATCGACCAAACGTGTAGCATTCTCAGAGTTTAGAAGCAAACCCACCAAAAGGCTGAGCTTCCCTGATTTTCGCGGAGCTTTCATTTCCACAGACCAAGGGCTACTAGATGGGCTGGAAATGTGAATAAGATCGACTCTGTTCCCAAGCGCATTAAGAAGCAATTCGTAAATTGCGCGCTCTTGGTGGAATGTGTCAAGTGCATCACCATTTTCTGCGACAGAAAGTGTCATAAGTCGGTCAAATCGAAGCAATGGTTCATCAATTTTGAGAATGAAAACCTTTTCGAAATGGTCATCCCGAGACTCGTTCAACATTCTAAGTGTTATCCCTGCTTCGCGACGAAGCAACGAGTATGACCAGGGCGTCATCTTGTAGAGGATGTTCAGGCCTCTCTTGTCGTCATAAACCACAGGGGCTCCGCTTGGAAACAAAACATCTGGAGCTGCAAACAATAAAGGATCTGTTAAATCCTTTCCAGCAAGAAACTGTATAGCCGCTTTGAATAGCTGATAACTACTGTATGACTTCAGGAAGACCGGTTTCCCATTTGGGCCCCCACCTTCGAGCAAAAGTGCCATGAGTACCGAAAACTCAAAACCCCCAAACCCACCACTGCGAAATGACGATCCATATCCGCGTTGTCTGAGCCATATACGGCCTAAAACGCATGCATCTTTGAACGATGCACAGCTGAAGACAGCCGAAGATAGAAGCTTGTGATAGTCGGCAACAGTGGCTTCCGAACGGAGGCAGGAGTTGTACAAGGGAGTGGGTTCCCGATGCTTTTCCTCTTCTTCTAGACCTCGTCGTATGCTGCTTTTCATTGGAAGGGTGCGTCTGATAGGAAACAATGTGCCTTCAACCGCTGTGATGATACGAATCTGGAACTTTGAGCCTCCATTTCCAGATCTAGAGGAAGGTGGGGGCTGTAATATAACAGTAGGGCGAAGAGGATCCCCATCCTGAAGTTCGAATTTTAGGTTCAGGCCTAAACTTTTTTTGTTTCTGATTCCAGCGGCAATACAAGCCACATAGTACGCTCGTTTATGGAAATATCGATAGTTGGTGTAGTCTTTTTCCCGGAAAATTGAGTTTGGCATTGTCACAGACATATCGACAACATACGGTGCTACCGTTTTTGAGCCCGTCCTAAGCGCAAAGCTTCCAACCACGTTGACGTTCGCGGGTCGAGCAAACATAACCGAGTATTTGGTATCCTTCCCGGGGCGCGGTTCGGGGTACGGAACAGCGACACCATGCGACTGGCGTAAGTCCTTCTCAGCTTCTAGCGCCTGTTTGGCCGGCTGTTCAGGCAGGTTCTCGATCAGATCCTTTAGCTCATGAAGGGTGTCTTTGGTCGTCGCGAGTTGTATGTCGTAAGGTGGCCTTGACTCTGCAATCAATTCGTCTAGTTGTAATTTGAAGAAGCTAGATTTATAGAGCCCACTAGCAAGGGATATTTCCACAGAGCCAGCATTTCCCATGTGCCTGGTTAAGTTTGAAGTATCGGTCGGTTTCAAGCCGTTTGATCCATCCATTTTGAGTGATCGGTCTGCACCGAGGGTTGCATATGAATGTGTAGAGTTTTGGGTGTGCAAAGCACTATCAGGGCATGGGCTCAGCTTTCTTCGCTTCCCTGTATAGCTCGACATCCTAAGAAAGATGGCCTGTGAGATTGGACTATTGAAAGTCCAACAGTTGTCTGTTCCGCAACAAAACCATCCCAAACATTTTTTTTGGGCGGTAATCTAAACTCCGACCTCCGATAACGTCACGTGTATCAATCACATGATCTGTTCAAACTACGTAGTGTTATGATGCTTGTTAAGTGCAACTTGCTCTCACTCTAATTAAGTCATAAATTGAATTGCAACTACTCCAGAATAAGCTTACGTGGTTTTACTTCTCGAACTAATTCGCCAGCTAAATCAAAAGTGTGTATGAATCATCAAAGCTCCTCTTCCAAATTCTTAGTACCTAACCCGGCCCCGCCGTCTCTGCAAAATGTCCGCAATGCAGTAATTGGTTGGATTTTCCTCCAGCTCATCGCCGAAATCGCTGGCCGTACCGCTTGCTAATTTCTTGTGCGAACTTCAGTTGTTACTTCAACATTTCTCATATTCTGTTATAATTCTGCTTGTGCTCGTTCAGCTTTTGGCATTAACATTTTCCTTCAGTAATATGCTTCAGGAAACCGGAGGTCCAGTGCCTCCCAACACGGATCATGTATGTATAAGCCGGCGTACCCCGCGTACATCTCACAAATAGTTAGCCATGTATCAAGTGCTTTGGCACAACTTTTGATCCTAAATTCTCGTTGCTGACAGTATCTAGGCTGTCAGCGCATCACTCCCCACCTGGGAGTCAAATGTGGCATATGAGGAAGGGGAGCTGGTAAATACGATGAGATGCGGTTACCCCCGATTCTTCGTCCACCCGATCATTCAGGAACTTGTTGGAGAAATCATATCTCGCTTCGCGGACCCGGACATAGAGACAGCGACTTTATTCCCTTCACCGAGCACCGCGCGAATGTGTCAATCGTTCATGTCGTCGAGGATATCACCTGAAGAAGCACATAAGATCCGTGTCATGGACTTGGCTCCCACTCAGCGTTTGGAAAGCGAACTCACTACCATTAAATCGCTCCTTTCATGTGTGATCTACCCAAAAGAATATGCAAATATCGCGAAACAGGTGTGGCAACATTCTGGCGATGGCGTATCAAGCCGACGAGGAGAGTTCTGCCTTGGTGCTTTGAAAGACGGTCTTCTTGTGGAGAAAAAAAAGGATACAGCAGATTCCGCATCGCGAATGATCTCCAAGGGCCCGCGGAGATATCAGGGGCGCGGTTCAACAAATGGGATGGGCAAAGTTGCACCACATGGTCTAGCTTCGGCCAACGAACCATTGGAAGGACGCGAATCAGTCCAGTTCATCGAAGAGCGTTTTGGGCGGAATTTAAGTACTTCACTGGCCAATCAAGCAAAAATTGCTGTACGCAGGCGGATAGCAGGCGTCTTAACCGCAGATGTTGAGCTGAGCGAGGCGTTGGAGAAAACCTCAGAACAAGGGAGAATAACAGGGCTCTTAGAGTCAGATGTTTTTCTTTTTCCGACCGGCATGAGTTCAATCTTTAATTCACATCGGTTGTTGCTCAAAGCTAAAGGTTCTATGAAAAGTATCTGTTTTGGGTTTCCTTACATTGATACATTGAAAATCCTCGAGAAATGGGGCCCTGGCTGTGTCTTTTATGGGAACGGCTCTTCTGAGGACCTAGATGATTTGGAGTCTCGGTTAGTCGGCGGGGAGAGATTCCTGGCTCTCTTCACCGAATTTCCCGGTAACCCCCTTCTCAAGGCTCCTGATCTCAAGCGAATTCGAATTCTCGCCGACGCGTATGATTTTGCCGTGGTCGTTGACGAAACAGTGGGGAATTTTCTCAATATTAATGTGCTCTCTCATGCAGATATTGTGGTTAGTAGTCTGACCAAAATTTTCAGCGGAGACAGCAATGTCATGGGGGGAAGTGCAGTGCTGAACCCCCACGGACGGTACTATCAGTCATTAAAAAACGCATTCAGCCAGGAGTATGAAGACAATTTATGGGTAGAGGATGTCGTGTTCCTCGAAAGAAACAGCCGTGACTTCATCTCCCGCATCGAAAAGATCAACCATACAAGTGAGGAGATCACAGCAATGCTCAAAGAATCCCCACTTGGTAAGTTCCCCTTTACTCGTTACATAGAATTTTCAGATCTAACTGCAGCTCAGTCAAAAATGTGTACTATCCTAAATACAATCCTTCATTACCTTTGTATGAGGCATTCCGCACTCCGAACGGCGGCTATGGGGGTCTTTTCTCGGTCACTTTCCACTCAACCGCAGAGGCAGTTGCATTTTTTGACAACCTGGAAGTTTTCAAGGGCCCTAGCCTTGGGACTAACTTTACTTTGAGGTGAGCTTTCTCAGTTAAAAATTGTTAAATTTGGACAGGTCGCTAATCGCCTGCTCTAGTTGCCCATACACATTACTCGCTCATTACGGTGAACTAGAATGGGTATGTACCTAATATCTTTTTCCCCATTATCATTGTGTTCCAACATCTCTGATTTATTGCACAGGCAGGTTCATTTGGTGTAGAATTTGACTTGGTGAGAGTAAGCGTTGGTTTAGAAGATGCACCGTTTCTTCGGGCTAGAGTGCAACAAGCACTGAATGCGGCTGCTAAAACGTCTAATATATAGCCGGCCAAACCTAAAATAGGGTCTATGAACAATACTTGAACTACTATAGTTAATTTGACTGCTCCAGTTCTACATATTCTTTCCAGGTCAATGGTTGCGTCAGAGTAACACAGCCAACTAGTATGGGCCACACCGTTTTCAAAATTACAGTTATTAGCCAAAACTAGGGACACAGTAAACCAGGACAAGAGTGCGAAGTGACAAAAAAACCACAGGGAATTACACAAATAGGCGTGAAGTATTGCAGGGAAACACAAGCAGAATACCTTCGATGATGGTGTAGGATCCACAGGCTCAACCATCGTTCCCCGATGCCATGAAGGCGCCTAGATCTCCGCTGCCCGATCGCCTCAAAGCCTGACCCATAGTTTCAATGTTCAAGTCGCCACTGAAACTAGGGGATAATGGTCTTTGAATAGCAAGATGTGGACTCTCGGTATCCTGCGCAACCCTGTTCGGGGAGAGCTCTAGGCCTTTGAATGACGCTGAAATGCTCGTCGGTGGAGAAGTTCCAAATCCATGGGAAGACACCGGCGAGTACAAAGGTGATGGAGACATGTTGCGAAACACTGCAGCCGATGGATTTGGACTACCTGCGCCCCTTTGAAGAGTGTGGCTGCCAGGGGGGCACTCCCCGGTTTCCGCAATTTCAGCATTTATAACATCAGCAAATGAGATGAAACTTAGACGTCGAATGTCGTTTGCCTCCAGACTCTGTCTGGTTGGGTGAAGATCTTCGGTATAACCAGAATCTGTCGCGGTAGTGTCAGGTGATGGCGATGGTAACAAATGCTCTGTGGGAACGCTATTCGCAGTGGGGAAATGTATGTTTTGGGTAACAATTTCAACGGAGTCTGGGTCCAGTCCGTTGTCGGTAATTGCTTCGGAAGATGCCTCCAATACCGGAGGAATATGGTTCTCTGTCCGAATGTGTGAAGGCATTGACGACGTTTGAGGTAACAAAATATCTTCTTGCACATTGCGTTCGAAAATCAAGGACCCAGGTGAGTTGCCCTGAAAAGGGGACCGTGGGGCGAAGCGTTCTGGCGATAATGGAGACCTTTGGGAGGTCCTTCCTCGTGAAGACGAGCGTGAACTATTGCCTGGCGAAAGTGTTAACGGTCTCGGACGAACAGCGCAGGCAGCCCTTGTTGGATTCGGATCGTAAATCATGCCCATAGCAGAGTCTTGATCATCGTCGTCCCCTTCCCCGCAATCAAAATGCCTTGGACCCAAAACCCGCATCGGTTTTGCCAGGTCATGTCTACTCTTGATGTGAGCATCACCAGATATCGATTGCATGACTGTTGAGTTATTTTGAGTCTGTCCGGTCGGCGCGCTTGTATTTTCGGCTTCCATGACACCATCCGCTACTGAGATCCTGCAATTCCGATATACAAATTGGTAAGATGGAGTGGTGGACTCAAGGACCAACCATTCAAGGCCATGCAATAATTGCAGCTCGCCCGGAATCAACAAATCAGGCGTTGCTTGTGTCACAGACAGTAATCTATACTGGCATCCACCTCGTCGGTCGATCGCCAAGTTCGCAGGCGGAGGGAAATGGACCCTATTAATATCAAGTCATGAACAACCCACGGCCTATATCGACATTTTGCGGATAGTTCGTGGGCGAGGAAAAGCACGAAGCTGACGTGTCAGCAAAATAGAAGCTACCGGACACTCAAAAGCCAGATTAGAGACGTTTAAATCTTGGATATAATAGGGCAAGGCATCAGACGTAACCCGTGGAGAATAAGCACCAGACCTGTTGAATCCAATAAGCGTGGTTGGGCAATAGGACCAAAAGAATAAATTAGCTATGCACATAGGTTATATTAATGTGACAAAATGAAACATAATTTCGAGTAAAGTAAAAAGACATCAAAAGCTGCCGAAGAAGCCCTGGACTAAATGGGATTCATGACAGCCAGGCTTGAGTTGCCAGTGATGATGTGTGTTAAAATAATATGTCGAGAAATCAAATGGACACATGTGACATGACAACTGCCAAGAAAAGTTAACTATGGTGGGGTCACTGCATAAGTGTGGAGTGCATTGCCTGCTTCCAGTTAGTTGCGTACTTAACTAGCTAGTTAACTAACTTATGCCATTGCTGATAAATTATGTAATCCTCCCATTACTGTCACGAGACAATACACGGAAAAAAGTTGACTCCCTGCTCTCCAACCGGGAGTCTGTCCTAACGTCAAAAGACACACCCGCCATCTTCAAGCAAACCACAGCGGTGCTTTCAGTATGTATTTCACTCAATCGTCCTGTTCCGGCTGCTATGTTTTTGATATATATTTCCTAAACCGTTGAGCTAACTGCTCATTTAAAGTGATCTGTATTCAACCTCCCTAGCCTCTGTTACTGTGCCGGGCTCGGATTCACGACAGACAGTGTCGGGCAAGATATTCAAAATGGCAGCTTTTGTTACAGCCTCTAGAAGACCCATTTTGGGTTTTCCATTTCCCCTAACTTCATGCGAGTTAGCCTCCCTTGAGTTGCGGCGGGCCCAATCCTCTTACAGGCGCACAAAACAACGCCTACGAGTCAAACCAGACGCTTCTTTCGGCTTGCCCTCGGATAAATCTCATGATCATATCATTTTCAACCCTCCGTCAAGCTCTCCATCTGTCTATCACACGCCGACGAAATTTCTCCCGTCGAATGACGCTCGGAGAACACTTCGGACTGATAACCATGCCAGCGCCCAGGATTTGGAAGAGCTTCCGTCTGTGTTTAAATCATCTATTGAGAAGAAATATCACTTAAGCCCGTCAGACATAACCGAAATTCGCAAACTTCGATTGAGCGATCCAATGACTTGGAGTCGGGCAAAATTAGCAAAGCGCTTTGATTGCTCACCGATATTCATTGCACAAGTATGCGAGGCAAGTCCGCAGAAGAAGGAAATTCAAAAGCAGGTTTTGGAAGCGGTACAATCAAGATGGGGTGCAAAACGCCGGATGGCCAGAGAAGATCGCAAAATGCGAAGAGAGGCCTGGGGTCGGGACGAATGATCAACCATGGACTTTGGTGGGATTGCCTATATTTATACTCTTTTATCTTCGTTACCCAGTCTTTTCTCGGTGTTCTCAAAAGAGCTGTCAATGATCGGGCCTCCATCATGTACAATAGTGACTAAGACCGTTTAGCAATGTATTATAAAGACACGAATGCGATAAATTGAATAATCAATAATTACCTAAATGATTATGTGTAACTTATAGACAGATATATATATATAATAAAGTATCACCCGTATACCTCATACCTTAAGTGCTTTTTTTTTCTTCCCAGCTCAGATCGAATCACATTCACCCAATTGGAATTTGGTTCTCCGTCGCAACCGCGATCCAGTTGAGCGCGCTTAGCTTCGGCGTTACCGTTAGGTAAAACCCACCCAGAGAGATGCAGGAATCACGAGCCCACGACAGAATGCCCCTCCTCCGCGAGGTCACAACTTCACTCATCGGACACAAACCATTCCTTCCATCATCATTATCCCTCGCCAGAAGATATCAGGTACCACAGACTAACGGTACTTCAAGTTTGAACGTACGCCATCTATCGTCGCGCCAATCATTTTACGGCCATATCAGTGACCTCAAAATGGCGCCTCAACTCGAACCTTTTTTCAAGCAGTGCGTATCTATCGATCGAAAATGGTGGATACTGTTTAACCTAAACACCCGGTTCTCGCAGGGTAGACGATTTGTCTGGCTCGTTTATTAACCGTAAGTCTCCGCGTTCGAAGTTTGCTCCGATCATATGTATTGATGAAAGCAAAGGTCTGCGCAAGGCTGTGGCAATTCCGTCCATTTCTGCACAGGATGAGAACAGGAACGATGTCTTCAAGGTATTTTTTTTATATAAAATTCGCGTTCCTCTTACTAACTATCGCCTACCCCATCAAGATGGCAGATTTCCTTGCCTCAGAGCTGAAAGCCCTGGGAGCTGAAGTACTTCAAAGACCACTTGGCAAACAACCGGGAAAGGAGCATTTGGATCTTCCCCCGGTAGTCTTAGCTCGATATGGTAATGACCGAGATAAGCGAACTATTCTAGTGTACGGTCATTACGACGTGCAGCCTGCATTGAAGGAAGACGGCTGGGCTACAGAACCTTTTGAACTTACCGTTGATAACAAAGGGAGGATGTTTGGCCGCGGAAGTACCGACGACAAAGGTCCAGTATTGGGCTGGCTGAATGTGATTGAAGCTCACAAAAAGGCCGGGGTTGATTTCCCCGTCAATCTCCTCTGCTGTTTTGAAGGTATGGAGGAATACGGCTCGGAAGGTCTGGAGGAGTTTATTTATTCCGAAAGTAAGGGCTTTTTCAAAGATGCAGATGCCGTATGCATATCAGACAACTACTGGCTCGGGACCGAGAAGCCGTGTCTGACATACGGACTGCGGGGATGCAACTATTACTCCGTCAGCGTTTCGGGTCCTGCTCAGGACCTCCATAGTGGCGTCTTTGGAGGCTCCGCACATGAGCCTATGACGGACCTTGTCAATGTTCTGTCTAAGCTTGTGGATCCCCAAGGCAATATTCTGATTCCCGGCATCAATGATCTTGTTGAGCCAGTCACGGAAGAAGAGAAGTCGCTATACACAGGCATAAGTTACACCATGGAGAATCTCCATGAGTCATTGGGAAGTGAAACAGGGATCCATCCAACTAAGGAAAGAACACTTATGGCTCGTTGGAGGTATCCATCGCTGTCCATTCACGGCATCGAGGGAGCTTACTCGGCCCCCGGAGCGAAAACCGTCATCCCAGCAAAGGTAACTGGCAAGTTCTCCATTCGAACTGTTCCCAACATGGAGAGTTCGGATGTAAACAAACTTGTATTTGACCATATCAAGTCGGAGTTCTCTAAGTTGGATAGCAAAAATACGTTGGACGTATGGCTTCAGCATGACGGAAAATGGTGGGTCGCCAGCCCCAAGCACTGGAACTTTGCGGCCGCAAGCAAAGCTGTGAAGCAAGTATTTGGGGTTGAACCCGATATGACTCGAGAAGGCGGAAGGTATGTATTGTTGCCAAACCACTGTCCATGGCTTATCCGCTAATCCAACCCCAGTATTCCAATCACTTTGACATTCGAGGAAGCTACTGGTAAGAATGTCTTGCTTCTACCTATGGGGAGTTCAACCGATGCGGCACATTCCATCAACGAAAAACTCGATAAAAGGAATTATATCGAAGGGATCAAGTTGCTTGGTGCTTATCTACATTATGTTGCAGAAGAGCCCGCAACAGCCTAGATGGTTACTGCAGCAAAACTATCGTGGTTACAAAAAGAGCATGTAACAGCAGTATAACGGTAGCCCACATCGATGAACCCATTCAAGAATGCAAATTAAAACCTGGTTCAACTGTTTTTCGCCGTTGTCGGATTCAAATACCAATGTAGATCGCAGTATCAAATTCACCCATCGGAAGACCGATAAGAGTTCATCGTAATAGGTTTAGTTATTGATCACATGATATTGTGGTGCGGCGGCGCGCCAACGCGACTTCGGTGGTTCAGCTATTATTAGCAGGAAGAAAAGACAAAGACCAAGAGTATATTCTTCTTCAACGCCTTTTATCTCAGATCCTTCATGATGTTATCCGAATCCTTGATCCTATAGTTATCTCGGAACGGAGAGTCTTTTATTATTCCTCAAAAAATGCCTGCTTCGCAATCATAATATGGACCGTCTTCAACTTTACAATTTGATAAGGAAATCTTCATTTATGCAAAATGCCAACTCGGAAACGCTCACAAGCTTCGCAAGAACTCATTGAGTCGGTCGATAAAGATGAAATACAGGGCCATATTCTTGTGTCTCCTCAATCGGTGCGTGTATTGTCCCTTTACAACCTATAGAATTAACACTTGAATTTAGAGGAAACGTCCCCGCGTATCCGGTTCGCCTCAGTCCGACCTCTCCGAAGACAGTTCTGGAGCTAGCGATAGTGGGGAGGAAATAGAGCCGGTGCCCAGATCAGCCACCGCTGATCTTGATCAGGATGAAGAGGAGCTGGAGCTACTTGCGACACAAATCATTCAAGAAAAATACTCATTTGGCAGTGATGAACCCAATGTGCCGTCAGAACATGGAATTCTTGAGAGGGTTGAATGTTATAACTTCATGTGCCATGATCACTTCCAAGTCGAACTGGGCCCTCTGATTAATTTCATCGTGGGTAAAAATGGCAGTGGAAAAAGTGCTGTTCTCACGGCCATAACTCTCTGTTTGGGGGGGAAGGCATCAGCTACCAACCGTGGCCAGAGCCTCAAGAGTTTTGTCAAAGAAGGCAAAGAGTAAGTTTTGATTCTTGCTATTGAACTGATCGGTTCTGACGTCTCTTTTAGATCCGCAACTATAGTTGTTCGAATCAAAAATCAAGGCGACGGTTCTTACTTGCCTGATGACTTTGGGAAATCAATCATCGTGGAACGACATTTTTCGAAAAGTGGTGCAAGTAGCTTTAGAATCAAAGCAGAGAACGGGCGCATTATTTCGACCAGGAGAGCTGAACTCGACGCTATCATCGATCATTTTACGTTACAATTCGAGAACCCCATGAATGTTCTATCGCAAGACATGGCTCGTCAGTTTCTTAGCTCCTCGAGTCCCGCTGAAAAGTACAAGTTTTTCGTGAAAGGTGTCCAACTGGAGCAACTTGATCAGGATTATCGATTAATCGAAGAGTCCGGTGACCAAATCGAGGAAAAGCTGCGAAGTAAAGAACAGGATATTTCTTCGTTGAAAAATCGTCGAGATGCAGCGCAAAAAAAATTAGAGATGTCGGACCAGCAAGAGTCGCTCAGAAACCGGGTTAGAAACCTCCGAAACCAAAACGCATGGGCACAGGTCGAAGAACAGGAGAGGGTATGGGACATAACAATTCTGCCTGGGTTATAGGACTAATTGGTACAGGTTAGAGACACTTTAGTAACCGAGCTATCTAGAACGGACAGGAAGATAGCTGAGGCTGAAGCTGGGATAGAAAGATACGACGCAGCAATTCGTGGAGCTGAGACCGAGCACGAAATAGCAACCGAATATTCTAGGGGGGTGTCTATGAAAGTTGCCAACGCTCAAGGTGAAAAGGGTGATATGCAGTCCAGGTTAGACGAAAAGATGAACGAACGACATGATCTCCAGGTACTATCAATTAAACCCACAATCTCATCCCTACCTGACCACCACATTTAGGCCGAGCAACGCCGAATTCGAGAGCATCTAAGGGAGACAGAAACAAGAGTCGGGGTTTTGCGACAAAAAATTGATCAAGAAACCCAGAGACTGGCCGACCTCCACGGTGGTGGCTATTCCCGGAATTGGGAAGAACTTGAGCAAGTCAAACATGATGTCATTGAAGCTCGTACAAGGAGCGATGAACATCAGCAGAATGTGAACCGAATATACGACGAAATAAAAGTGGCCGAAGAACAGGAAAGGATGGCAAATCCACCAGTCGCACAAGCTAAGCGCGATGTCAAGGAAGCAGAATCCCTGTTGCATAACCTTAACAGAGAAGGCGGAAGCAGAGAGTCAGGCTTTCCAGACGGGATGCCAGCGCTTCTGAGAGCAATCCAACAAGAGCAAGCATTCAGCGAAAGGCCTGTAGGACCAGTTGGAAATTTTGTGACACTTCTCAAACCAGAATGGTCGTCAATTTTAGAGAGCTCATTTGGAGCGACCTTGAACAGTTTTATTGTTACTTCAAAAAGAGACCAAACCGTCCTATCTGGGATCATGCAACGAGTTAACTGGTAATGTCTAACGCAGTTTTCTCTTACCACATACATCGTATACGTTCCTTGTTTCTAACTATAGTTTTAGTTCTGTCCCTATTTTCATCGGCAGTGGTGGGCGTTTAGATACGTCGCAGCATGAACCAGACCTCCGATTCGATACTGTGTTACGGGTTCTTCAGGTGAGAAAGTGCGTACCATGAAGATGATATTTAAACTAACGCAAAGATACCAGATCGATAATGAGCTTGTGCGAAGACAGATGGTCATCAATCATGGGATAGAACAAAACCTTCTTATTGAGAACCTTGAAGAAGCATCTTCCGTGCTATTTGATGGTGAAAGACCGAGAAATGTCAAGCGTTGCTATTGTATTAATCAAACAGACAGAAGGCGGGGTATTCATTTATCATATAGTCGGTCTGGTGAACCAAGCCAGGCTCCCGTTTCAGTTTACAATGGCAACCCCAGGATGAAATCTGATCATGGCTCCCAAATCAGGTAAGCATTTTGCCTTTCATTCTGAATATTCTAGAATGTCACTCACGAGTGTATCTCTTGGCAGAGTGCAGCGCGATGTAGTTGCAAATCTCAAACAGGTGCTAAGCAGTCGAGAGGAAGAACTACGCTCTACGCAGTCTCGCCTAAATCGCTGTAGGCAGGCTCGCGAAAGGTACGAAAGAAGGAAAAATGACCTTCGTGTTGAATGTCAAAGGAAAGAAGACCGTGTTGAAGAGCTCGAGGAAGCGCTACAGAAAGAGAGTGGCGAAAATAGTGATCTTGAGGCACTCCAGGCAAATCTTAGGGATACTGACGAGGAACGACGTCTTAATGAAGGCTCCCTCAAGGACTGTGCAGATGCTATGACTGAGATGATGCAAAATTTGAAAGAAATCAGGCAGCAAATGTCGGCCAAGGATGTCGAGATTGCTCAGTTCAAAGAAGAGCTTCGGGTTGCCGAGAGCGAGCAGCATTTGGTCGCAGACAAGCGACGCAAGAGAATTGGTGAAAAAAACACCGCTATCGAGAATATCGAGGACTTTCATCGGGGCAGATCCCGTCTCAAACAGAAATTGGAAGAGTCTGAGGCTAGGGTGCACGATTACTGCGAAAAGGCTAGTTTGGTTTCAGAGCGAGTTGAGATCGACCGGGGTGAAACTGCTGCCAGCTTAGACGAAAAGCTAGAAAGGCTTCATCAGGATATTACGCGATATAACCGAGAGTATGTCCATGGATATTTTCCTGGTTTATACGTACACTAATATGGTTCTAGATTGGGGGGCACTCGAGATGAAATCCGCGAAGAGGCAGAGAAGACAAACAAAGATTACCAGCAGGCATTAAGACAAATTGAGGAGTTCCGCCTCCTTGTTGATGTACTACACCTTTCAATCTCATCTACGTCAGCGGTTGTTACTAATAACCAAAATACACAGGTTCTCAAGTCCACCCTCAAGCACCGTATAAAGCGTTGGCATAACTTCAGGTCACATATTTCCTCTCGCGCGAAGGCACAGTTTACCTATCTTCTTAGTGAAAGAAGTTTCCGCGGAAAACTCCTAGCAGACCACGAGAACAAGGTTCTAGATTTACAGGTATCCTCATATATCAAACCCATACCACGAATCATACTTACTTTGTAGGTTGAACCCGACATCACCAAGGACAGCAGCGAAGGGCGTGGCGCCAGAACCTTATCCGGCGGCGAAAAATCCTTCTCGCAGGTCTGTCTTTTGCTAGCGCTTTGGGAGGCCATGGGATCACCTATCCGCTGTTTAGATGAATTGTAAGTAGTGGAATCCCGAGGGTAATTTGGAGTCTCCGCTAAGCCTTCGTCGCAGTGATGTTTACATGGACCATATTAACAGAAAGATGGCGATCGATATGCTCGTATGTGTACTACCTTCATTTTAGCAAACATAAATGCGGCGACCCTTTGCTAAACCACCATAGATGCATGCCGCCAGACGGTCGGTCGGACGCCAATTTATACTCATTACACCCGGTTCAAGGACTGAGATTAGTCTTTCGCCTGATGTTAGAGTGAAAGAGTACGTATCGTGATGAGTTCTATCAAAGCACAGCTAATTATCTTGTAGGTTGGCAGAGCCGGAACGAGGGCAGGCAAGGTTATCGTTTCGGCAGTAACAGCACCTTCTGGAGGGCTTCTAGCCGATATATGTCTCTCGACCACCATCCTAACTTAATTTTTGACTTTGTAGCAACTGTCATAAATGCTGTTTGAGCTACAGCACGAAATGCCTCATGTGTAAACCGTGTAGTTTCCATTCATCCTAACGAGAGCACTCTGAATGAACCAGCCCCTTATGTGTAGCAATAATCACTAATTGAGCCTTGAAAGAATAATAAAACTGACGGTAGGGAATTTCAAATTGCTCCAATGATGGCCAAAGAATTAAGCTCTTTGAGGGCTCGGATTGCTCGGCATTAAAGTAGTATGACGGACTTATAGGGCGGCGGTGGCAGCTCGCCAAAGGCTGTTAACACATACCTATGGGGAAGCCAGCCGGAGCTAATTATTCTCCCACCGACGGGTATGCCATTATTTTTTACCGCCTCCCACCGACAACCTACTTCACTCAACGTCAAGCCGTCAACCACCAGCAGCGCATTCACCACGCTACACCCCTCTCCGAGATCGACAAAGACATACACTACCCATCCCATCTCTCCCAAATAGCTCTGATATACAGCCGACGCTTGCATCAGAGATTCAGAACAAACTTGATCCACCCACGGTATCGGGCATTAAGCGTACACCTTCTCTCCACTACCTCCCTTCCTGCAACTCCTCGATTTCTTTGGTTTGGGGCTTCCTCGAGGCATTTTTAAATTTTAGTGCGATTGGATCGCCGTCCATACTTCTACCCTTTGCAGGAATCGAGCCAACACCTCAACACCAACCCACAAAACATCGCTCATAATCCAAAATGGCCGACGCTCTCGCAACGCAGCTGAATACCACAAGCCTGGAGTACGCGACTCTTACTGAATTGTTAGAGACCTAGCTTTACTAATGCTCCTTACCGAAACAGGGATGCAAGTTCAGATCCGAAATGGAAGGACCAACTGAAACTACCAGCAAAGGATGGCAGACCACAAACTGAGGTTCGTCGTATCTAAAGCAGCCGTTAACAATTTAGTAGTTCTAACTTACTATTTCAGGATGTGACCGCTACCAAGGGCCTAGAGTTCGAAGACTTTTACATCAAACGCGAACTTATGATGGGCATTTTCGAGGCTGGATTCGAAAAGCCTTCGCCTATTCAAGAAGAAACTATTCCAGTAGCCCTTACTGGGAGAGATATTCTGGCCAGGGCAAAAAATGGGACAGGAAAGACTGCCGCTTTTGTCATCCCTACCCTTGAACGCATCAATCCTAAAAGCACGAAAACACAGGCCCTTATTCTTGTCCCAACACGAGAACTTGCACTTCAAACATCGCACGTCTGCAAAACCCTCGGGAAACATCTCGGAATCAACGTCATGGTGACTACTGGAGGCACTGGTTTGATGGATGATATCATCAGATTAAACGATGCCGTCCACATTCTCGTGGGAACACCAGGAAGGGTGCTAGATCTTGCAAGCAAGGGCGTCGCGGACTTGTCTGAATGCCCTACCTTCGTTATGGACGAAGCAGACAAACTGCTTTCTCCTGAATTTACACCTGTGATTGAGCAGCTCCTCTCATTTCATCCCAAAGACCGGCAAGTTATGCTCTTCAGTGCCACATTTCCAATGATTGTCAAGTCTTTCAAAGTGAGTTAAGAGACTCATCTTGTATAGCAATTTCCTTCTCTAACATTAAAAACAGGATAGGCACATGCGCAACCCTTACGAGATCAACTTGATGGACGAGCTCACACTACGTGGTATTACTCAATACTATGCATTTGTGGAAGAGAAGCAGAAGGTTCACTGTCTTAATACGCTTTTTTCTAAACTACAGATCAACCAGTCCATCATTTTCTGCAATTCGACTAACAGAGTGGAGCTACTCGCAAAGAAAATAACTGAACTGGGCTATTCATGCTTCTATTCACATGCTCGCATGCTCCAGCAACATCGGAATCGAGTTTTCCACGATTTCAGAAATGGTGTCTGCCGCAATTTAGTATGCTCAGATTTATTGACACGTGGAATTGACATTCAAGCTGTCAATGTGGTCATCAATTTTGATTTCCCTAAAAACGCCGAAACCTATCTCCACCGCATTGGCCGCTCCGGTCGTTTTGGACATTTGGGTTTGGCAATCAACCTTATCAACTGGGATGATCGCTTCAACCTATATAAAATTGAGCAAGAGTTAGGGACTGAAATACAGCCAATCCCACAGAACATCGATAAGAAGCTCTATGTATATGAGTCTCCGGACACAATTCCCCGGCCAATCTCGAATCCCCACCCACAAACCCAAGGAGCCATCGCAACAACAAATACAAACACCGGTGACCGTCGCCATCATCACCACCCCAACGGTGGACATTATCAACCCAGGGGGAGAGGCTCGTACCGCGGGGGCCGTGGACAAGGTCAACGTCGCAACTTGCAAAACGACGTGTCTAGGTTCAACCCTTCTCAGGGGCATCCTACCGGAAAATCACAGGCCCCAGCGCAGGTTTCCTAGGCTTGTCTTTGGCCTTCTCAAATATTTATATTTTGTCGTCAATATGCCGAGCTTAAATTTAAGGTTACTACTACCCATCGTCTAACTCTACCCATCTCTCACCTTGTCGGTGGACTCTTTTTTTCGCCATGTATCGACAACTATATGGCACTGAGTTTGCATGTCCTGTTTTTACCTAAAATTACTGCTGCTGCATGCATACCTCGCATTATCCTTCTCACATACTCACCGTTCTTTGCGACGCGAATGGCTTAAAGTCTGGGACACGCGGTACGAAAATGTCTCGGGCAATTTTATATGTTCTTTCGTCGTTCACAATTGTAAATACTTCTTTGTTATTTTCGGGCCTTCCCCAAAGCATGATTTGGAGTTTTCGGTCCTGTCTTTGGTACAGTGTTGGTTGGGCGCCTGTTGACGTTTTCCTGGTGTCCCTACTGACCCGTGATGAGCCATATTTCAAATCCGTTTACTGGTCCCGTTGTGACACATACTCAGGAGTTTTCAGGTTTGATCTGCACTATTCTCGGGGCCGTCATCTTCATTATGTACTTGACTGGGGGCGTTATCGCGTATGGCGCAGTTATATCTAGTGTTGATCCGTTTACTTTCTTCTTTCGCTTTTGTCTTGCATCTCATTTGCTGGTCTGTTTTATCGGCCTTTTCTCGGTTTTCATATTGAAGGCGAGCTTCAGTATTGCTTTCTAAGTTGATGCGCCCTGGTTTGGAATTACTGGACTATCATGGTTTATTTATGCACGCTTGTCCATTCTAACTGAACTCGCAAACATTCTCGGGGCGTGTTCATCTCAAGGGCGAGAAGCGGTGGGTGAGGGCCTTCCCGTGGTCTACGGTACTTCAATGGTCAAGGCAACTGATAGGATGAAGGCAAGAGTAACCACGGTCTATCCTTGTTGTGATACAAGAAAAGGGACTGGGCACGAAAGGATGGGGGGAGGTTGGTTGAAAACGTTTGAAAAAAATGAAAAAAATAAGAAAAAAAATAAGAAAAAAAAAAATGGAAAAAAGGGGTGGGGGGAGGGGGTTGTGAACGAGGGGAAGATTGTGAATCTAGATGCTTTTCAACGTTACTGGTGCCGCGTATCTCGAATTGTCGTCTAGCAAAAATATCAATTATTTCCCTGACAATTAGCGTGAAGTACTTGTTGACATTCATTACTCCAGTCGTATATCACCATTTTCAATATCCATTACATATATTTTGTAAATCATACAAGAATGCTCGCGAATAGGAGGCGATGAAAGAAACTGAGCCGTCCGATTGCGGTGCGAAATCGGCCTATCAGGTCAGTCAGCCGCTGGAGGTATCCGAGGCTCTTTTTCAGGTCGGCGTCTTCAAGGTCACGTTCCAATTACAGCCACCATATTCTCGATTCAGTACTCGATAACCGTCACTCCCTCGTTTTCGCAATGGCTGCGGTGAGGAACGATCAACGGCGCAAGGTTTGTTTTAAGCATTCAACTCATTGGAGCTTCGCTAACTGCGAGTGATCATCGTCCAGCCAAGCAGCTTAAGATCTATTCTTGCGGGCTCTACTGCTGGTGCAATCGAAATCGGTAATGTCGAAGCCCTCAGGTCGAGTCCCTTTTATGCTTGGGGGAGTTGCTAACGTTATTTAGCAATAACTTATCCTGCCGAATGTATACTTATCAACATCCCGTACCCATTCCATGAGTTGAAGTATTAAGTGGTTTTTAGTCGCGAAGACTCGGTCGCAACTCAATCGCAGACTGCCTGACTCCAAGAAACTCCCATGGCCACCGTTTGGGAAACAATGGTATGCCGGCTGTACAACCTTAATCATCGGGAACTCTTTAAAGGCCGGTATTCGTGAGTTTTGCGGTCTATGTACATTGTTCGGGTTGGTGTGATTCTTATATGTGTTTAGGCTTCGTCGCCTTCGACACGTTCAAGTCAATGCTTCAAGATGAGAATGGAAAAATATCGGGGCCAAGGACAGTTATAGCTGGCTTTGGTGCTGGATTCACCGAGTCATTGCTCGCAGTGACGCCGTTTGAAAGCATAAAAACCCAATTGTTGGTTCTATCCAATGTTCCTGTCAACTTCATCCAAGGGCTCTGCCTCTACCGCTACCGTTCCATATGTAGCTAATACCGCGTTTCTTCCCAATTCGCACAGGATCGACGACCGCAAATCTCCTAATTCGCGCATGCGCGGGTTCATTCATGGTAGCGGGGTGATATTTCGGGAGCGAGGCATTCGCGGCTTCTTCCAAGGCTTTGTTCCTACTACGGCAAGGCAGGCGGCAAACTCGGCCACTAGGTTCTCGAGCTACACAATGCTGAAACAAATGGCGGAAGGTTATGTTGCGCCTGGCGAAAAGCTAGGGACCGCGAGCACCTTTGCACTTGGAGGCATCGCAGGTCTGATTACTGTGTATGCCTAATAGGAATTCTTGCATCGATATATCGAGGGACTTTACTAACGGTAGTATACAGATACGTCACACAACCCCTTGACACGGTCAAGACTAGGTTCGATCATACGACTTGCGGAATAATCGAAATTAGCGCTGACCACTAAGTAGAATGCAATCACTAGAGGCGAGCAGAAATTACAAGAACAGCTTTGTCTGTGCGGCAAGAATCTTCAAAGATGAGGGCCTTCTAACATTCTGGTCCGGAGCTGTTCCAAGACTAGCAAGATTAATCATGAGTGGTGGCATAGTATTCACCATGTTTGTTCAAGCCAAGGCTTCCTATTTGTTGATAATTTGCTAACTCCCGACCAATAGGTATGAGAAATCCATGGACCTGCTTGATTCCATAGATCCAGAAAGGAAATATCTATAACACCAAACCACAGAGAACCAGCAGAGGTGTTATCTTAAGTGGTAATGCGTGCGGTTTCAATGCAACTGTCATATTGATTATACTACAGGTGCCACATGCTTGGAAATAAATACAGGCTGCATATGCAATAGAGAAGCGCAATCAACCGTTAATTTTAATGTATAAATCTTACAGCCACCTTGCTGTTTCCTTTATTTTTCTATACCCCAGACGTGATTGCGAGTATTTCACGGTCGATCAACCAAGACCGCACGCTGTCCATCACCGTTTCCAGGGTCTCCCCTCCCTCCAGCACATTGTTCAAATTATGGACAGTGATGCCACTCCGGTGATCCGTGCAACGGCTCTGGCCGTAATTATAAGTTCGAACTTTATCCCCCCGGCCCATCCGTGCTACACCGCCCATCACACCTCTTCGTAACTCGACTAATTCCTGCTCTCGCGCCTCTTGTCTAGCTTCAGCCAACTTGGCTCGCAGTATTTGCCACGCCTTTTTGCGATTTGCATGCTGGGACCGCGAATCTTGCATTGAGACCACTGTACCAGTGGGTACGTGAGTGAGGCGGATGGCTGATTCAGTTTTATTCACATGCTGACCACCAGCGCCGCTGGCTCTCATTTTCTCTGTTCGGACTTCCTGCGGATCGATATAGTAATCACTGTTGGGGTCATCGAGATTAAGTGCGCTATATTCCCCTGTTCCTGTGTCCGGGAAGCTAGGGAGAACCATTACACTAACGGCACTTGTGTGAGTGCGGCCCTTGGCCTCCGTAGCTGGGACCCTCTGAACTCGATGTACACCTGACTCGGTTCTCAACAGATCATATGCCCCTCTCGCGTCAATTTCCAATACAGCCTCGCTCAGACAGTCTTCCCGACCGTCTCCCAGTTCGCGCTTTATTACAGCAGATCGTAAACCCCGTCGAACGCAAAATGCAGTATACATCTTTAGTAACTCGAAAGCAAATATACTAGCTTCATCTCCGCCTGCACCTGGCCGGATCTCCAACAAACACGGGAGGTCTGCGAAAGGGTGACGGGGAACAAGAGCGCGCTTCAGATCGTCCGATACCGTAGTCAGTGTGGCCTCCGTGGTTTCTAACTCCTCGACAGCGAGAGACCTTAGTTCCGCTTCAGCATCTGGGTCCTGTAGCATAGACTTAAGCTCTGATATCGACTATGTAATATTAGTTTGACACCCGATTGGCTTGGGACGAGCAAGCGCCAGACCTTATTAGCATTGTTCCATTCGGCAACTGCTTTTGCAACCGGGCCTAGTTCGCCAACACGCCTTGCTGTCTTAGGATCAAACGATGTCGCCAGTTCATCCAAAAGAGCCGCATGTTCAGTCGCTAAAGAGCGGGCGCGTACCATTAAGGCAGGCGAGAGTGTACTACCATCTAAATATCTCGAAACTATGATCAGTATCAGGCATCCGAGGTTGTAGGAACGTTACATACCGGTTCGTAGACTTCTCTGCTGGTAAAATAACCTTTGATTCCGAAAAATTCGAGCAGACCGCACCATGCATCGTGAGCACACCCAGGGGGCGGAAAGCATCGTGAAGGAAACTTGTCGGTCTCCTGAAACATTGAATGGCCACTTCCATTCAGTTCGTAGTCACGTGTGGTAATTTACGGTGGTGTAACGCGCGGTAAAGGCCAGACTGGAAGAACCGACGCAAGTATAGAAATAGGAACGTCGCAAAATGATGATAAAGTGAAGGCACCCGTCATCAAGATCATGTAAGTTGCTTTCGGGCGTCTTACGACCTGTATCAGACATCATCTCGACAGAACCGCTCTGCGTTTCTTCATTCTCTGACCAGTCGTTTCAATCGATCCGTCTTTTCTATTTCCTTTCGACCTCTACATATTCGAGGATGCTTCTACCACTCTGCGCAATAACAGCCCTCCTTGCCTGCGTGCCAGGAATCTTCGGGCTACAGGCCGCAATTTCTGCTGATACTCCAGTCTCGTCTTTAATTGCTTCCGCGAAAACGCATCTTTCGAGTGGTTCTCCGCGTGACGCATTGGTCTACCTTGATGCAGCGATCTCGAGGGACCCAACAAACTATCTTACTGTTTTTCAGCGTGGTGCCACCTATCTATCATTGGGGCGCCGATCGCAAGCCCGTGATGATTTTGACCGTGTCCTCCAGCTGAAGCCAAATTTCGAGAGCGCTCTACTTCAAAGAGCTCGTCTCAAGTCGAATGTTGCCGACTGGTCGGGCGCTTTAGATGATCTTGAGAAGGCTGGGAAGAAACACTCGCCTGAATATAAAGAGCTAGAGAGCGCGCGGGGCGCTGCCACCCGGGCATTGGATGCAGAGAAGAATGGCGCCTGGGAAACCTGCCTAATTGAGGCGAACACCGCTATGACGAAGGCCAGCGCGTCTCTCAACCTGCGCCGAAGTCGGGCACATTGTCGCTTTGAGAAAGGCGAGCTAGAGGAAGGAATTAGCGACCTTGTGCATACATTGCAAATCTCGCCAGGCTTAATAGACCCGCACTTGCAGATCTCCTCTATGCTTTTCTATACCCTCAATGACAGTGATCGAGGACTTTCACAGATACGCAAATGCTTGCATTCGGATCCGGATTCAAAACCGTGCAACAAACTCTACCGGAGGGAAAAGCAGCTAGATAAGCGGGTTCGAAAGCTACAAGATTCTGTAGCCGCACGAAAATTTAATAATGTTCTGAACCTCCTAGTCGGTGTCGACGGGGAGCCTGGGCTTATTGAAGATGTTAAGGGCGATGTAAAACAGGCCAGAGAAACAGGCCACATATTTTCTGAATCCCAGGGTCTCCTCTATGCGACGTTGATTGAACGGGCCTGCGAGGCGTACAACGAGGTGCGTGGAAACCCTATGGTTAAAATACTCTGGGCTAAATTAATTGACTGTTGAAATCAGGTACATATGCCGAAACGCGCATCTACTTTCTGCGCCGAGTCTCTTGGGTTGGATCCCCATTCTTTGCCGGCACTCTTATTCAATGCCCAGGCTGCTCTAGACGAGGATAGATTCGATGACGCGATACGTGCGCTTAACACGGCCAAAGAACATCACCCCCAATCAAAGGAAGCTCAGAATCTCTTTCAGAAAGCCACGATTTTACAGAAGCGCTCTAAACAGAAGGATTATTACAAGGTCCTTGGTGTTGGCAGGGATGCTGATGAGAGGGCGATCAAGCGAGCTTACCGAGAACTAGTGAAACAGCATCACCCTGATAAGGCCTTGGCCCAGGGTGTTACGAAGGAGGCAGCTGAGAAAAAGATGGCCGGCATTAACGAGGCTTATGAAGTCCTTTCCGACGCCGAAACCAGGGCACAGTATGATAATGGCGTTGATCCCAATGACCCAGAGTCACCAAGGCAGCATCCTTTCCAGGGCAACCCTTTCGGTGGCGGTCAACAATTCTTCTTCCAGCAGGGCGGTGGTCCGCAATTTAAATTCTCTTCAGGGCAAGGATTTAACTTCCCTGGCGGTTTCCCGTTCTAGGACTATAATTCGGATATCAAATTTCACCCATTGTTCTTATTCTTCCGTCTTTATAGAACCTTGTCTTATTCTAGCTCACTGGGCCCGTTATGCATTAGCATTTCATGAGTACCTTATTTTGGTGCTGCGTCTCCAACGCTGCATCTGGCGTGAATCAGCGAAATAAACAGTCTTGCATGTTGTGTTTCCAATTTCTAGGCGGAATGCCTCACTTGCATATTTAAATAAGAAACAATAAGAGCGAGATAAAGAATTAATGGAAAAAGAAAACGAGACTTGGCATGACCACAGCTCAAGTCTGATTATTTTGGTGGATCAGTCAGAGGCACGTAGCTAACTTGGAATACCTTCTCCTTGTGAATGGATCCATCCTCTTTTTTGTCCACTACCCAGATATGCTGTCCACCTCCAAATGCAGCGCTGGACAACGTACCGTGTTCATCGTCAGCGTTGACTGGTATGAACATCCGGCCTGGTGCTCGCAGCTGCTCAACCAGCAGTGGATGAAGTTCTGCTGCCGCTGCGCCAACGTGGATGGCATCATACGGTGCCCCCGCTGGCCATCCACATCGGCCATCAGCTTTGATAAATTTGACTTTTTCAGTAGCTAGAAGCTCTCTGCCCTCTTCGGACTTGTTCATATTATCATGCGCTAGCTTCACTAATTCTTGTATATGGTCGACGCCGATGACTTGTCCCTTCGAGCCTCCGTTGGTTGACGTATCCGTAACCAGCTTGGCAATCACGTGGGTCAGATATCCCGATCCAGAGCCAATGTCCAGGACCCGCGAACCCGGTCCGAGATATTGGATAAGATACTCGCATGCATGTCCATGCATGTGCGGTGCGGAAATTGTTGCTCCATGGCCGATAGGCTGCGGCGCGTCCGAGTACGGTCTAGAGGGTGCATAGTGACCACGATCAACCTTTTTTCCTCAGTCAGATATACGCAGTAGTATCCAGGGTGTGGTCAAGAGTAGCCATATTCGCTGTTATTTGGTGGGGGTTTCCTCAAAATGGTATCTAAATGCATGCTGAGATGAGGGCTATGCTCACCGCCATCATTGCCCTTTTCACTCTTTCATTCTTGATCAATCCTTCCCTGAAGAGGTTCTCAATCAGCTCATTATTTGATGATCCTGAACAATACCATGCCATTGTTTTGGATCTTCTGGTGATTTGTTTAATTTCTGGTAGAAACGTCCTGAGTTGCTTGATCATTCGGTGTAGGGTCTAGACGCCTTTTATATGAGGGGTTCAAGCCACCAACTGGGTTTACATTGTCGACATCAAGTCTGGTCTGGTGGTATTACCCGTCGCATGACGCAATTACCACATCAGGTCAATCACGTGGTAGGTGGTGTCGAGTATGATAACTCTGATTTTCAATGGTTCTGTCTTTTTTTGGTGTTGGCTGGGATATTGTCGCCATGAGTCACTGATTCCATGGTCATGTGGTAAAAGTATGTCGTGGGTTAGTAAAGGACGAGCCACCGCGTACTTTGGAGTTGGGAGTTAGTTACCAAGTAGACAATGAGTAAAGGCCACCACCAGAGTTGGATAGCCCACTATATATTTTCGATCTGGCCGAAAATTACACTGAAACAAATACCTCGACCCGATCTCCTAAGGCACGCCGACGAAAAAAAAAAAAAACACTGAGAACAGCCCTCACTAGAAATATGTTTACGGTATCGGCCTTTCTAAATTATGACAAACAAGCATTGAAACCACCTAGGCACTGGCGCACCCTCAGGGCCCAGGATGTAAACTGACAAAGCCGAAATATTCGAAAAGAAAAGCAGTGGCAGACGGAACGTAATCTATCATAACATCACGTTCCGTTTGTCCCCACCACACCGTCCGCCGAATCATAGTTAAAGTGGAATAGACAGCCCAACACACCGGCAGATTAACATCACCCGCTAACAACAATGGATGGAAGAAGGGCAGACGAGGACACGTTGGACGATGTCAATATCTGTATATTCGACTACATGCTGTGCATGGCCATACATACAGCTATAAATGCAACAGGGAACAACACCGGTGAGTGGGACGTGACCTGTATAGAGGACACGACACAGAGTAAGTAATAGGACACACCCCAAATGGGAGGGTGTATAGACAGCTAAAACTTCGACATCCAGTGCTCAAGTCTATACTCCCGCCAAGTCAAATGTTGCCAGTGGCTATTAGAATGAAAGTCCAGGTTCTGGAAATGATCAAAATGCTCAACTCGGCAGTTCAGATAGAGCCGAATGTACTGGTGGAAATGGTCAGCATGCTCGTGTCCACCTGCAATGTCCCGGGCATGGAAGTAATAAAACAGCGTGCGGCCGATATCGCAATTCAGCTCTGCATACACGCCATTTTTCGAGTGTACCAGGACTCCAATAATGGTGGTCCTGAAGGATTCATAAATTACTACACAAACCTCTCAGCTGAGGAAAGAGCAACTAAAATTCCGGAGTACATCGTTCAAATATTACCGTCAATAGGGGCTTCAACAGATACTCTATTTAAGGTAGCTTGCCAAACGGAGCGCATGAACGAGACCGGACCGACAACCCTCCTTCATGGCCTAGTCGATATCATGCGAATGCTGGAACCTCCGATACTCCTACAACTCGAAAGAGGGAAGCTCGAGGGCCTAAGCCGCGCTGAAACACAGCAACTGAAGCAAAAAATAGGCTTGGACTGACACGCGGACGCGGTATTTATTTAGCACACTCAACAACAGAAAACCTACTGTTTATTTACATATCCTAGTTCCTGTTTTGTATGATTAGATTGGGGATCAAAGCGGTTAGTGTGCTGGCGGTATTCTACTATATTTGGAATTTAAACATTGCTATATATCGCACATGTGGAATTGCATAGTTTACAATACTAAAAGAACAAGGGTGCCAGTACGTCTAGCCTAGCAGCATGCGGCGAGGGTCTTCAATGTACTCTTTTACCTGTTGACCCATTGTTAGCATGGTCCCGCTCAAGAGGATGTGGAAAGGTAGGTGTCAGGAAAAGTTACTTTAACCAAGAAAGTGACAGCCTCTCTGCCATCCAAGAGTCGATGATCATAGGTAAGAGCGAGATACATCATCTGAAACAAAGATTAGAACCGTGATCTTGATGGGAAAACAGTAACGGATCAACATACTGGGCGAATCTCAACCTTTCCATTGACGGCCACAGGCTTATCCTTGATCGCATGGAGCCCAAGAACAGCTGAGAAAGAAGGTTAGCCTCGTCCTACAAGTCGCTGTAAGAGCCCAACATACCAGTTTGAGGGAGGTTGATTATGGGTGTGCCCATGAGAGACCCGAAAACGCCGCCCTAAAGACCGATTAGTATCTGGATTGCCCCCAAAAATTGGACGGATTCCTCACATTGCTGATAGTAAATGTCCCCCCAGCCATATCCTCAATGGTCAGCTTGTTGTCGCGCGCCTGGTGATTGACAGTTAGGGTTAGACTGCAGTGGACGAAGGCATGGTGTGGGCAGGGACGAACCTTCTTTCCAAGATCCGCGATAGATTTCTCAACGCCCACAAGGTCCATTGTCTCCGCATTACGGACCACTGGCGTAACCAGGCCCTTTTCTGTGGCGACAGCGACACTAATATCAACATAGTCGCGGTAGACAATGGTGTCACCGCCATTGGGTCCCTCGATGGAGGCATTAACAGTGGGAACATCCTTCATGGCCAAGACACAAGCACGAGAAAAGGCACTCATGAATCCTAGCTTGATACCTGTCTTCTTGAGGACATCATCTTTGTATAGCTTTCGGAACTCCATCAGGGAGGACATGTCAACTTCGTTGAAGGTGGTAAGGGAAGCGGCTGTGTTTTGAGATTGCTTTAGACGCTCAGCAATCCTTAGTCTCATACGGTTCATTTTGACCTTAAAAATCGCCCATTAGCAGTAACTCGGATGCAGCAAAGGGTTGGGGAAAGGCTCAACTTACCCTTCTCTCTTCGCGGCCACCCAATGCGGGCTTCGCATCTGCAGACCCCTGGGGCTTGGATGCATCCTGTTGTGCCGGTTTAGGGGTCCCGGCCTCTGGAGAGGTAGATTTTGTAGGCGAAGAAGCCTTTTCGGAGCCAGAAGACGAAGGGGCTGGTTGCGGTGCCTTCGGCTTTTCAGGTTCTGAGCTCTGATCGGCAGGCTCCTTGGGCTTCTCGGTTGCCTGCTCTGACTTCTTTTCAGGTGCGCCACCCGCTTCCAACTTCACAAGATCTTGTCCGACTGTGACGGTGTCCTCCTCGCTCACAAGCAACTCCTTGATGACGCCGGATTCAGGCGCATTAACCGATACGTCGATCTAACACGTGTAAGCAACCTCCCAGGAAATATGATGAGTACTATATTCTTATAGCCTAAGACTGACTTTATCGGTTTCGATGGTTGCGATTTCCTCGTCACGCTCGACATAGTCTCCGACCTCTTGCACGAGACATTAATAACGTTTCATACATTGATCGGGAGAACCTACGTTTTGAGAATTGCTTCAATGTCCCCTCTGTGATTGACTCGGCCATTTGGGGAACCTTAACAACGGTGTCGGCTGTTTGAAGAGTCAGTATATTTTACACGAACAGAAGGTGCTGGTTACCATAGGTTCGAATTTGATGGCGTCCAATCGGGATGATATTGACTTTCAAGAGCGCGTCCCTAAAAAACGATGAGTCTGGGACGGAGTATAAGTGGCATTGCATATAATCATACCGTGGACTCGGCGCAGATTTTAAGCCATGAATCGACCTGGGGCAGGTTCGGACGCCTTCAAAGCACCTCACCGAAGTGAAGGTCCTGCAGCATACCGAGCGAGGTGCGCGAGGCATAGACCTCAGGCGCTGCGCGGAGAATTGACGAAGAGGTAACCGGGAAGCCATTGTGACTTCAGATGAAACAAGGAAACGGGAGAGTTACAAGTGTTAAAAAGATCTTCGGGTGAAAGGATATAGTGAAAGGTGGAAGATGAGGTATACCTCGCAGAAGTTCAAGACAAGCTAGCCCAGTCCGGGCCGAGAAGTACCGGAAATTCCCTCAGCAGGAGCTCTCTGCCGAAACCCCCCTAAACTTGGTAGGTGACGGATTATTATTACTACGAAAGTCTGGTAACGCAGAGGTGCCAATCTAGCACATTTAGTTCAGACCTCAGTTCACAGGGCAAAGTGATATTGAGCCTATATCCTGACGGACTCATCATTCTCTTTTAATCTATTCTATACCGAGCCTTTCTTTATTATGTCCGTCAACGCTGTCACGTAAGTTAACAATGATTGGACCATTTGGCCACTTCCTGATATCCCTTCGAATATCTAGATCCCTCTACCGGCGGTCCTTGAAGCTCGCCCTGGACTGGGCTGTGCACCGAAATGTTTGGAGAGGGCAAGCAGTTTATATCCGGTCGCTTTTCGAGGCGAACAAGGATATCCGTGACCCTCGGCAACAAAAAGTATGGGATGTCTGTGCCAGCGACGAAAAGCCTCGACTCATCTTTGCCAGGTTCTGCTCCGGGAGACGGAAAAGTTACTAGAGACGTGGAAACATCCTGACCCTTACCGCGCACCTACAGCCCCCGGTGGTATGTCTACATGTAATACTTGGCATGACTCTGTCCCTTTTTTTTAACACTTGCAAAAGGAAATAAATACGAGAGAAACCTACCTGCTCCTCAGTTACCATGTGAGTGCAATCATTATCTTCTGCCGGACAACGAGCACTGGCGAGACTAACCAATTGATCAGACGCTGCTGCAAGTGCCGGGGCTCATTGATATTAGTCAAGAATTCAACAGCGAACCTTTGTATTTGGTGATCAGACAGTGTTCAATTTGTTACGTATAGCTTTGAGAATCCATTGTATACGTGCCTTGTTCAGGCGTGGGGAAAGTGCTTGTCGATGAGAGTGTCACCGCACGCGTATTGTTTTCCTTTCTACGGTGGCAGCGGCTTTGCCAGGTGGGGGGAATCCAGTAAAGTCATTTGAATTTGTCGGTATCATTCCATGCCCGTGAGCATAATTTACAACAATGAAAACAAAACGCATAAGAAATTAAAAAGAGCCATAAACGTGCCCAGTCCAGAACCCCGTTATCATATCAGTAAGAGAGCCAAACCACGCCGAATGACAAACCCCAAGCAAATAAATTAAAGAAAAAACACATCACAGCTCCTGGCTACCCTTTCCGGCCTTGGGGGTCTTCTTGGGGAGGAGGTCTACAACCCATGTTAGCAAAGCGAATATCGTCATGTACAGTTTCGGGTGCATACTCTGGTGAATGTTAGGGAGAACACCGCCCTGGGCAATGGTGACGTGACCCAGTAGCTTGTTCAGCTCCTCATCATTTCGGATGGCGAGCTGAAGGTGACGGGGAATGATACGGGTCTTCTTGTTGTCACGGGCGGCGTTTCCAGCGAGCTCGAGAATTTCAGCAGCAAGGTACTCGAGGACAGCAGCTAGGTAAACAGGGGCACCTGGAAGACAAAAAAAAATTAGCACCCGGGTGAGAAAAAAAAAAAAACTATTAAGTAAATCCTACCAGCACCAACGCGCTGAGCGTAGTTGCCCTTGCGAAGCAGACGGTGAACACGACCAACGGGGAAGGCCAAACCGGCCTTCGAAGAACGACTATCATCTGATTAGTAAAATATTTCCAAGCGCCTAAAGGGAGGGGTGTGAAAGTCGAAACTTACGACTGCGCGTTCTTGCTACCGCTAGCCTTGCCACCAGATTTACCGCCAGTCATTTTGATTTGAAAGGGTAACTTGAGAAAATTGGGATTGCGGCTGGAGATGAAATCGACGCGTGAGCGAAGTGTAGTAAGGTATGGTCGGGGAACGATAAATGGAAACGGGAAAGAGACGACACTTATTCTGGAGAACTGGAGGGCATATATAACGACACCATGAGAGTGACGCTGAGAGGTCCAGACGCGTTTAGGATCACCCTCTCGCTTAGCGGGGTCAGCCAATCGTTGGTCGAATCATCCTCCATTACCCGTTCGTTGGTGTCGTCACGTTACGATGCCGAATCAAGAAAAGCGTACAAGCTAATCGGATATTCTTACAATACTGTATCATTAGCGTGAATCCGCCACCAATATTAGCGTGTCCTGCGCGTCCAGGGCCCCCTAATCATACAGATCATACGTTATCCTTACCGTATTGAAAATCTGCCTCCTTTGTGCTTTTTAGATCAACAGGGTTGTTTGGAGCCGAGTATAAGTAGCGCGCCTCCCTCGTCACCGCGTATTCTTGACTTCATCTTCCTACTCATTCCCGCCCGTCCAGTTTCACGCGTCAGTCACCATCTCCATCCATATTATATTTTATCGAAACCAATTTTCAAGTATTCACATCTGAAAATGCCCCCCAAAGCTGCTGAGAAGAAGCCTAGCACTGGTGGCAAGGCCCCTGCTGGCAAGGCACCCGCCGAGAAGAAGGAGGCCGGAAAGAAGACGGCCGCTGCTGCCTCTGGGGAGAAGAAGAAGCGCGGAAAGACCAGAAAGGAGACCTACTCTTCCTATATCTACAAGGGTGAGTTTCTTATCAGAAGTGTGGTGGGCGTGTATCCTAATTTGAAACAGTTCTTAAGCAAGTGCACCCTGACACTGGTATTTCCACTCGTGCCATGTCTATTTTGAACTCTTTTGTCAATGGTATGTGACATTCTCGGCTGCCTCGGCTTGCATATGATTAACCTTGCCAGATATTTTCGAGCGCGTTGCGACGGAAGCTTCCAAGCTTGCCGCTTACAACAAGAAGTCCACCATCTCATCTCGCGAGATCCAGACCTCGTAAGTCTAACAATACGGATGACACTTATAGCTGCTGACTTGAAACAGCGTGAGGTTGATCCTGCCTGGTGAACTTGCCAAGCACGCTGTGTCTGAGGGCACTAAGGCTGTTACGAAGTACTCTTCTTCCGCCAAATAGGCTTTTGTCGAACTTTGTTGTTTTTTTATTAATTGCACGGATATGTTTTATTTGTTTCGTTACTCGTCATCTTGAACGGTTTGAGGCGGCGGGTTAAAGGGTGTTCGCGGGATTTCTAACGTGTCATGGGATGGTCTTTTTTCCTATTTGTTCTATTTCCCCTCGGGTCGATTGTTGTCTTTCAACGCCTTTACTTTATGGAAACATGGATACGGTGTAACATAACTCGGGTTCTGGGATTGGTTGTATGATTACTTCCCTGAATTCGAATCCAGTGGTTTCATGAATCTATTTAATTGACAACTTATTGGAGCCATCGTCGGTATTCTCCATTCGTGGGCGTGCGCCTCAGTGTGTTGTATCCTGGATAACATTGCTAGCTGTATTATAAGTCTCGATTATTCGTCATCGTCGAACGTCTCGACTTCATCTAGTGCTTCTCTCCGACCTTGCCAGGGAGTGGTGTCGCCTGTGCTCAGAATGTTGATAATAGGTTTGCCTTGTATAGATGCGACGCGAGTTTTCCAGTCCTCCCAGTCCTCTTCGTCTTTGATTAGAAATCCTATTAACATACTTGGGTCCATATCTTGAATATGGAGTCTCCTCAATCGACGAGTGTGATACGTATCGATTTCATCTTTCGTGTAGGCACCTTTGGTATGGTTCGGGGTCGGGCGAGTGTTATGTGGATCAAGGTAGAAAAAATGCGATCCCTGGACCGCAGTAAAATAGTGCGAAGCAGATGGTCGTCCTCTACTCAACGTGTTTAGCAACGAGGAATGGGGCACGGTGACTCCAGGTCTGGTGCATACCCTGCAATCCCCACCGATTGTGGGAATTGTAGTACCGCTTTTAACCCCTCCCAATAGACGGTGGTGACTCGATCAATCCCCAACCTGAGTGCGAGCAGTATGAGTGTGGGGCTGACAATACCTTGCTCGTTGCTGGATGCGCTGATGAATCTATCCTGGTAAACATCAGAATTGTCGTCTGCGATATAAACTTTAAGGGTCGATTGGCTGTAATTCGCTGATAGGCCTCTGGGTTTGACGTGAGCTTTAACCTCATACCTACTTGGTTTCCCTAAAGCCTTACTGTATGCATCTGGCGGTAGCGGTTGGTCCAAACCACTCCCCTGGGTGCTTTCCGCAGAACTCCGCTCCGTACTTGACAAAGTTGTGTATGGAGAACGGGGCGTCCGGGGTGTCTGCAAATAGTGAGAGCAGTTGCGCTTCCTCTTCGGTCTTATCTCTACGTCGCCATCCTATATAGTATTAGCAGCTCTGGAGTCTCCGCTCCGATCTGACATGATGCTCATACCACGGCCCAGTGTCACGATGGCCATTGCGTTCGCCAGTAGACTTTGGCCTGATCTTATCATACAGCCCCATCCCGTGTCAGTTGTGAAGCCTTGCGGTTCAATGAATTGGCTTCTCAACCGCACGCCCATCGTCAGGGACTGATTTCCCTCGCGGCTGGTGTCCTTGGCTATTGGTGTGAAATTTGACCTATATGTCATCCATATCTTTGATTCGAAGTCTAGGAGGAACGGCTCCGGCCAGTCGGGCGTGCTTGTACTTGCTGTGTCTGTCTGGCGCCCGTTATGGTGCACTTGCGATGATGGTGTCCGGCTTCGTGAGCAATTATTCCCCCTATCCGATGGTGTGGTTTCCTGTGTCTTGCTGGACCCTTCATGTGGGGTGATGCGCTGTTCGGGTGGGGGGTATCGTGTTCCCAAGCACCAAATTGGCGACCCCGGCTCCTCGTCGTTCTTCGGTTCGGGGTCCCATATATACTGCACAATCCGTTTCTTGCATCGTTCGATGTCTGTTGGGTTCATGCTTGTGCCGCTGTATTTTTGGCTTTTTGGGTGCGACTGTTGGGCAACACTCTGCTGGTCTATGCGTGGGCAGTGTTGAAGCGCATGTGGGTGTGTTTGCTGTCACGACCTTCTGTCAGACAGGTACGTTGCGGTGGTCTGGTATGCTTGTTTTTGCATGCGGTTTAATGTGGTATTTGGGGTCTCCTCTGTTGGCTGTTTACAGTTATATGTGGTTCTGGCAATGGTTGCACTGTTAGATGTCGTCAGGTGGTAGGGAGCTTGGTTTTCGGAGCTGACGAGGGTGCGGGGGTGGCCCATCCACGCTACTGGGTCACGAGGCGTCGGGGTGGGTTCTCGGCCATGGTTTTGCTATGGGTGTTTATCCAGCCATATGAGTACACCCTTTTTTGTTTTATTTTTCTAAATATGGCTTGGTGGTGGCTGTTATGGTTGATGTGTAGGTGTGCCCCAGTTTATTGCTGTGCAGTTAGCAGCTGGGTTACATGAATTATAGAGGTATGTGAACATGCAGATATATACATATATATATATACAACTCCACATCTGCGCGTTGCTCGAACACCACTACAGTCAACCAGCCACTTACCACACTAAAAAGGAGAGATCATGTAACCTCAATACACTACCTCATATTTAACCCATTAAAGACTGTAATACTTAACATATAGTTGAATATATATAAAGACTAGAACTAAATTATAAAGCAATATAGTATGTTTGTTGTAACTATATAATTCAATTCAATCTAATTCAAATTTATTAATCTGTTATAGCTTGATACCATATTCTAATAAACTTAAAGCTATCAATACTATTTTAAATATAGTAGTAATTCCACATAAATAAAAATAACAACAACTAAAGCTATTCTATAAAACTAACTGACTATTCTATTATTTAATAGTATTAATTTATTCATATTTTAAAAACAATACTAGTATATATAATAATAGAATATTAAATATAAATCTATAAAATATTAAATGAAAATGTAGTAGATACAAATAAAAATATCTATAAATAACCTAGATAAATTTTTTTACTATAGTTCATAATTATTATATGCCACTATCTATAAATACTATATAAGCATGCTTGAGGTATATAATAGCAGCTAAGCAGCTATTATATAATATATAGATATATATTATACTACTAGTTCTTAGCTAGAAGAACTAATAATTAATTTTATTAAATATAAATTTATCTTCTATTAATTATATATTATATTTTTATAATCTCTAGAAAGCTACTATATTAATATTATAATTTTATAATTTTAATTACTCTTTTTCTAAAGGTCTAATATATATAATTATAATAGAATCTAAGATTTAGAAATAAATTTAATATTATAATAAATAGAATTAAATAGCCTTTATTATATAAGATAATATAAAAAAAGAAAAAAATCTAGAGCTAGTAAATAATAAAAAAAATAAATATTATTATAAATTTATATTTAATCTCTAAAATAATAGAAGAGAATATATTCTAATTTTAAAATTTAGTATAAAATAAAGAAAAAAAATTATAAATTAATAAAAATATTAAAGAACTTTTCTAAAAAGAAAAAAATAATTATATAATATATTAAATTAATATTATTAAAAAAGAAGTAAAAAATCTTAAAAATAAGATTAAATATATATATTAAAATTATATATATAAATATAGAAATACTATTTTAAAATATTTAATTTATAGTATAATTCTCTTTAAAAATATTATAAAATAATTAATCTTTAAGATTAAATAATTTTAAAAATTAAAGAATAGAATTTCTAAAAAAAATATCTTTATATAAAAGAATTTATAAACTATAATTTATATAAATATTTAGACTAGTATTTTTATATAAAAAATTATTTTTAAATATTTTTAGAATACTATTAAATAGATAAGAAGAAGATAGACTATATATTATTATTTTTAATAATATTTAGACTCTATAACTAGAAAGAGATATATATAATCTTATTATAAAATTTTATATAAACTAACTTTAATAATATTTTATTATATATAATTAATAATCTAATAATATTATAATAAGAAATAATAGTATTCTATTATAATATAAAATAATAAATATACTAATTAGTATAT